CTCTACCGCCTCTTGATATATCGCATGGTCAGTCGCCTTTAACTTTGCGATGTCATCTATACTTCTTAACAGTGTGCGAATTCCCCCTTGTTGGTGCATCTCCTCAGCATGAGCAATGATACCTGGGGGAAGACCGAGCGGCTTTTCAAGGGCCTGGAGGGAACCAGGAAGGCCGAGAGATTGAAGCAGGTCATGAAGCTTTGTAGTCAGAGACGAGAGCTCCTCGATTAAAGTGGTATTGACTAGTCTGTCACGACGCTCCGCGTAGATGCTGGCCGCTACGTGAACAGCAAAGGGTACGAGCTTCGAAAATAGCGGAGCACCATATGGGCCTTCCTCTACAAGCAACGTCTGAGATTCTGAGATTTCTTTTGGAATTTTGCTATTCACCATGGGCGCGCGTTGGATCTTTGTCAGTGCGCTCGCCGGTGGGACTGGATTAAGATAAATTAAGTCGTTATCCTTCTCCGCACCCTTCAAAGTGTCTGTAACTTTCTCTTTCAATCCCTGGAGATCACCTAGAACAGTCTTATTAAGGTATCGTGCTTCTTTCAAAGCATCGTTAACCGCATCTAGAGCGTCCTTTAAGCGGGCAACCTCCTCTCCGTATTTACTCTTCTCCAAGCAATCACACGCAGCCCTATACTGCGCTGCCGCAGCAAAGTGGTGGTGCTTGGCGCTCATGTGGTGGATCCACTCGCTGGAGATACTTGCACTCTTGATTGCGAGCTCCCCAGCCGCGTCATAGAAGTCGGATACTTTGGCGGCAAGCTTGGATACTAGACTGTCTTTATGTCCGTCGACAACGGCCTTAAGCCAGAAACATTCCTGCGCCTGGGCAAGCATGAGCTGTTCTACGCACTCGAGGGTAATGGCATCCATATCTTCTGGCGGAGTGGAGCGAAGCTCGGGCAGTACTGAGGTCTTGAGGTACTCCATGACCCCAGCGGCCGCGCAGAAGTAATTACAAGCTACCTTGAGCCCATGTTGAGTATCGCGAGGAGAAGAGGTGGCGAGCTGGGAGTAGAGAGATGCGAGATTATAGAGGATATTTGCGCGCTCAAATTGGAGATTATTTTGCGTCACTGGCGGCGCAATCAGAAACAAACCCAGAGGTGCTCGCAAAGTAAGCGGCGAAGGAAAAAGAGGTTACCTACCAGGTTTATGAGTATTGTATCCTAAAGCTGGATACCATGCAAAATCCGCTCCAATCTGCCATCCCACCATATCGTCAGCATTCTCAAGCAGCTAAATAGCCTCCGAAAGACATACATCGATGGGAAATTTCCCACTAATCCATTGCAGCTGGGCTGCGTAGGCCGATATCTTAGCTATGCCGCTAACGTGCGCTTCCTGAACATGTACGGCGTCGGTACGTAGCTTATCGATTGCGGTGAGGTCCGCAGCGAACATGTCGGGGTGTTGATCATATTTTGTTGATATGTACTGTTTGATCGCATCGGAAAGGCTAAGAAATACGGACTTCCGAAAGGGTAACTGCGGGGGTCAGTAGAGGTTTAATCAGGCGTCTTGGAGGCGGAGATGAACGGTGGGGGAGGTACGTCGAGTATGTTGGAGCTAGTGGGGAAACTTGGTTAGTCTAGGTAGAATTAAGGCAGAAGCGGAGGTTCAGGCAGCTTACGAAGTCATTTTCAGCATGCGAAAAGCGTTAAAGTGGAGGTAATATGAAGGGCACTCTTTGAGTGAGAACACTCAGGGATATCAGTGAGGGCGAGAGGAGAGTCCCCGGTGGCGGGGTTGAACGAGATATGAAGATTCTGGTTGAGGTGCGCATGCATAGGTAGTTGGTAACAGGGCTCACTGGTGGAACGTGCACTGGGGTTCATGTGCCCCTGCTTGGCTACAACCAATGACGTGTTGTTGCTGCATGAAAGACCTACCAACTGGGCCCGGTACACTCTAGAGATGTTCATTCAACTCCACAAAAACCTATTGCTTTCTGAAAACCACCATAGAAATCTTATTGTTTATATTTAACTACGCTAAGACTTGTTCAGTGTTCGCACCGCGAAGAGTGATGGACAACCTAGATACGTTTTTAACCTGGTACCGCGTTAAACTGGGAAATGGGCTGTAGGCATACAAATTGCTGTGAACAAATTTGGTTGTTGATCGCCATACAATTCGTTTCTAGACCTGACGCCGTACTGGGTCAAATACGTTACTCGTAACAATGATGGATCCATGGCTTTAGAAAAGGGTTTGATTGTAGACTTATAGATCATAGTTTACGCTCCTTCCTTCACCTATAGTCGTCCCTGTTGAAAACTGACGTGAATATCCCTTCCCATAGAGATCGAGTGTGCTGAGGCCCTTACTCTACTAGCTAAGGAAAGAACACTTCTGTGAGAGTGATCAGATTGAATAGTTGGTTCTACAAGGCACCTAACCATGAATAGGACGATACACATTGCTTCTCTATTACATTTCATCATCTTAGCGGATCCGGAGCTGAAAAATGAATCCCGGCACCAGGTCTTTGAATGCACTCCTGGAGACTAGGAATGTTGTCCTTGTTTATGGGTGCCAAGACGGTGACTATACTCTACTGCTAGCAAATTCCTTGATTATTTGTTCTAAACCCATCTAGGTCCCATGAATCACTAATCTGTATCTGCTATGGCGTTGTCATTCCCTGCGATAAACTTTCAGCATCCCAGATAATCTCGCTATCAATACACGAAAATGTGTCGAATGTGGATACTCGTAATTTCATAGCGTTTGTGAACACAGCTGGGCCTGCATACACCAAAATCTGGAGCCTCATGCAGGGTTTTGCGGGTATGCAACCCAGTGGTGTTCACAAACGCTATGAAATTACGAGTAGATGCACATATCGAGTGATATTTCATGAGTCAAGCGTATCCGTATCACGCTCCCCCCAAAGGCTCAACCTAACCGGCACATCCTCTGGCCTCCATACATGATAAATTATATGGTTTCTTTTCTAGGGGATTCGCAGTTGCTTCAACTCTCTAGTTCTCTTTAATTTTTCTCGGATTCTATTGGAATAATATCAATTACCTAGCAAGATATCCCAAGGGAGTTGAGACTAAACGTCCGGGAATCCTTCACGAGGCGGATATATCATTTGGTAAGTAGTATCCTGATCGCTTGATTTAGTTGGCGGGTCTTGTCTTCGAGCCTCGATTAATAGTTGATTCTGCCAAAGACATGACGGGATACGAAGATAGGTATTTATTCAACCTCTACAAGAACGCCTACTCTAGGCAGCTATCTAACATGCACTCAAAGATATAAAACTACAAATGGCGCAAAGGTAAAATAAAAGGGGGAAAAAAGAAGAGGTAAAAAAAAAAAAACAGGTAAATATACCCCACTACTCCGCCCACACAAGTGCAGAACCCGCCTCCCAAGCTAGCATCTCATCTCCTCTTCTTCTTCAGCTCCTCATTCAACATCTTCACTCCCTCTTCCACCACCACACCACCACCAACCCTACACTTATTCCACACCTCCCACTCCCACCTCACCACATCCACCTGCGTGCACAAATCCTTCACACACGCCCACTGCCCCACCCACAATATCCACTCCCACAACCTCCTCCCACCCGTCAACCTCTCTAGCCCCCAACTCCCTTCCTCCCCTACCCTCGTCTCCCTCAACCAGGCCGTCACAAGAAACCACCCAACCGCAAATACAACCCCAACCGAATACCCGCACGCCACCTGCATCGGCGTATGATAGTTCAAATACACCCGGCTTCCACTCACTGCCGCAGACCCGGCAACACACAAAATCGACAGCAGCACCTTCTGGTACCGCGGGAGATGGTGGCTCGCGCGGAGATGCAGCCATAGACTGAGGTACACGGCGAAGAAGGCGACGAACTGGGCGTGCGAGGAGGGCATACCATAGCCTTTTCCGTACATCTCTAGAACACCACACACGGGTCAGAATATATACTACACAGGTAAGAGAGGAAAGAGAGAGAGCTACGCTTAGGACGCTGCTGCTTAAAGCACCGCTTCAACACCCAGTTCAACCCCTCGCACGCCAACTGTCCCGCAAGCATCAGCAGAACCTCCAGCTCCCGCTGCGCGACCGACAACGTCGCGTACGAGACCATTAGTGCCTGCGGCACGAGCGCGAGCCATGCGCACAGGAGCGATGCCGGATCATCTGGATTCTAGGACATCCACGGAATTGTTAGCTAGCTATCCTTCTATTCTAGCAGCAACGGGAGAGAGATATACGTAGTAGACGTGTGTAAGGCTCAATGAAGCGAGCGGAGGTTCGAAATGGCTGTCTTCCATGGTGCGCTTCTTGGGGAGTATCGAGCTGTGGGTAGAGATGCTGTGGGATTCGTGGTTTCTCTGCTTGTATGCGCGCCTTGGCAGGATGATTGTCATGGATTCCACGTGGTTGGAATATGGGGTTGTCCTGCCAGGCTTTCTGCGCTACTATTGGCTGGGACAACTGGGACAATGGGAGCGAGTTGTAATTGTGCGGGCGATAAACAAAGGAACCGATCATGATCAGGTGGAGAGGAAGCTCAAATGCCCCTGTATAATTACAATCTGGAGTAATTATTGGAAGTTTGGCTCTAATTAACTACTAATTACCAGCAAAGTCACCTTAATACTGACAGCTGAATTCAGCTAAAACCCTCATATGGATATCGAATACCGAACGCCACGGACTTCTAAAAACTCATAAAACCTTCATTCAAACAGCACACATCACAATTGCGCCACATTTTCATAATAATGTACAGAGAGAAGCTAAAGATAGAAAGAAACGAAAAGAAAAAAAGGAAAGAAGAATAGCAAATAAAGAAGAAACCTAATACGCGTGAATCCGTGAAAAATTACTTTTTTCTTCCCTCAACCTTCACTAGGTACTACTTGTTGTAATCCAAACAAAATCATTGCAGACATATAAAAACCCGATCAAGCACTATTAAGAAAACTAACTACCAAGGAGGAGGACTGGCTACGAGTCGCTGGCCCTGATTAGATCTGAACCTGTTCCACCTCGGTAGTTAAGCTTTCTAGCTTTTTCCTGGTAGATTTTACAAGTACATCTCTGCAAATCACAACTTGTTAGCCACCGACCACTGCTACTGGGAAAGCAGAATACTTACTCTCTATCTAGCAACTCTCTCAAGATCCTCAGTTTCTCCTCCCTGATACTCTCCGGTACATCGTCCTTACGGCCCACTAGCCCACTTCCCTTCCCGCCCTCCACCAGCGGCTTCAACTCCTCTATCATCCTCGCCACCATCTCCTTACGCGCCGCGAGCGCAACCCTCCTCTCTCCACCAACCCTCTCCTCAATCTTCCCCACCTCCTTAAACCACTTCTTCTCCGCATCACTCAGCCCAGTCTCGCTCTTGACAATAAGCAACTTCAGCACCTCATCCGCACGGGACTGTAGCTCCTCCTGCCTCTTAAGATATCGCTCAAGCCGCTCGCGCACATCCTTGCTCTGGATCTTGGCCAGCTGCTCATCGGCCCGGTGGATCGTCTCGATCTGCTTCCGGTACTCGATGCGCTGCAGCGCCGCACGGTCATACATCTCCTGCGCGGCCTCCATGATGCCGTCGTACTCGAGCTTCAGTGTGTCTCGCGCCTTCCTCAAGAACTCGTTACTCTCCGTCGAGAACATGACGGGGCTGCGGACAAGCCGCGGGTTATGCTCTAATGCTTGCTGGAGCAGCTGCGCCAGCTGGCTGCGTTGCCGGAACTGTGCGGAGGGGTTGTACGGCGGGAGCAGGATGTTCATCTTGCGCTGGGTGCTGGAGCTAAGTGCGTTGTTGCGCTGCGAGGTGGACGTGGACATGCGGAGCTGCTCGGCTTTGGCGATGGCTTCGGAGGAGCGGGAGCCGGCGGCGAGGACTTCGTCGAACTCGGCGGCGGCGACGCCCTTGAGTGTCGCCGCGACGAAGATGTAGCCTAGGTAGGCTTCGTAGATGACGACGCTGCCGGCGACGGGGTTGGGGTGGAGGCTTTTGCCGCGGTTGTTGAGGACGACGCTGACGGTACTCTGCGGGCTTTTTTCCAGCGTGAATGTCATAAAGTCGGGGTCCTCATCACGGTCAAGGACGGAAGAGAGCTTGCTGAGCCAGCCCTTCATACTGAAAGAGACGACGCCAGAGCTGTGGTTGATGAACCAGACTTGCTCGCTGCGTGGGTCCGGGACAAATACGGGCCAGTTTGTGGTTGCATTATCTCTACCGGCGTTGAGACCGAGATCGATACTCTCGAAGGCGGCAATAACTGGGAGGTCGGAGAGCTGCTCTTGATGCCTCTTCTTTTTGTCGACCCACTTGGCGCGGAGGAGCTCAAATTCGAGACAAATATCGACCTTGCCGTTAGAATAGAGAACACCAATGATGCCAAGGGACCCAGCTTCCATATGAAAGATGTCGCAGGCGTAGTAGTCGCCTGGGAATTCTACTGGCGGAGGTTGAAAGAGAAAGGGTCCTTGAAGATGCGGTTGTATGTCCTCTTTTGAACGCGCATCTAGCCCTGGGCGTGTGAGGTATGTCTGGTTCTTCTTCCACGGCGTACTCTGTGATGCCCCAAAAGAATTCTCAAGATTTGTTTCTTGGGTCAATATGTCGTTGATCCATTTGGTCTGCTGTCTCAATATGAGCTTTTCCTGCAGACTTGCGTCCTGGTCAATGGATTCTAGGTCTGCGGTGATACTGAGAGATAATTTCTGGAGGTACTCCCGACTTGCCATCCAGCGGGACGGGACCAGCGGGGTAAGAGCGTAGATATCACCACCGCGCATAAGAATATATAGTGTGAATTGGCGCCAGCCTTCTGTACCTTCCCCGAAGCAGCAGGACGCAGGCTCCATCTCGGACTCGTCGGCGGAAAAACCGTTAGTGTAGCGAGCCCGCCCAGAGAGCAAATATAAGTCAATTTCTTGGTCGGCTATGTTGAAGGTGATATCGCGGCCGACCTTGAAGTCGTAGGATCTGTAGATACCTTATTAGTACCTTCAACCTAGGCTCGGGAGAGAAAACTGACCTGATCATACCATCCTTGGACAGTACTACCAACGAAGCGTCGTCGACCCCCAGCGGATGCCATAGCGCACGTACGATCGGGAAGGTTGCTTTATTGTAGACGTTCTCGCCAACCTTATGGAACCTGCCTCTTAGTCAGTAGTAGCCCAGAGCCTAGAACTGAGTATACAAACTTACGCAGGCACCCTCAACTTAGGGTTTTCCATCTTCGACAGCCCTTCCGCGGGGAGTACACAGACCATGAGCTCATTCTCACCGACAATCGCGAGGAACACACCATCTTTGCTGATCTCAAGCTGGCAGATGTCGAAATCCAGCTCTGGCAGATCCAGCCTCTACACCACCGACCTATTAGCCCTCCCACCCACTGCCAAAAAACCAACAGTACTTCCCCCCGTAAAGAATAGAGAAAACTGCGCACCTTGTACTCTCTGTACCCCTCCACACTCTGTTGCGCTGGTTGCCTGGCCTTCAGATCCTGCAAGTCTGCCACCCGCACCTCGTTACCCCGCGCCACAAAGATCTCGGTACCTCTGTTCGCGATGGCCCTTCGTGGGCCTACTGTGGGGGCGTCGTCATTTGCTTCGCTGACAAGTGGGTATGATGTAGGCTTCTCTGGCGGCTTTGAGAAGAGGTCCCAGCCGGTGGAAGGTTTCGCGAGGAAGGGCAGGCTGGTGGACGTGATTGTTAATGTCATCGGATGGGTCTGTCTGTCAGTGTGTGTGTGTGTGTATTGTGAGTCTATCTATATGTATACTATTTGAGTGATCTCGACGCGTTGTGGGAGGGGTGGGTTGTGGTGGGCGGTGGTGGGTTGACGCGCTGTTGGGGCGCTAGGAGGGGAGAGTTGTGTGTGACAAGAGATGATGGTTGCAGTTGTTGCTAGCCTGAGACACGCAGCAGAGGAATGTTTGGTGACCGCTGATAGGCCGGCTCTGCGCTGCAAACAGAATCTACGGACGAGAATATATTAATTATATAGGTTCTAGCTATTACATTAAGATGGCTTTCTTTCGCTGCACTGACTGGTTCACAGATCTCTCGCAAAATATCGACAATGGGACGTTAATCCCTGAATTATTCTTTATGCTATTAACCTGCAAACGCCAGTAATGCTTCTGACAATAATTATCATTTACCCAATGCTTAACTCCGAATTCCTATTCCCAATTATGTATTTCATGCTTCGTGATAACCCGGAACCCCGCAGCTCGTTAATCTTTACTAATGCTTTATGGCCCGTTTAGATTCGGCCTCTCGATAGCTGCCTTTCTTCTCTTAGCAAACTTGCGCTACCTGCAATAGTAGTCTTTGGTTCCTGAGCGCGACTCATTCCGCCTAGGCCTTGGATATATACCCTAACAACCCAAACACCCCAACGGCTCTCTAGTCTTCAGCCGTCTCCATTGTTTCATCATCCTCAGTCTTCACTTTCACTACCTTCTCGGTATCCTCATCCATAGGCTCCTCTTTAATAGGTGCCTCTTTCTCTTTTTCTTTTTCTTTCTCTTTCTCCTTCCCACTACCCTCCTTCTCGTCCTCCTTCTCGTCACCATCCTCCTCCTCCCCTTCACTCTCAAGCTCACTCCCCAGAGCACTATCCCTTGGCTCTAACTCATCCGCATCCTCCAGCATCGCCCTCGTCTTAATATGCGGTAGTGCAATATCACACACTCGCTCCTTCGTCAACAAATCATCAATAAACTCATCCATATGCGTAAGCCTCCACCCGCCCATCCCCCTCACCCTCAGCTTCCGATAATCTGTCATTAGCGGCTCCAGCGTCTTGAAGATATCCACGGCGTTCCACGTCAGCCGAATATAGAACGCCGCGAGCGCGCGCAAGTACTTGAACTCGTCGTCGTGGAGATACGCTAGCACGATCTCACGCTCCGGATGTAGCTGCAGCAGCTTGAACGCGAGGCAGAGGAATGGGGTCGGCTTCTGGTTCGAGTATTGGCCGCCGATGTATGTGAGTTCTACGGCGCGGTCGAGGAGCGTTGCGGCTGTGAGGTGTTAGTTTGGGGCGCAAGAGTGCGAGCGCGCATAGGGAGGGGGAATTACCGTTGAGACCGAAGGCTTGCTCTTTCCAGTAGAGGCTCTCGAAGATGCGCTCGCGGATGATCTTCTCAACGAGCAGGAGAGGGTTGACGCCGTGGACGGTGGCGCCGGTGTATAGTCCTCTGCTGTCCAGCATAGACTTTGCGTCTGCTTGGTGCGCCATTGTGGGTTTATTTGCGGTCGGAGCTACGGAATTACTGGATTACTGGTATAATCGCGGGTTGTGGAATCGCGGGTTTGTGAGGCTCTTGAGACCTGGGAGCTTGTTTTAGGGCGTGCCGGGTAACTGGCGTGGGTCAATGATTGCGCGGTAGGTTCTGCGTCCTGCTGTTAATATCCTTAAAATTGTCGAATTTTGCTACTTTTTAAGGCGAATTCGTGGCTATATTGGGTAGTGGTACTCAAAAGGAGCTCCTGGGCATCCAAAAGACATTTCTGGTCACCAGAACGTTTATCAAATACCCTGGATGCAGTATAACACTTGGAAACAGCTAGGGGGGAATTCCGGAAAGGATATATATTAAATACATGTGCCTAAAAGAAACCGAACTTCTAAACAACACTCATAGATATCTCCCAGTGTTGCTGCTTTGCATAGCCATAAGTTCCTTATATGGTTATAACTATGGACAAGCTCACATACACAGAAATACTACTCTTAGTATGTCCTTAACATAGATTTAGATCGAGTCAAAAGCTGAGGGTCTCATGAATACACATCTACAGCGGGTTGTTACTACAAAGATAAAAAGACTCTAGCTAATTACATATTCAGCTTCTGAATATAGTGTTTCCTGAGTAGGTGCTGGAATCGATTGTAAAGACCTCTTTTCCGCCATTGGTTGCAGATAAGAGAGATAACGAGATCTATCAGCAAAGATCACTCACCTTCTTCATGATTTACGTACAGCACCTTGATCACTTACCAATGTCTTTAGATAAAGAGTGTAAGGTTTAAAGTGGTGACTTATGCCATTACATGGTTTTTTTTACAGGATTCCTCTGACCTACTTAGTCTCATCAATACTTATATGCGGGAGAGGTTATCTGCCCAATATATGGTTGCACTTGCTACTGGAGAAACGGCAGCCTTTCGACCCCACCACGTGCACTACAATATAGCAGTGGGACCACCGACCACTCATTATGAGCTAATACATACCACTTATGCCTCTGGCTTCCATTAGACTACCATTTTCTAAGATATCATGCGTTGTCTGAAAAGTAACAAGGCTCAATATTAGCTTGAATTTCGTGCCTGGTCTTATAGCAGTTTCTTCACGGACCATCACTCGTTTCACAAACCCTAACCCCCATCCAACTAAATATACCAGATGTACCACTAATCAAGACAGATTGTACTTCAAGTAGAGAAATAATTTTATCTTAAATCGCTTATAGTACCAAGCGACGTGGTCTATAGATAAAACGGGACACCAATCCGGCCGTATACACACATTCTACGTCGTACCCGGCCAGACCTACCGCTCATTAATCATGGATTATAAATTTTCCAGAATATTAAAGAGCACCGGAGGAGGTAATAGGGGTAACTATCGGTCGAGTTCAGGATCGTATTCTTCAGGCGCCGGCTATTCTGTAGCTACTGGTACCCATTCGGAGAAAATCAGTTCAAGAACCGTCCTACTCGAGAAGGAGGGCGATGGCGATGTCGATAAATACCCCAATGATCAACAGGATGGGGCTTGGGGAGGTTCTTCACGACATGTCACAATTCGGGAAGAGGGCGACTCAGAGAAAAGTCCTCAGGATTTGGAGAGTGTTAAGGTGATTTCACCAAATGAGGAATGCGCACATTGTGTGGACGATACTGAAAGAATTGATCAGAGTGCGAGTCTTCTGCCTTCCGAATTCCCCGTGTATGTAATTGAATGACGAACTTACTGAGTTCTAATAGCTGCAAGTGTTTACGCACGCACCCCTTCTGTTGGTATTGAGAGTTAGTATTTCAACAGTCTAGCACAATTGGAGAAGTATTTTACTGATGATGGTCCAACAGCGTCAAGTATCTACTCACTGGATCTTCCGACCATCATGTCCGACCAAAATGAGTTCGCGCTCTACCCTAGATTTGGCAAGCTCAACTGTCTAAATCTCCTTCACCTGCAACAGCATCTCTTTGATCTCGAACAGCAGCTCGAGGATCTAAACCTAGAGGAACTCAAGAGTATCGAAGAGGAGGACTTTATTGATAACATGAGGGATGCCTTGGAGGGGACCGAAACGCACGGTGTAAGGCATCGACAACAATCAAGGGTATCGAGAGCATCCTATAGCTCCAACCTCTCAACTAGAAGTGCTGGGTATGGGGGGTCCAGCGCTCAAGAGAAAGCCGATAGAGAGCATGAAGGTTGCAAGTCTCAAGGTCATATTCTTCGGATACCTCACTCTCTAGAGGGGCGAACAAAGGACCTGCCAATAAGTTTGAGAAGGTGCCAGTTGATGGGAGAAGTGGAGGTGACATTAGGGGCTTATAGTGCGTATCTTTCGTTTAATGAATATAATCTACGTATCGTCCTTTACTGAATATTCTCCACTTGAGACTAGACCGAGCCCTTTTGAGCTATTCCCAATTAATTAACCTTCCTAGCGCATCTACGCGAGATAGGCGGGCGCTCAAGGTCTGGCTTCAGCGTGCCGATGACCCTCTTGCCAGAAATTCGGATTCGCTTCGATTCCTGGATGAGGATTCTGCTGATGTGATAGCACTTTGTGCTCGCGATTCAGATATTTTGGAAAACTTTTTCCAATCTCGTCTACTCCGTATACTCGAAAACTGGTCGATCTGGGCTTTCGTATTCCCGTCCATCCGGGGGGCAGTGGCTACAATCAAGCCAACAATCCAATCACGTGCAACCCTTGAGTTCCTGAGGTTTTTCATCTCCTTGGGTGGAGCAGTGCTGATTGTTGCGCCGGTCGTTGTTCTTTATTTTACAAGGTCGGAATGGGGTAGGTTGATGATTATCTGTGTGTGTACAATTGTATTTGCCATCCTGATGCACATGTTTACAGCTTCGGACAAGAAGGAGGTTCTTATGGCAACCACTGGGTATACAGCTGTGCTGGTGGTTTTTGTTGGGTCTGATGCATTTTCGGATGCAACTGCTCCAATGCCTGGCTGAAGGTTGTATGTACATGTTTGTGTTGAAGGTTTGAGCCAAGCTGGAATGGATGTACAGTTGGGTGCACGTAGCAATAGGGTTTGACCCGTAGGCTTGGGGTTAAGGTACTACAGAGCTTGCTAAATCAAGGCATGTCCACAGCAACTTGCTGTTTAAATTCAAGGTCCCGGGGCGGTACTCACAATCAAAGGCATATCGTATCACAATGAAAGATTAGTAGTTTAATGAGAAAACCCAGTTGATGCTAAACCATAGAAACCGTGCTGAAGAATACATATCTTTGGTATCTTTGGGAAGCTGTCAATTCGTTCGCCGATCCCATCCCAAGAAAGTAAATATGCCATGCACGGACCATTTCCTAATGTAGGGATAGTCACTCTTAAGCTTTCTTTCAGCCTCAAAACCCAAAACCAACCCCACATTACAGGGCCCTACCCGTCGCCCCCGAAGCCCACAGCTATTTAAAAGGGAGGGATAGCTACAGAAACTCGGGATGTCAGCGCCGTTTACCAATCTATACCATCTACGGAAGGTGGCAGAGGTAAGGGAAGCTCAGATTCTAGTAGAGGAAATAGGTTTTGATAAACCGGCTTCATTCTAGAGCGCTGCGAAGCCATGTATGGTGTGCTACAAGCCCACGACGAGCGTCCTTGTGACGCCGGATAAGAAGGTTTGTTGGTGAATTGATAGCCTTGACAGGGACTTTGTTAATGGGTTTGGCAGGACTTCTTCTATGTCTGCCCTAGCCACACGAAGGATCGCGGATTTGCGTCTGCAGTTGTGGACGACCCAGAGCCCACGCCCGAGGAGCTGGACAGGAAGCGCAAAGAAACTGAGGAGAGAAGGCTAGCCGAAGAGATCGAGAGGGTGAAGAAGGAGTACGAGGAGAAGCAAAGGAAGAAGAAAGAGAAGGAGGAAGGCGAGAAAGAGAAAGAGAAAGAGAAAGAGAAAGAGAAGGACAAGGAGAAGGATAAGAAAGAAGATGAGAAGGAGAAGGGGAAAAATAAAAAAGAATCCTCGCCCCCCGTAGAACCTAAAAAGGCTGAGGAGCCTAGGATATTCACATTGCACAAGTGAGAACCCCCCACCTCTTCCATAAATCAAAGCTTGGAGAGCTTGCTAACTCCCCGTCTTCTGCAGGACCATATTTGATTCTAGGATGCGACGATGGAAGCAGCAGCAAATTTCGAAGCTGAATCAGGAGCGGCTTAGGTCTAGTGCGTTTCCATCGGTACCCAAGGGTGACCCGGTATAGATAAGTTATATCATATCATGGAGTTTATGTGTGCCTTGTTCCTGTCCTTAGATACATGCATCAATTAGACATGGCGAGTTGTGGTTGACGATTGTTTCGGTGGTGGATTGACTTATGTGAGAGCGATACAATACCTAGCATACATGTACCTATATCCAATATAATTCGGAGGGTTCTTCCGGCGAGGAAAGCACACGCAAGTAAATACAAACAGGGCGGAAGAAAGTCGCTATATGTGGTGTATACAACGAGTGATCACCAATGATCTAGAATAAGGGTCGTTTAGAAACGGACAAGGACTTGTTGGTATATACTGTCAAGCTTCCAGTTGAATGGAGCTTGATAATACTATTTGCCAAAAATAAACTAACTAATGATTCTGCTGGGATAGCTCCAGGAATTTCTCCCTAGACGGAATCCAAGCCGATCAAGCAGGATATCCAGAAACAGAACAAGTCCATTAAATGTCAGATCCCATGCACTCCCATCCCGTACAACCAAGAGAAAAAAAATGAATTCCCAATCCCGTACCCCCCATGCCGAAAACCTGTTGAAAGAACACCGATTATATATCAAAATATCTGCATCTGTATTAACACAGTCCCCAACTTCACCTTACCCCCGATCAACCTTCCAATAGCTTCTTTTGCACCATTTCGGTAGTACCCAGCCCACAGAAAACCTCTTTCCAGTAGATCCCCATTTCGAACAGCTTCAGCTTCGCACCGATACGGAAGTACTCCCACAGGGCCGAAACCCACCGGACGATGTTCTTCGCTCTCAGCAAACCGCCGTGCTTCTCAATTTCCTCGCGGGCTTCTTCATAAACAGCTCTCGAGCAGTATCTCGCAAGAATCATGAATGTTCTTTCTGGACCGCGACCAGTTTGGAGGCCCTCATCAAGCGAACGGGTAAGATCATTTGTTTTCAAGATAAGCAGAATAACCGACGGGACATTGGCGAGCAGTTGGATTAGTTGTTCCAAAAGACCCTCAGTCATAGCTAAATCTCAAGTGTCAATGGCTTTTTCCCCATAAATCGACTTAAAGGGGGGGAAAAAAAACCTTGAGTAATTTGTTTCTTCTCTTCATCATTTCGAGGAAGTGCAACCCCTTTTTGCAAAGCGGTAAAATCCCTCCCTGTGATAGCACTAGCAAATAACGGGAACTGTTCGTCCGTGATACCCGCGACTTCGTTCGCATACCTCCTCATCTTCTTTTCATTCCCGTCGATCACAGCCAACCAGAGCTTTGCGTAAGATCTTCTTAGGTCCATTGGTATTTCCCTGTATAAACCGTGATCATATAATATAATCTCGAACTTGCTCTTCCGCCATCCTCTTTTTGAAGGATCTGTAAGTCGAATTGCAAGGTTTCCCCCGTGTGGATCACAGTGCAGTGGTGCATTCTTTCCAAATACCATTTCGTTGAAAATTCTGGCCAACGCAGCAGAAACCTCATCCCGAGAGATACCATTGCTGTCTAGCCATTGTAGATCATCGAGGCGTTTTCCAGGAAGATATTCCATTACTAATATTCTTGGTTTTGCCCAAATCACTTTCCTCCAAGTTAGTATATTTAATAATACCCCGAATATCTTTACATCGCGAGATTAACTAACCTTTAGGAATAACCACTGGTGTATTTTTGACGTTCTTGAAGTATTCTGTTACCCGGTGAATATTGCTGGCCTCTCTTTCAAAATCGAGCTCTTGAGGCAGACTATAAAGATGTTTACTCGTAAGCACCCCTCCTCAAAAAGGATCATGTCTGAAAAGGTATACCCACGATGCCTCCATCTCATCGCTGAGCCAGGTCAACGGATATTCCGGGAAGAACCATTTGATGTATTCGAATGAGAATCTCGTCAATTGCATATCGAGAGGGATCCATTCCGCCAATGATGGATGTTGTAGTTTTACCGCAACCCTAAAGGCCATTAGCATCAAAACCTACGTCTCATCAATGAAAAGCGCATGAAAACACACTCTTGGCCTGTTTCCCTCAATATCGCCCGGTGCACCTGAGCCAAAGATGCTGTCACAGAACTCAGTTTTCATAGCTCGAAAAAAGTAACGACTGGGTTTTCCGTACCGGCTCCTAGGGGGACTGGGTCAAAGGTTGAGAAGAGTTCTGGTATTGAGTGACCGGTGTCTTCAAGGATCATCTAAACCATCTAAATCAGCACAAACTATCATTTCCAAGGTCTTAGTCATCCGTAATTTCTTACTTTTTCAATACTTTCCATACTAGAAACTGGGCAACGATCTTGTAGAGGAATAAAGGTTTCCTAACTAGTCATTAGAAGATAGCTCTCCGATTTCTGAATAAAACACACTTACAGTCCATTCCACCGGTAGCAGATATCCCATGGCAGCCAGATGCTGTCCGAGCTTGATGAATATCGAGCCATTCTTCTCGAGTACCTTGTAGGTTCTATGCCAATTGAGTTAATCCCATATCACGAGAGGTGTTTCCGGTGAAACGCCGGAGAAGTGAAACATTGACCCCACCTTTCGGCACACCGCTTATGGCATTTCGAGAGCACTGTTTCATTATCCGGGTCACTATCAAGGATCCTCAAAGTAACTCGATAACTGCCAATCAATTAGCTTAACCCCCCGGGAAAAGTAATAGGAAGAAATCATACTCATTTATGCACAGCGCCAACGCACTGGCGACCCGACCCGCCCTTTCCACGGCAGCAACCGTATGCCCCACATCTGTCACGATCCCGAAGACCGCCGCCCCTACTACCGTACCTCCGAGGACGCCCAATACTATTTTGCCACTTCGATGAGGGGTAGTTTTTGTTCCAGTCTTAATAGGTTGGAAGGTTGAAGGTTTCCGTAGTGATGAGAGGCATCGTCGGCATGTCCATGAGGCAGAGTTGAAGGCTGGGAATATGGTATTCTGATTCCGGGGGAGGAGACCACGAGATGGGATTAAGGCACGCATGACCGGAGAGCAATTGTCGAAAGGTGAGAGAGGACGGAAGCTATCATACAGGCGATAGATGGACCTAGTTATATTGATAGCAGGCGGGGAAGAGGGAAAGCCCAGTCTGGACGACGTGGTCTTGAGTTATCGGCGGGTGAGACTCGGAGGAGTGTTGAGAGCAGGGTTAGGGTCACGAGCCAAATTTTTGCCGGCAGTTCATGAGCTGCCAGAGTTGTAGGGATTACTTAGTGCCGTTGAAGTTAGGCAGAGCCTCAACAACCACATCGAGTTCCTGCGTTTCCCTGCACCGCTTGACCACATGGATATGACAAACGGAATTTGAAGCTGGACTTGCTGCTGCAGTAAAATTAGAAACAACTACAGAGCTCGTTGTTTTCTTGCATTTCTGGACAAAATGGTTCAGGTCATGGCTGTTTGAAAAAACAAAACTGCACTCGAGGTTTTGAAAGAGCAACTGTCCTGCGGGATTGGTCAGGATCACAATTTGCGACCCTTCTGGCGACAAGTCGGATTCCAGAGTGAAGGTCTCAGCAGCTCAGCTTTCATAACCTAGCTGGACCATTATTAACTACATGTAGATAAGTACATTTTAGCCCGGTACCGTGGGAAACTGGGAAATGGGTCATTGACATACACGCTTCGTTGTGAATAGACCTGGTTATGAATTCAGAATAACACCCGTGGCTTTGTGTGCCAGAATGTCTATTGAGGAATTAGCAAGTCGATCCGCTACCTATTTAAGCCTACAAAAGCTACATGTATTTAGAAAAGGATATACCATTTACTTATCCCTGCTGAAAGCTGACTACCCCCTTTCGTAGAGAGTGTGCACTCATGTGTTGAGAGTACGTTCGTTTGTTGGTTTCACGCTGAATTAACAGCAGGTCTCCAACTACATCCCTTAAAGCAAACTCTGGGACGTAGGGAAATGGTATATATTTGCTTTTTTTTTCTTTCCCCCCAGGCTTCTAGCCAATCAGTTCCCGTCCTTTGCGAAATAATTTTTCATCCTGATCTTGAGATATCTCCACTCCCACGATTTTATTGGCGTTTAACAATCCCCGCTTCTGAAGTGCATATATGGTCTTTGTGGGCCTAGATCGCCTAAGGCGGGGTTATTCGAGAGGGGAGAGCATCCGCGCGCGTAAAAAAGTACAGGACCGTAGATGTGCCTTATCACCTTGAGAAATATGCGTATGTGCATATGTCTGAAGTTGATCATATATGAAATCACCCAAAAAAAAAGCCTGGTGATGCGCATCTGCAGCCAAGGGAGTAGAGTAGACGCCTGTTGCTTTCGATTGATGGTGGTGGGACTTTACATGGAAAGCAAAACTGACCGAAATACATGTAGTGGTGAACGTTTTGCATTCCAGCATTTTGTCATCCACAGCATACTTTACATCATTAGATGTATTTTTTTTTTTTTTAATGACTGAATTCTACAACACATCTGTATCGAATGCCAAGCCAAACGAGTGATCGAATATGTACCTACAAAGCATCGATGGTAACTGGCAGGGATTGCAGGTCTCTTACTGATAGAAACGAGAAACAAAACCAGAATCAAGGTAAGATGACAGGAAGAGAAGACGTTATATATAATCTGTTGAAGTCGAGATGAAGATAGGGCCTACGGATGACATCCACACGTTTGATAACCCGTTGGTAGCACATTGAGTGTACCTCCTTATACTCAGCAGAGAGCAAAGCAAAGAAATTATATCTGCTGCCCATTTTCAAAAACCCTACAGCTTCTATATCCTCTCTAAACCCGCGAAGGGGCCCTATGATCCCATTCACAAAAGATATAAACACCGAACCCATATTTTTATATATATACAGACCTCTACGCCGCAGCCACTGGCTGCTCTTCGGCCTCAGAAACTGGTGCCTCCGGCTCCTCTTCAAAGTCAGACACAGTAAAGGTACTCCTGCCCCGTCTCTTGATGATATCGGCCGTAGCCACCTCTTTCCACATCTCGAGAGCCTTCTGCTCCATCTCGATACCGATCTCGAGGTACGACTTCCCGAACTGAGCGCCCACAGCCAGGGCCTCTTCCGCCGCAACACGGCGCTCAATGTCCTGCTTCATACGCAGTTCGTAGAATTCCCTACGGGCATGGTCGTAGGCGTCCGTCTCCCCAAGCCCCTTGTTCTCCATCAACCACATCTGTCGCTGGACAACACTAAACGGAACCATCAGCACCAGCAAGCCACTGACAGTTAGTACACTAGGAAACCAACCTTTCACCATCCAGCTGCTTGCTTTGCTGCTCAATCTTGCTCCAGTCATAATGCTTATGATCGTTTCCGTCGTTCTCCACCAAGATCCTCGGCCTAGCCAGCTCCCACGGGTGGTCCTTGAAGAATTGCGCTCGAAGCTTGTCCTCGGGGTACTCAATCTTCTGAGGCATGAACATTCCTCTCGGCTTATGTCTCTTTGTCCATGGCTTGTGGTCCTTCTGTTGCACCGGGAGCGGGCGGACAAGTGACGTTGTGGGCGGTATCGAGCCGACAATCCGATACCACGCCGGCTCCTCCCGCAACCGTCCAGTCTCGAGGCGGCGAGAGGCGGTCAGGTGCACCCGTATGGGGCGCAGTCGTTTAATTGTGTTCATTGGGGCGTTCCGGTGTGAGCGGAGGGTGTTTCGGGGATCTCTGGGTGGACAATTCCGGGGTAGTCGCCGGGGGGTCGAGTTTGGTTGTTTGGTGGGCTTGGGGAAAACTTTGGTGGGTTACCGTGGGGTGGTGATGGCATGTGCGTCAGAAGCGTATATGTAGGAATGGGCGGTACTGGGGACAACTCCGGGGGTGTCGCGTTTGTAAATTCTCGCCGCCGGTAGTTGCTATTCACAGACTCAGGTTTTCTATTATATTCATAAATTTCATTTGAGGAAAGTGGAAAACCGGAACACCGTAAAGAATTATAACTATGGTACAACTGCTAATGAAAGCGACACATTCAAGAATACTCCCTTATCAAATCCGTATCAAGCACCCATGGAAGAAAGATAACCTCCATGCCTATTCTCACTTTGCTGCTGTAGCCTCCACAACATCCTGTTTATCGTCAAACTGCTTCCTGGCGTCGGCGATAACTTTTGCCATGACTAGAAGCTCCTCAACACGGCCCAACTTTTTCGGATCGCGTCGCAGAGCAAACTTGAAGTCGTCGACCTTGATCTTATTTCGCCGGGCCTGTGAGGCCATGCGCGCTGCGTCGTGACACTGTGTAGAAGATCTGATTAGTTTAAGCTGCTGCGGAAGTTTGAGCACTGTAGGTAAATACCATATCGACAATGTAGCTGCGAGCGCGAATGGTTAGCTATGCTATCTAAGCTGAGCTCACGGGGAATGTTTGTAGAATAACACACTCAGTGACAATCTCATCAAGGACATTAACACTCTCTTGGAGTGGCTCTTGGTCATCGCCGAAAGCGTACATCAGCGACCTAACTACATCCCCCCCCCCAAGGTGACTGTTAGTACAATATCACAGCGAACTAGTATTCCGAGGGTAGTAGACGAACTCTCTTTAGCGAAAAGGTGCTGGCGTCTACTGCGCGGGCGCGAGCGGGAGATTCCAGCATCGGTGGCCATGGTTTTTGAATTCTGATGTTTAGGATGAGCCCTGGGTCTCTTCTGCGTCGACTGTTCAGGACTCTCCATGGTTCAATGGAATCTGGGTTACTTATGCGCTTGGTGGCGGTGATTGTGGCGGTGATGCTCCAGTGTGGCGTCAGTATGTTCCTAGCTTCAAAGCTCTGACGTTGGTTGAAACCACGATTCAATTTACCACCACTGCCCCACGACTCCCGCTCTCACATTCAACCCTCCAAGTCTACTTACAAACGAGCCCGCAATGGTGAGTTATCCTCAAAATTCCTCTGCAATAGCTTTAGACAACTAACCGCCCCTATCTACCTAGTCTGCTCTCTTCCACTTTGACGCGCTCCTCCTGGTTATCCTGCTCCTTGTGTGCACATGCACCTATGTGCGCGCCACTGTGCCGGGCATGGTAGACTCACGGAAGGATAAGAACATGTAGGGCCCTCCCGTTTCCCCACACACCCCTGCTGGCTAATATACGGTAGGCTGATGAGCGATTGGTAGCTTCTTTGGCATGTTTTGGAAGTTTGCCCGTATCGGAGAGCGATTGTCGCCATATGTTAGCTTATGCTGCATCATTATGGCTGTAAGTTCTTCCCCGGAGTTTTGCACTTGGAGTCGGCTCTCGTTATAAGGACTTGTCTATGGCGGATAGCGGGTATCCTGCAAGATAGAAACCCTCATAAAGTTTAAATATTCTTATTGGGGCCTCCTTATAGCGAGAGTCGACTTCCGGGAGCGAGCTAGCCCGGAACACATGCTAACATGTTAGCGATGTAGGTTGTGACATTTGTTTCATAAAATGGGGATAAGATACACAGACCAAGACGGGGGAGAGTGGGGGGACGAATTTTTGTTTGTATTACTGCTCTGTGTTGGATTGTTTTTATCGGGCGTCCAAATGCATTTTTTCTTTCTTTCTTTCTTTCTAATTATTATTGTCCTTTCCCGCACGCATAGATTATTGATACCACATACATTTCAACAAAAGTGATTGAATTTGGGCGCATGAGTGCAGGTCCTGCCGGCGCCATCCATGGTCTCTATTGAATAAAGCCTTGGTGTAAGCTCTGTATACACATGGGCCATGGGGGCTTCGCCAATGATGGTCTACATCGCCGTGGCTAGGAAGCTTTTCTATCAGCTGGACAAAGACGGGGCCCATAGACAGCCAAAGTCAGAGAAAAGTAACGTTCTCAAGGCTGTGGGCTTCTAGATCTAGCTCAATTGCAACCTCAAATGCCTGTATCTAGAAAATCCAATTATGCCGTAGTTAAGTCACGAACCTACATCGAGAAAGAAAAAAAGTTTGATGACTAGGAGTCGTCTTAGCGATAGCTAGCTACTATCGCTGTCGTTTCAGTTGACCCATATCTACCATTCCCTCGTCTTTCCCCTTTGCCCAACCCACATCGATCCGTCTTGAATAGTCCTCATCACACACACCCACTCACCCGACCAACTGTATACCCAGTCATACATGTATCAGTTCAACCCCCCATCGACGGCAGACAGACCTCAGAGGTCGATCCCAGAACTCTCAAACCACAGATTACAGCTAAGAATGTTATACTACTACATAATTTCATCTATACATATAACTGTGCAATGGGTTCCTCCAACTTTAGCCGTTCCATGTCGTCTCTTCTGAGCTGCAGGAAGTAACGCCCAATCACCAGTCATCACTCGGTGCTCAACATTGCGACCTTTGTTGGATCTATTGGTTGATGATTCGTTCGTATGGGGTTTTATTTGGATGTTCAGTTTTTTTCGAATGATGTCGAGCCCGTGCAGGTGGGCTGTCCAAACCTACCGTCGACACCCTATCACTGCCATATGCACACTGGCCCTTATTAGATGAGACTCTTTGACCAAATCACTCAACCATCTCGTCATACTTCCCCAACACCTTCGGCCAACATGACGGTGAATGGGGACGTGCAAAATCAGAATCAAGAATCTATATGCTGCAATGGCCATCCAGAGCCTTCGCACCACTACGCATGAGCGCTGATCACCAAAAGAGCTACCAATGATATCTCGACCACTTTCCATTAATATCTAAGGTACAAAACGCAAACTTTTATCTATCGAAACCTCCTCCTCCTCCTCCTCCTCCTCCTCTCCTCCTCCTCCTCTCCTCCTACACAAATTCAAAAGTGTCGCCCACATCCGTACACATCACGCCCACCCTCTTCGACCCCACAACCCTCTCCAACCTCAGCACATCCCACCGACTAAACAAGACCCTCACCCTACACGTCCCCGCCTCCGCCATCCCCTCGCGCACACTCCTCGCCAACCACCCCCCCGCCACCTCGCGATAGAACCGCTCATTATCCGGCACCTGGTAGAACACCACCTCCCTCGCCCCAGCCACCTCATACCTCCGAAAATGGTGCGCGCGCCCGGTATACAGCAGCACCTTGAGCCTCCCCGTCCTGAAGTGGCTCCTCGCCCGCGCAACAGCACCCACCGCCGTCTCCTCGCTGACGACGCCAAAGTCGAGCCCCAAGCCATCCAGGTGGTTGCGCACCCTCACAAAGTCGTAGTACGAGTGTACAAACACCACGCTCCCCCCCGCGCTGCGCTGCAGTCCCGGGAGCACCATGGCCGCGAAGAACGCAAACCGCGCATCGGCGTCTTGCGCCGGCGCGCGGGCGTCAAAGCGCATGAACGTCTGCCGCACCTGCAGGCCCAGGTCCGTCATGGCGCCCGCGTACTCGGGCGCGGTCTTGACGCGGCCGGCGATGCTGCGCATGTGCCCGGCGAAGAGCGCGTTGATCTCGGGCGTGAGGAAGGTTGCGGTGACGAGCGTCTGCCGCACGAAGCGCGCCTGCGAGTCGAGGTACCATGAGCGCACGCGGCCAAAGTCGCAGCCGTGGGCGTCCGTGGGGATGAGGTTGAGGTGCTTGAAGACGTGCTCGACGTGCTCCCAGTTCTGCATGAGCAGGGCGTCGGCGTGGTCGACGACCACGAGCTCGAGCGAGGAGAGGAAGTCGTAGTCGCGCTTCCTATCACCCTCGTCCCCGAGCACCATGCGTAGGCCGAGCGGGGAGGCGAGGATGATGTCGGAGGTGTAGAATTGCGAGAAGAGCTTGACGGACTTGCGCGTGAACTTGAGGCCGAGGCGGAAGAGGTCGTCGTGGTTGCCGGAGAAGAGCTCGCGGAAGTCGGCGGGCTTCGTGGCGGGGATGCGCTCCTCCGAGGGCGGGAGCGTGAAGCTGTCGGTGAAGCGCTTCTTGTTCTCCTGCTGCTCCGCCTGCGACAGCGCGAGCAGGGTGTTGACCACCTCCGCGCAGGCGTTCCGCGTCGGCAGCAGGAAGAGCACCTTTGGCCGCGTGAAGCCCTGGTCGCGCAGCTCGAGGTCGGCGGCGCCGTCGTCCGTGGTGGCGGCGCGCGAGAGGCGCTCGTTGTTCTTGAGCACCCTGCTGCGCGTCTTGTAGATGTGGTTGAGCGCATGCACGCAGGCCAGGTTGCGGACGGCGGCGGCGTTGTCGGGCGTCCGCGAGGTGAAGAGGACGTCCTGGTTGGCAAAGATGTAGGGCGCGAGCGCCTGCTGCACCGGCGTGAGCTCACCGTTGAGGGCCTCGAAGGGCGCAGCGAGCTTGTTCTTCAGGTTGACGTCTGCGATGCGGTCGACCTTCTTGCCCGGCGCTGCTTGCGACTCGCTGGGGGCGCTGAAGACCAGCTTCCCGCTGAGCGCCGGGTGCGTGAGCTTCTTGGTCTCCCAGCTGTTTGCCTCTGCGGCCTTTGTGCGTGCGAGATACGAGGGCGTCGGGGTTGCAAAATGGGACTCGAAGGGGTCGGACTGGTTCTCGTCGTCGCTATCCCCGCCATCCTGCTGCTGCTCTTCCTCTTCCTCTGCGCCCTCTTCGTCCACAGGCGCCCACTCCTCCTCCGGATCCTCCTCCTCCGCTTCCACGACGTGCTGGGTTTTCCGGCGCTTTGCGTCCCGTGTGTCTTTGGACTTGCGGCTCAGCGTTAGGGACTGCAGTAGCACGTTATACGGCTTTGCGCTGGTGTCTTCCGGCTCCTCCTCGTCCTCCGTGGTGAGGACAGCGTCGTCGTCTTCAGACTCGGACTCGGACCCGGACCCGGGGGCATTATGGGCTGCGCCGACTTGCTCGTCGGAGCTGGCTTCGTCTTCTGACGGCGCTGGGTGCTTGCTACTGCCTTGCTGTTAGGGCCAATTGCACTCGTTTCATGGATTGATTGATGGCACTGCTACTAACTCTCTAGGACGGTTCTCGAAACTGCGGATACCACCTCGGCCTCTACCACCGCCGCCGCGGCCCCGTGCGCCACCCCGTCCTCTACTGCTATTACCGCCTCGACCGCCGAAGCTACCACTGCTGCCGCCGCGCCCACGTCCTCGCTGTCCTGGTGGCATTGTGGGGGTTGTAGGTGGTGGGGTTTGTATGTGTTTGAATCCCCTTGAAGGTGAGGCGAATAAAATAAAAATTTAGGCGCATGAGGCTCTGGGAATCCCTGCGTGTGCCAAGACGCTGCACGCCCCACTATTTTGGTGTTTGGGTCATGGGATGTCACTCGGCTGAGAAGTGAGGGCCGAGGGAAGCGAGTGGTCGTGGTGGGAGATGGAGGGTTTGTATGGCGGAGTGGCCTGGGGAGATGGCGTGGAGGACTCTCGGTGCCTGGACTCTCTGATCTGGCACTGCAAACATTGTATCTCTGCCGCCCTTCCCCGAGTAATCATCCCGTTCCAATGCCTGCTGCCAAAAGACCCGGCCCCCGAGTGACTGACTGACTTATCAGATGCGATTACTCATCACTCTTCTCTTTCTTATCGCAGTCCCGACACTCCCCCGCGCTCGCAGTCAACAATCCAATTCTCCCCACGCCCGCCCCACATGCGAGTGCATCAACAAGTTGGTGAGTTCTTGCCCTGCGCCTTGGAACAGTCCCGACCGAGAAAAACAATTCCTATTCCTGCTACATATCTACTTACATATACTTACATATCCCTCCATCCCTCCATCCTTCATCCCTTCTCGCATCCCCCCTCCCCCTCCCCCTCCCCCACATTTCTATCCTATACCCCCCCCCCCCCGCATCCGCTCCCCCGCTAATGCTGCGGAATTTCCCCACCGTTACCGACCGATTCCTGCACTGCATTGTTGGGTGGAGGGCGGGTGGGAACTTGCCTGCTGCTGCTGCTTCTGCTGTCGTGTGCGCTGAGCGATAGAAGAGAAAGAAGAGAAAGGGAGAGAGTGAAGGGCAGCTGCACAGAGTGAAGAGTGAAGAGAAAGAGTGAAGAGAAAGAGAGTCTGTGTGTGTAAGGTGGGCTTTTTACTTTATTATTATTGCTGTTGTGCGCCCATTCGTCTTTTTCTGTCGGCACATTACTCTCTCTAATAACGATACCAAATCAAAATCAATACTAAAATACTCTGCACCGTCTTTTTTTTCCAGAGGAGGGAGCCAAATATCCAAATCCAAATCCAAATATATACAATACATACCTAGAAGACAAGTCTGGTGGCCCGGTGGTGGTTATCCTAGCACTTCTACTACTTCTGCTACTTCTTCTACTACTTCTACTTCTGCAACTGTTACTACTATTCTGCTGCTGCTGATACTACTACTGCTTCTGCTATCATTGCTGCTGCTGCTACCACCATACTGCAATACTGCAATACTGCAATACCACAAATACAATTCACCACCACTGGTACTGCTGTTCCCATTACACCAAACTGTCAGTACGTCCCGGTGCCTTACTCGTGATACGGGGGCCACAGCTCCATTCTGCCGAATCCTACATATACACACACACGCCCGGCCTCTTGCATTGCGTCCAGACACCCCGTCAGTCCACAGCAGCAGCCTGCACCCATCCGTCCGTCAGTCAGCCAGTCAGCCAGTCAGCACCAGCAGCAGCACCGAGTCAGTTCACACAACAGCACCCAACATCCCATATCCATATCCCCCCACCATTAATACCACCCCCCCCCCCCCCCCGACCCAGTAACACTCCCCCGAAGCCAAAAGTGCTCCCCCAAAAAAACCAAAACCACAAAATCCCCCACAATGCCACCACCACCCCCAACCCCCTCCACAACCTCCCCCGACAAGCCCCCGCACCCCGTGCACCACATCTACCCCATCTTCGTCCCCGCCGACCTCTCCGACAACTTTATCCACGCCTTCTCCGGCGCCACCGCCGGCTTCGTCTCCGGCATCGCAACCTGCCCGCTCGACGTCATCAAGACCAAGCTGCAGGCCCAGGGCGGCTGGTCGCGCATGGGGCCCGGACCCGGCGAGGTTGTCTACCGCGGCCTCTTTGGAACTGCCAGCACGATATGGAGGGATGAGGGCTTTCGCGGGATGTATCGCGGCCTGGGACCGCTGATATTGGGCTATCTGCCGACGTGGATGGTGTATTTTACGGTGTATGAGAAGGCGAAGAAGTTTTTGGAGCCGGGTGAGTTTCTTTTTTTGATTCTTTTTTTTTTGTTTTTGTTTTTGTTTTTGGTGTTCTTTTTTTTTTGTGTAGTGGGAGGAGGGTGGTTTGGAGTGGGGAGGGAGAGGGGGGGTTATATTTGCCTTTTACACTAGTATTTTTACTTGTTACTTCATCCGCTTTGGGTTTGCGGTTTTGCACATGTTCAATTGAAGGATTGGTTCCGCGGGGGGGGGGGGGCGCAATTGACCTATTTCATTCCCCAATTGCCCTAAACACTGTCCCCGCCCTCCTCTCACCTCCGCGCTCATCCCCCCTCTATCCAACCCCCCAACTGCCAATTGCCATGCCCCCATTTCCCCACTCCCCCCCCAACACCCGCGCAACGATCATTTCCACTAACCCGCACCCACCCACCACCACAGAAATCGAGCGCACCTGGGTGACGCACATCCTCTCCGCCATGACCGCCGGCGCCTCCTCCACAATCTGCACCAACCCCATCTGGGTCATCAAGACGCGGCTCATGTCGCAGCCGCCCGTCACCGCCTCCTCGCCCGCCTCGCACCACTACACGTCGACGCTCGACGCCATGCGCAAGATGTACCTGCACGAGGGCGTGCGCGCCTTCTACTCTGGCCTGGCCCCCGCGCTCCTCGGCTTGACGCACGTGGCCGTGCAGTTCCCGCTGTACGAGCAGTTCAAGAAGATGTTTACCGCGGGCGCGCGCGAGGGCCAGAGCGGGAGGGCAGGGCGGGGGACTTTTGGGGGATACTGGCGGCGAGTTGTCTGAGTAAGATATGTGCGAGCTCGGCGACGTATCCGCATGAGGTTGTGCGGACGAGGTTGCAGACGCAGAGGGTGCTGGGGAGGCGGGGGGAGGAGGAGGAGGAGGAGGAGGAGGAGGGGTAGGGGGTAGGGGGAGGGTGAGGTATCGCGGGGTGGTGCAGAGCTTTGTGACGGTGTTTAGGGAGGAGGGGTTGGGGGGGTTTTATGCGGGGATGGGGACGAATATGATTAGGGCGGTGCCGGCGAGTGCGATGACGTTGTTGACGTATGAGTGTGAGTTTGCGCTCTCTGGTTTTCTGTGTTTTTGGGCGGTGGGGGGTGTCGGGAGTGCGCTGCCGGTAGGAAGGCAGGTTAGATGTTGAAGACTCGGTGGCTAACGTATACGACAGTGATGGTAGGACGATTAACACGATACAAGGAGCAAGGAATACTAGAACGAAATCGACTACTCGGCGAACAGTCGCAGTCATCACGGTGATGTAGTTTGTTTTCTTCCGTTTTTTCTTTCTCTTGATACACGAATACTAGCCCAGCCCGGAGGGAGCGCCATCTATTTACCTGTGAATTTCGAGATTGGAGATTAGAGAAGAAGAAAGAGGAAAGCTAGTTTGGGGTGGGGTTGTGAATGTAGTTACTTCCGCTTCTTGTTCGCCTCTTTTTCTTTTTTTTTTTTTTTTTTATTCGTCTCTATTCTTCTTAGTTGGGCGTATATTCATTCCATTCTCATCATTCTTTGTTTCTTCCTCTTCTTCTATTTTGGGGATTTTGTGGCCTTTCTTCCTTTTCTTGTTTTGTAATTGTGATGCGGGGATCTGGACGAGAGTAAAGACGAAGGAAAGAAAAGAAATATCATGGGGATATATACACGGACTTAGTAGGTATTATAATGTAACAAACGCCACTACACTATACACTTCCTTTATTTCCTTCTTCCTTCTTCTTCCTTCTTCCTTTTCTCTTTTTCTCTGGTTTGGTTTCTGGTTCTTTTTCTTGGTAGATGGAAAAGCACTCCTTCTTTTTCTTCTTCCTCTTTTTTCTCTTCTTCATTCGATGGTTGCGGTCAGCTAGAGTAGACGGTCTCTTACAAGTCAAGTCACTTTGGTACTCTACTAGCTCCATCTACTCTGCTCGAGGCCGCATTACCGGCCGAGTGATGACCAGTGATCCTACATCCCCGCCCCCATGCCACCTAGCGGGGGAGAGGGAGAGGGAGAAAGAGAGAGCTGTCAACCCACCCTATGGGTTTCCCGCAAGAATTCCACTGACAAACCCGGCTGGCTTGAGCTGGGCTCTGGTGGGGGGGGAGCACATGTAGGTACCTGCATCACCGACCATTACCGGTGCGGGGTCTCCCGAGGTGCACATGCTGTGGTTGATGCAACGGCGGAAGAGGGAAAGACATACTCTACACTGGCGATGCTGGCATGTGATGGGTTCGGGGATATTGGGGTGTCGGTGTGTGAATCATTGTCTTCTATTGCCATGTGAGCTTCGTAGGTTCCGGGGAAGGTGGTGTGGTATAATATGCCTGTAGAGTATAGTACAGCTGTGAATAGAGAGAGTGAGTTGGTATTTGGACTGTAGGAAGAATCCGGAGGATGGGTTTGCAGTATCGTGGTGCGGGAGTGACTGGAGGGGGAAGGGCTGCAGACCGGCCGGCGCATAGAAGAAAGTTACCAAGAAATATGGCCAACGAGTACACCAGACATCCAGAACCCAGTATACATCTCACAATAGCCCCATACAAGAAGATCGCTCTTCTAATTCCTCAACTATAGAAACACCGGTGTGGTGCAAAAAATATATACAAATCTCAAGCTCTCCGCCGGCCCATAAAACGCCAACATAGATATATAATGTTAGTTCCCTCAGTCAATCGCTCACATACACAACAAGTTCACACTCCTCTACACGCTCCGCTCCAGGTCCAGCATATCAAAAATAAACCCATTACCATTTCCTATAGGCGCCTGTATAGTTAACCCAGCCCAACAAAATCCTGCTCTAAACTGTATCCTCTACCTGCTCTCTCTCCCTAACCTCTCTTGTAGGTCCTCTACCAGCTCATAGGCAGGTTTAAATCGCGGCGTTGACTCCCCGCTCTTGTTCTCTAGTAGCACTGGGTTGGGATGGGTATCGGTCGTTCCGCCTAGAGACGTGTAGCCCTTATCGTACAATGAGCAGTACGGTATCTCAAGCGCGCGCAGAAACTACGATTACCCGTCGGGTCAGCATGCCGTTATTGTCCAAGGATCAACCGAGACACTTTACGGGCGGGAAGACCCGCAGTGAGATAAATCAAATCCCACCCCGCACGGGGGTCCGAGAATCCCAACCGCACAACGGGAATTTGGGGGGGGGGGGGGGGGGAGTGGAAGAAAACAAGGCGGAGCTGAAGGGTTCTGTCAACTTACAGCCCAAACCTCCTGGTAGTGCCAATCAATTACCGGGTGCACTCTCATAAAGTCCGGCCAGCCATGATCCGTCCGGTCAAAATGCGTGAGGAACTCGCCGTGCGGGTCTGTCCGCCTCGTACCGACGAAGATGGCCTTCACGTTCTTGTTCTGCTCGAGGTATATCTCGAATGCCTTCTTCATGGGGAGCGCATAGCGAGCGAGGTCGAGGTGGTACGACGGCACGCAGATGTCTACGAACTCATCGACTTCAGCGAATGGGTGCTGGGACATGACATAGACTGCGTTTAGGAGCGCTATTGAGCTCTTTGGGAGCGAGTTCTGGGAGAGTCCGGCAAGGAAGATTATTAGCAGTACAAGGCAATCTTTGCCACCGTTAAATGAGATGGCGAGTTCATCGAATCTGTGGGAAGCTTTAGTTGTCTGTATATGGCTTGGTGAGCGGCGAAGTGTGGGGGAGGGTAAACGAACGAGTATCTCTGTAATGCTTCTTGAACGACCTGGAGGGATATCTTTGTCTGGTGCTGAACCTGCCGGAGGAGCTCAGTCTCAGGCGTGGACGCGAGGAAAGCAGAGATCTTGTCGTGGAGTTGCGAGCAGAGCTGGTGTAGTGATTCTTTGGATTGTTCAGCGCTCTTCACATGAGTGGTCGCACCGTTCTGCTGGACCACATTCGGGGGAGGGTGGGGGGTTGTGGTGGTATCTTCTTTGTCGAGCATCACAGAACCTCTGGACATGATCATTGAAGCCGTGAATGTCGAGATTCCGGGAAATTTGAGGATGAAATCTAGAAGAGGTGTGAGTGCAATGTATGTATTTGGCTAGGTGGTCTTTTTTGTAATAAGCTGGGGATGTATCGGTATCCACAACCACCATGCTCTTTCTACCCCGCCGCCGCCGCTTCAGCTTTACCTTTACAACCAGATGGGTACATGCCTTACCACTGCCGAGAAGCGGGGATTGACTGATTGATTGAAATAGTGTCAGGTACGAGATCGATCTGGTCTCGGAGGCATCTTCTGTAGAGTACCTAGCGGAAGTAATTTGTTTTTTTTTATTCCTATCTACACTAGACTGCAAGCTTGCGATTGCCAGTTTCGTGATATCTAAAAAAAAAAAAAATACCTATTCGGGGAAATGGAGAACTCACTTGGATGAAGGACGAGGACGAATGGGTAAATGGAGATGCTCTTCGCGGTCAGAAAACCTCCTCTAAAATCCCAGCCTGCATTTCTACAAGTACATGTACTTGCCATGAGTACGCTACAGTACGTAAAGTGCACTCCTCCCACTTCACAACTCTGCGGAAGAAGAAGAAACAAGAACACCACCACCACACGTGCTACCCCGCGGATCCGCGCAATGCAGGTGTGCCCCCATCCCTCATCCCTTCCCTCGTAAGAAAGGAAGCGCGAAAAGCTTGATGTCTGTCTGAATCGATTCCTGCTTTTATGTGCGCAAAATCACAACCGGGGATTCATAATCGAAGCTCTCGGGAAAAGAGGACCCTGATTACCTATTGTACCTACATGTAGGCAGATATGTACCTGATCCAATGAATAATTCTGCCTTCTAAAGAAGTTTCCTGGGATATGTTGCTTTTCTGTTAGTACCTGCAGCTTTCCATTCCTGGGGCAGTTTTTCAGTAAAGTACTCTACCGCCGGCTGTTTGATTTCCCGCCGACATCGCTCATCCAGTCATTGTGGGAGAAGGCGAAGAAGCTCACGGCAGTGTGCGGATCACCTCTCGACGGAAGTTACATGGGGGAGTAGGGGTTCACAAATAGGAACCTGCATTTCATGTAAAACGTCGTGTGTTTTGCAAGGCTGTTGGTTACATATTGGTATGCCCCCATTACTTAACAAGCCCGAGATAGGCAAGCAGCAGGCAAGAATAGTAGACCAGGTAATCAGGCGGGAAGCATCATTACCCAGCGGGCCGTACATAGAGTACCTACATATGTAAAAACCTACATACATCCATACAGCAAGCTTTCACCGCCATAAGCCAGCACCAGGTTTTCGCTCTCCTCCCCGCGTACCCGCCCCTCCGCAAAAAGAATGAGCGCATGCCGCAGTTGTGTGTGATCTTGTGCTTGTGAACACTCACCCGGTCACTCAGCTCCGTGAATGACTGTAACGGGTCGACTGCTGCTGCTCTTCTGTTTCAACGCAGCTGCTGCCCTTTCTTCGTCTTTTTATACTTTTTGTGCTAGCTAGCTATTCTTTCCCTCGCAACGTCCCCCCATCCAACATTCCTGCACTGCAGAAAATGTCCTCTCTACCCGCTGAACATGCCGTTTGCTTCGCCATCGTCTCCAGAGCTCTTGCACAGGCCCGTGAGGAGTTCAGACTCGAGAAGCACCTCAGAAAAGTTTCACCGGGCCGCCAGCCAAGGCCGTCGTTCTCGGTAGACTTGAGATCCAAGCAGATCTCAAGCATCCCGCTGGAGGCTATTGAGCTCATCAAAGATGAAGTAGAAAGGTCAGCCAACGGCAAACCATGGAAGGGGGGCAAGTGATGAAACGCCACCACTTTACCCCCTTCAGAAAGAAAAAAAAAAAAAATTAAGCTATGGCGGGTTCGATTGTTGCTAACTGATTATTCTCCCGCAAATTTTGTTCTGCTTGTTTTGTGTTTTGAAGACTCGCTTTGGCCCATAATCAATTGACCTCGCTGCAAGATGGGTTCTCGGGCCTTCACAGAATGAGATATCTGAACCTCCGTGCGAACTTACTCGGAGAATTTCCGGCGGTGGTATGGTTTGACAAGAAAAAAAACTTCCTTCCCTACAACTTCTTTTTCTCTTTCTTCCTCGTTATCCTTCCTTCAGTGCTAGTATGGGTAAAGAAAGAAAAAAAAAACTGAATGGGAGGGCTGATATTTGAAATGTTTGCTTTATGTGTTGCTGCTGTAGATCACTCGCCTGCCGTCGCTTGAGATACTTGACGTCAGTCATAACCAAATAGGCTCACTGCCCGAAGACTTTGGGACCCTGATGTCGCTGAAGGTATGGCCAGCCAGTACTGCAATCAATACTCTTATTTGCAAGGCACAATAATTTACCCTCCTCCTCCAATCCCCCACTTAAAATTACATAGTTATACTCCAATCTACCTGGCAATGATAATTCGAGAAGCTGCTCACATGGCCTCTCCCAAAAGGTGCTCTCAATGGGCAAAAACAAAATCACCATTCTGCCTAATTATATTGGCGCCATGCCCAATCTCACGATCCTGAAGCTCCACCACAACCCCATCGTCTTCCCCCCAAAAGACCTCCTGGCCAAAGACGACGCAACGGACGACGAAGTATGGCTGGAGGAGGTCAAGAGATTCTTGAGGCAGCATGCGGAGAAGATGGGCACGGGGTCCGAATCAAGGTAAGGAAGGCCCTCCTAGATCAGTAACATTAGAAGTAGGTGAAGTAGGTAGAGTAAATGTACCGTAGTACCTACCCTGGGGGGTGCTACCCTACCAACCCTATCCAGTCCAACCCCCCTCCCCCTTTCGCATATCTACCCCCCTACCGGAACCCTGGTCCCGGCATTGACGGGGTCACGGCGAACTAGGGCGGGGGGGGGGGGGTTGGAGTGGGAGTGGATGGTTTGATGAGCTGCCTGCGCTACCTTCTTTACCTACTTCTACCACCGCACCCGCCGGTATTGTGGGTTTATGCCGTGGTTTCAATTTTGGGGACTAAACTTTCCTGGGGTAAAATCCCTTCTAGTAGTGATTACGGCCCAGACTTGGGGAATGATTCTTGTTCATCAATCAATACCGCGACCTTTGCTTCTAGAACACCAAGCCCTGGTTCTGTGAATAGCTGCTGCTGCTCAGTGGAAGGTAGCGATACGAATAACAACTCTAATCCCACCACTACTACTATTATTACCACAACCAACCAAGCGGAGGAACAGCAGAAAGAGGCACCATTCAGGCTATCAGCAGAGCTCGATACCATCATGCCACACGCTTCCAATTCTCTAAGGACGCGATCCGTTAGTCCGTCTAAACGGTCCATGCTATCTCTGCACCAGAATCGCTCGCCTTCGCCACTGTCGAACGCCACGATGTTGTCTAGCTCTGCACCAATGCCCGCCTCCTCTCTCTCCCCATCCCCATCCTCCTCTATTGCTTCCGAGCAGGAGCAGCCTCAGACACCGCTTTCAGAGTCCAACCTGTCTCAGCTGGAGCGATCCCGTAGTCATAGCGAATCTACAGCACAGCTGCAAACCATCCGGGGTAATCGGAGAATGGGCATGTTGCCACCACGCAAGTCCCCAAATGCCATTTTCCAAGGAAGCGGGAGCAATAATAGCACCACCGGCAGCAGTAGCAATAGTAGTGGAAGCATTGGAGAAGGAGGAAACAACAACCTTCGAACCGTTATCGAACAACCGCAACCGCAACAGCATCTGCAACAGCAACAGCAACAGCAACAGAAGGCTTCGAAGCACCAACGTGGTTACTCGCACGATAGCATCATCGACTCGGCTGGAAGGACGCTAAAAAAGAATATGGGGAAGCCTGCTGACGGTGTTAACGGCGGATCGCAGGGCAGTCCTACGGAAAAGGAACGACAGCCTGGGCCGTACTTTCGACGGTTAAGCTCGTTACCAGAGAATAAGCGGACGTCATTGTCATCTGCAAGAGTTGGTGAAGCTGCTAGGGGGATCCTTTATGCTATGAGCACACTGCAGAAGCCGATCGAGCACTTTGTGCAGTCAGCAGTTGATCCTAACGGACCTCACCATAAAGTTGAGAGAGCTCTTTATAACGGGAATATCCATATAGGGTCATTGGTTGGAGCTCTGGAGGCATACGAGGAGAAAGACGATGAGGCAGCAGTAGATCAGGTCATTGATGCTTGCTACTCTTGCGTTGCCGCGTTCCGACAAGTGCTGTCGATGCTACAGTCGAGCTCAAAAGAGATTGGAGCCGGAGCAGCAGGACATGATGTCCGCTATATGAGGACATTACTACTTACAGTCTACGGATCTTATGTTGAGATCCAGAGCTCGTATGAGATTCTCAGACCATTGCTTAGGACACATCGGCCCACACCGAGTGTACAATCTTTCAGTAGTGCTAGCTCAATGATGAGAGGAAGACAGCCGCTGCAGATTAATAATAACCCTGGACTACGACTAGCATCTATCCCGTCCGCTACGTTCATGTCGTCAGCAGCTTATACAACCCCACGGGGTGGCCCGCTGGGTGCCGACTACTTCTCACTCCCGCCAACGCCGGGTTTAAACAGTGTCCCGTCTTCAGCTGTCTCACAGATGTCGGAGAATGGGTTTGGGTTCGACCACGATGAGCCGTTGTATGGGATCTTCCAGACTGCCATTGGCGCGGCATTGAGCACGCTGCCAGTCATCGAGAAAGAGATTAAGGCTGCGCTGGGGCAGAGCTTGATGCCGAATGTGTCTTTGAAACTAAGGCAGGTCTCGGCTTTGTGCGTCAATGGGGCGGACGCAGCGAGGAAGCTGAGTAAGGTCAGATGGGAAGCTATCCAAGAGGGAGATGTTGGTGAAAGGCGCCGATTCTGGGACGATACTAACATCTTCACTAAGGTTAGTTTCGGGTTTAAGCTTTTGTTTTTTCTATAGAATATTTACTGATGGAGTGATAACAGTTGATTATCAACATTGCGGAGCTCATCAAGAGTACTCACCAAGAATACACTTTCCGAAAGAACATGCTCACTGCCGTCGGTATGGTTGTGCGCCCGACAAAGGATCTATATATTCTCTTGAATGGCTCATCATTCAGGATGTACATGGCTGAGTCCTCTTCGACACCCAATTCTCCACCATCAGTTCTCTCACCCACACAATTTGGGTTCCAGTCCATGATTGCTCCCAGCCCGACACCGACATCCACACCGACAATGACTGCACCACAAACCTGGCTCGCCGCAACGCCGCTCTCCGCAGCATTGGGTCCTGCAGCGCAGGCAACGCTGCCACAGGGTATGTTTTATCCAAGTCCTGGACTTGGTGGTGGAGGTGGTGGGGGAAGCGGCAGCGGATCGAATAGTAGAAGTGCTACTTTGATGAGCATGGTACACCCCACTATGACAAGCGTTATGAGTGGGCTTGGTGGGGCTGGGATAGCGATGGCTATGCCCGTGACTCCGAGCACACCCGGGCCGGAGGGACCTATGGGACTTGGAATGGGGTTGATGACACCTGGAGCGGCTAGAGGTGGAGTGGGCACTAGTAGTGTGAGCCTTAGGATGGGATGAGCTGGGAAGTATAGTGTGGAGGATGGAATACTAGCAAACGTTCTTTCTTTGACATTGGGGTGCATTATGGGTTCTTCTTTTCTTTTCTTTTTAGCGTTATTTTCTGACTCTCAAACATTCATTGGTGGTTTTTCTATTTTTTCAACATCGTCGTCTCTCGACTTAAACAGCGTCTTGATTGACATCCGTTTTTTTTAAAAGTACTTGTTATACCCCCCTCCTTCCCCATTCTTATTTGTCTCTTTTTGTTACCAGGTTTCAGGCTGCATTCTTATAAAAACGGTGTTTTGGGGTTACTTATGTCTTTTTACCTTGTTTTTTTGACACAAAAATAATGTTCTGTTTCGGTGTTGGCACGCACATCTTACATCTAGTTGACATCTTTCTTTCTTTTTTATTTCTTTTTTCCATGCACATTGACAGAAGTTGGTTTACTGGTCTGTCTTTACATGTATCATCTATGTATCCTCACATAGAAACGGAGTTTTTCTCGTCCCGTTGTGTGTTTTTGATTTGATTTTTAGTTGCATGGTCGTTGGTGGTTGGTGAAGATACCTAGATTGGCATTAAGAGGAGGGGCTACAAAGTCGAAATTGGAGCATATTGCATTATTATATCCTGATGAGCTTACGGACCATAGAGTTAGAGCTGGCTACATGTGTATTTACTTACATAGGTGGACATTTGTTTTTATCATTCACTAATTTGAAGCCGGAGTTTTCTGCTTTTGAGCGTTGTGTTTTTTTCGTGGGAGTTTTGGTTGAAAATGCTTGTTAACTATTTTTGTTTGGACCTTTATTAACTACCTTTTTTACGCACATCTTGTTTGTAATTTTTAATACCATGACCTTGACAGCCAGGAATCATACACTGCTGTTCCTTCAACCTGGAGAAACGATCCTAGCAGCACCGAAGAGAAACATGTCTCTCATACGTGAAGCACCGAAAATCACTGTCGCTTATCAAGTATTTTGTAACCACTCTATAGGGTTCCGGGGCCGGGGTTCTGGCCGCGATGCGCATTGTTGTCTTTTTCTTCGCCTTCCATACACTTCCCTATAGGCGGCGCCGAAATCCAAAAGTTACTCCGTTCTACCTACGGAGCTCCCTACCCAGAGAGGTTAAATCACTCAATGGGTGACCTGATCGCTGGAATATGCTCTTGTTCCCAGACTCACGGTTGACATGATGTCTCGGAAGTCTGCAACGAAAAAATTCTTTGCATGGAATTTTGCCAAGAAGTTGATGGGTCGCGCAATACGGAAGTCGCGAAGTTTAAAAAATTTAAGGTTTTTTATTATCATTTATCCTCATTCCCATTCTCCATATATCTGAAACACAGTATTACACATGTGAAGCCTAGGGGGATATACGCCAGAAGCGAATCTCGAAACTCGTGGGAATAACAAATTGCGAGAATTATGAAAGGCGTTTTGTTTGATCTGGATCCTGTACTAAAATTTGCAATTGGACGTTGAGGAAAAACTGGTCTATGCAAGGGTATGTTGAGGATCGTGTAATATGTAGAGAAGGAAGAGGAGTGTGAGGGGGAGGGGTAATTTATACCTTTCTGCAGAACCAGGGGAGAAGCCCCTTACCCTAGTTGTAGTTTGTCTTGGCCTTTAAGGTACTGGCCAAATAATTAGTAGACGACCTTAGTGGTCGTACGAGCTAGTCTGGAGGTTTTTTTTTTTTTGTTTGTTTGTTTGTTTGTTTAATTCATTAATTGCATGCAGCCTTAAGCTATGGCAATGCTAGTCTAGAGGTGAAACATGCTCGGGGAATTAACATTCGATAACTAGAATTCAGTTATCTTGTCGGGGTTTAATATACTGCGATTGAATCCCATGACATAGTATATGCACTGTAATTGGGTACGAGAATACTTGTCAAGGGTGCCGGTAGAATTCGAACTTATCTATAAGATATAAGTATCTACACCATCGAGTAATTAGATACATTTATATACGAAATATGACAGCTTTAAGGGGACGTCGGATTTCCCATTCATACTATAATGATTCAGATTCCATTACATACATCTTCTTTTCCAATCAAGATATATTATAGTCGGTGACTGAAGTTAAAGAAAAGATAAAAGGTCAAAGAGCAGCGAATTATGATCAAGTATGGGGTTAAAGATACAACAAATGAAAGGGGCTCTATAACTTGAATAAGGAAGCAGCTATAGGCTATTAACCATAGATGATATTTAAGGTATTTCTATACGTTGTGGGATTTTTATAGGCATATATATGTCGAGAGGGTTCACGATTTGATCAATAACAGGTCTTTCAAGTTACATCCCCGATCTCTTTGGGATATTGCACTAAGTAGGTGATGACTATAGAGAGCTCGAGCTCTAAAGCCATAGATGACCTAGATAGGTAGTTGAATACTCGAATATATATATCTGAGAGGCAATTGCAATCCATATACGAATGTTATCTGAGACAGTTACAAGTAATGTATTCTTTTTTTCTTTTGTAGATATCTATTTGTCCATACTACTAAACCTCTAAGAGCTCAAGTTTGCACCGAGTCCCAACTATATATAAAGTTTACTCCAACGTTATCTGTATACGTGTGTATAGGTCGGTACCCATGCAATTGTACGCAGGCGCTGGGTCCTCATTACATACAACAAGTTTGATATTATGACCAAGGCCAAGGCCAAAGCGATAGTTATTCGACTTCAACCAATGTAGTTCTTGTATTGGAAATCGAGATATAGACTAATCATGCATGAGACCACCTCTTATAAAATATTGAGATGAATGCAATTTCATCGATTAAAAGTATATCTGGTTAGTAAGATAGCTAAAGGAGATTGTATTCTGTCGTCTTAGCTTCGACGGATAAAACGCATTATCGGCACATTAACATAAACGAACAAGGACTTCATATCGCATCATCATTACTTAAAGCGTATATAACGTGTTAATTTGTTGTTATAGGGGGTATTAGTAGTGACTTCCTCCTTCTGGTGGGATAAAATTTATGCAGTAGGATTGATTTCTTAATCATAATATATCACTCGGCTAATGACGCTCCGGTCATGAGTTGTAGGAATGCTTAAAATGCCAATAGATCGCCTAACATTCTTTGTTAGTATTGCTTTATGAACCGGACATCCACCAGCCCTTAGGATATTCGAAGAATCGGGAGGCAGCAGATAGTTTCGACGAGGTTGTATGTCTCGATTTCCTAGTTATGGATATATAGAAATGCCAGAGTAACTCTAAAAAAAAAAAAAATGAATGACGTTAAAGTTGTTAGAGTTGTAACTAGATTCAATCAATACATTAACATTAGGCACGGGCTGGCTCGTGTACATGTATTTCCCTTGAGATCGAACCTGGTAGGCTCGAGCTTAACCTCGAGCCCCCTTTTTGAGACCTAAAATTAGACCTCTCAATGTGAAATTTGAGACGAATCCGGAATATGAATTCTTGCAAAGGGTATCGAATATGAGGTGAGACTTTGGATGGGCTATTTGGCCTATAACACACAGTTCATAAATTATAAAGCTCGAGCCTAGGTTCGAGCTTTCCACGGATAATATTCGAGCTGGCTCAGCTTGGGCGATATAAAGCCCGCACTAGGTATTGAAGCTCCAATATTAGCCCTAGATGACCCGCGCCTAACACTGTTGTCGTAACAAGACTTGTTCATTGAGCAGCTACGTATATAGCTACTGGACGAATTCTTTACTTATTAACGAGAGAATTATCAACTATTTCGGGAGCAAGGGAGCAATGGCTTACTTTGTATACATATAGTTTATAGCTATTATATATCGTCTGTTCTGGGGTATAGGTAGGTAGCTTTGAAAGATCGATCAACTTATCCAACCTAGCCATACTATTAGGCGCCTGGAACACGCGCACTAGTCGCTACCAAATATCGCACTGGATAAGTTGTGGTTATTGTAAGCTCGAACTCACCGAACTTCTCCCAAATGCCATCCGTAGGATAAGATCCGCTCTCTAAACTTCCTTCTTCTTTCTTCTCTCATTTTCCCAAAGTCATCCTCCAAACTGCCGGAGCAATCCAAAACACCACAGCCCCCCCTGAATCAAAGCAAACAAGCCACAATGACGGAGGATCAAATGACCCTCCGTTCGCTTACAGATCTTCTCTCATCCAAGGGTTCGTATTGGCACCAACCACTCGATAAACTCATCACCCAATGGGCCGATACTCAGTATGGCAACGATAGCACCAAGAATGTACTCGCCCGAGATCTGATGAGGAACCAACTTACCTCCCACAGAGATGTCATCCAGTCGGCACTGGATGAGAAGGCTGAAGCGGTTGAGCTTCAAAAGATACATCTAGAGAATTTGGTGGGGCGTCTCAAGCATGAGCAACCCAACCCCGGAAATGTCTTTTCTGAGATCGAAATTATTCAGTATAGGCTGGACGAACCCCTGGACGAGTTTATGAGTTTGAACGCCATGCTCGATGTCGATATCAAGTCAGCTTGGCAAGAAGTGCAATTATTCGGAAAGTTGTTTGCGGACATCAAGGGGTATTTTGCTGCCAGGGACCAAATGTCGTTTGGTAGACTCGCCATTGATTATAAAGAGATCGGAGGACTTCTTTTGGCGATTTTGCGGGTGCAGTTGGAACTTCAGAAAATGGAGGAACAATCTCTAATCATCCAATCAGATATCAGAGACAAAGTCATGACGCTACACTTTGGCGTCGATGCAATCTTAGCTATGGAAAAGAGTAAGAAAGAACCTCCGAAGGGTTTGCGCCATATTAGAAAAGCTTGGAGACGCGTTAGAACGGTGTATAAGGCCAAGAGGGAAAATATTTCGAATAAGTTGCGGAGACGTATGGGGAAGAGAGAGTGTTTTAGGGATTGACTTTACGAAGCGGTAAGTTGAATCTGTCAAAGCCTGCATAAACCTCCTTTCTTATTTTAGATTCACAGGCACCTCCCGACGGATGACACAATATCAACAAAACGAGCGGAACGGGTACCGCTGTCAAATCCACACATTTTTTTAAATACTTTTTCATATGGTTTTCTGGTTAGGGTTCCCTTGTTTCCGCATTCTCATATTACTACATGTACACATTAATACTACCCATCACATCTCCTTTTTGGCACTCTATTGATTCACTTACTAAATTACGTCATTTGTTCTGGAAGTACTTGAAACACTGTTACTTGCATGCATAAATGTATCCCTCCTACCGATTACTGCTGTCTCGTGCCCAGCCTTCTCCTAGTATTTTGACTGGGCACGAGACAGCGACTTCTGGGTCAATTACCCATATCCTTCCTAAAACAATTACATATTATTGTATTCTTCTCTATTGCTATCTATCGCACTCGGTGTAATTAAATGTGTAACCTACACTACAAATCATCAGATCACACCTGGTACAACAGCTTTCCTATCAGGCACCGCGTTCTTTCCAAACTTATTCAAGTACCATCTTTTCCCCTGCAACGCTCTTTATACATACGAAAGTCAGCCACAGTTATCTTTATATCAAGCGAAAGTCTTACCTAGGCAACATAGTTGCAACCTCATTAACCACAAACAGCCCTGCCGGCCTAAAGCTCGAAAACCCCCCTCCTATCATCATATACCCATACCACTCCGCCCATTCTGAAAAGTAATGTGGGTGCCAAACCCATTTGAAGAGGCCACCCTCTGGGATTTTGTAAACCCTGCCATTTTCTACAACAACCTTTCCTTCTTTCTCTGCATTTTTGTCCACCCTCTTATCCCTTCGAATCTCTCTAAGTACCTCATCATGATACACGTTTCCAAACAGTCCTGTAACGAACAAAACACTTCCAGCGATCACCTGCCACGTCGGCACATCTTTAGCAGAGCCATATCCGCCAAGCCACCCGCCAATTAAGCTGCCGTTCATCAGGTTGAAGAAAGCAGCTCCGATGGGGAGGATGATATTTATAGGTGCCATTGAATGGTTCATAAGAGGGCTGATGAGCGCTCTGTTAGTATAATGGAGACAGTAGAGTGCTACTAGCCAGAGGTGAATATAGGAGAGCGGTTGCGTTCGTTCGGGGTTCGTAGAGACCGTGTAAAGCATGGTGAGCGGAGAGACAAGCTCCATTAAAATCCAGGCAGGTTTACCTATACAAAAGGTTGTTAGGATATGTTGTAGAAAGCTAGCTGTAAGTGGGGAAGCTACCAGGAACATTGAGAATAGACTTGTAGGAGGTCTTTCCCATGGGGTACCAGTCTTTCAAGATTAGTTGTGCGGGACATATCTATGCGGCATTAGATGGATCTAAATTTGATGGCGAGATTTCGAGGGGAGGTACGAGAGTGAAGTATTTCCAGTAGGTCATCAAAAGCTCCCAATTATCTCTTGTGAGAGGCACAAAGCCAGCGGTGCGCAGAAAATCCATTATCAATAGCTATTGTGCGGAGTTGAGCATGAGCTTAAGGACGAAAAAGGGGGAAGCTGGAGATTTGACTTACATATACGTATATATATAATTTGAGTAAAGCTTTGACAGCGCAGAAGCAAGGTCTTTATATAGTCTTCGATAGATGCTATAATAATATCACAACGATATAGACAGTTATCGCCACGTCTAGATTTTCGGGATTATACTGCATGTGGATCGATCGTGCATGATATCACCAATAGTTATCGTGGTTTGCAATATGCGGCTCCGATCTCTAACCCGGCTCAACGGCGAATTCTTATTGGTCAGCCAAATTCAATGGCCAGTGAGAATATTTGTCCCTGAGCTATCATCTCCGCTATTAATAAAAAACACACAAGAAAGTAATCAAACAAGTAGAATCATGATCGATATATAATAGATCAACTAAGCAAGAAAATAAATTAATCGCAATAGAAGAAGAATAACGTACTGTACATGCACCAAATAAGGAAATTATAGAAATGCGAGTCATTCCTTCCGGGTGAGGCAGCATGATCTTACACCATTTACGTAATTACTACTTGATTGCTATGATTGTCCAGGTTCGCCAATACTGTATATAGGTACATGTACATACGTCTACACTCAAACATAGCCCTGAGCAGACTATGGGCTGCCAAGAATCACGAGGACCGTTGGGGGAGCTCAATTCGGTGATCTTGGATATATACCTACATGTATCGCTTAAAACTGAACAAGTCGAGGAATTTAGATATTACATGTACTTAGGTATGTACATACGTATACATGTAAGCACCATGATATATCGCGCGAGGCCGGCCAGTCGCCGTGACCACTCTCACTCGCCGTTTTCTTGGCAATGAATAAATGAAGCTAGTTTTTCTTTCTGTGGTCATGGCGACTGGCCGGCCTCGCGCGATACAGTCGTTGAGACTGTACTTGTGTGATAAATGAAGATACTTAGGTTTTCTCAAACCTTGGGGGTATCATATATATTACCATTCAGTCTAAGCTAGGAGGTATCAATGATTTGGTATACAAGTACATGTATGTAGGTTAATTTCCTAATACGTCCGGTTTATCGACAAGGCCTACGGATAAATACGGAAAGTCTACTTATATAACTTCCTGATCAATCATTCCCGCAGCCGTCTAGCCCTGTGTAACAGGATTCCACCGGAGTATTCCCTGACGTGCAGGGAATTTTGTTTCTCCGAATACGAGCTGTGAGCACTGAGCTGCTACAAATCTGAGCTCATGAGTCAATTGATGAGGTTATATAAACCTCAGTCCCCGGCGAAGGAAATGTTACTTAGCTAACATCGACATTAAAATCATACATCTATATACACACACAATATCTAAAATGGTTGTCCTTGAATATGCCATCCTCTCTATCAAGTCTCCTCACACCAGTGACACACCTTCACTAAAGTCCGGTCTCCAGAATGCACTACAGGTTCTGAACAAAGCTTCTGCACCTTCTGGTGCCCAGTTTTCTCTCTTTCAGCAAATTGAGAACCCCCAGATTCTTCATCTTCTGGGCTCCTGGACATCTGTGGAAGCCCACCACGCTTTTCTCCCCTCAACAGAGAATTTAGCACTCCTCGAGGAGGTAAAAGATCTTATCAATGTTGATCTTCTTTTTCATGCCGGCATGGATAAGTCAACTCTTCCGCTGGATGCACCTTGCGTCGCTTTCGCCCGGCACCTTGTCAAAGCTGGCCATAAAGAGGATTTCGCAACGATATGGGGAGAGAATTCACATCATCTCAAAGATTTTACAGAGCCGTACCCATTGGTTGGAGGGTGGAGAATTGATGGTGTTGAAGAGGGTATCGGCGGTGAGTGGGTTCAGTTTTCGGGGTTTAAGACGGTGGAGCATCATCATGAATTTGCAAAGACAGAGGGCTTCAAGGAATATGCAAAAATGAAGGAGTTTTTGGAGAGATTTGAGGTCGTACATGCAAAGACGTTGAATTGGTAATTGGACTGATGTATAGATACCTATATATCCATTTGCAATTGTAGGACTTTTTATTAAGTATTTTGATTAATTCTATAGGCTTAATTAGATAAGTCTAGAGTGACCTATTCGCCCATATAAACCAGGATCTAATCCAAACTTCATGGATATGAGAGTCTAGAAATAATCGAGATGAAACAACGAACAATATTTTACCCAATACGCAGATGCGTATTAAGAAATAACCAGAGATTCCAATAACACAATTCCCTAAAAATCTCTCTGGAAAACTTCAATGCAGTTCATTTGCCAGCCAATTAAGCATTAACTACATGTAATCAATCGCTATAGCGAGCGGGTTACATAAACATAACAAGATGAAAGAAGAAAAACCTTCATAAAACCCAATATTACTGGCGCAATTTTATCAGAAAGTAACCTCTACCACTTTGATGCAGCCAGTATCGAAGCAAATTGTAGCATGAGGTTTTCCCCAAGCCAACGATTCAAAGAATATTAACAATTACCCCAATCAAAGTCTTATCTAGGCCATACTCATCGATTATTACCAGATGAAACGATATATGCAAACTAGTCTTGCAATTAATCATTCATCAAGCTGTGCTCTCCAAAGATTCTTTTGCATCACGCCAGATTTCCTCCGTATTCCTGCCACCAACTCTGAAAGGCCCGCTTGATTGTGTATCAATATCACTATCGCTCTCGGCATCTTCACTTCCCTCCCCTATATCATTACCACTAAAAGGCAAGGTCACACAATCATCATATAGGGTGCTCCATGGCCTAGACCTACTGTTTGATTCCTCAATCATATTTTTAAGTCCAGGATTGTCAGGCACACTTCGGTCGTCAGGAATCCTATGTGAGTGCACGCCATGATAGGAAGACTCGGTGTACGACTCCACGGTTTCATTTTTTGTAACAATATCTTCATCTCTAGGGGGTATTTTTTTGATAAGTTCTGTACTGCTCTGATGTTCTAACATCTCTTTGGGTAGGGATGGTCGAAATATGATGCTAGACACATCCGATCCAGAAATACCGAACTTATTCTTTCCACCAAGTGTCTTGGGGCTTTGAGTGAATAGATTTTCTTCGTTACAATGCCCTTGATAAAAACCATCTTTGTTTGTCTGCTTGCCCCTAGGTGAAGGAGGAATAATTGTCCCTCTTGAACTCTCATTAAAACTCACTTTTCCTCTAAGCTTTGCGATGCTATTTGTAAATGTCCTCCTAAGTGTCATGCTCCTAGAGCGAATCATGGCTTTTGATCTCCTATTCTTTAAGCGGGAATTCCTCGCTTCGGTTTCATCAAGAGTTTCAATATCAGTGGTGAGATTAGGTAAAACCTCGGAACCTGTAGCTTTTCGTAGTTTTTCTTGGGTTTTGTCCCGGATACTAGAACGTTCCCACATTCTTTCACCAAGAGAGATACTATTCTTTAAAGAAAACCTTTTCTCAGTTTTGCCGTAGTTACTAAAAATATTTCTTTTTGAACCGATGGAGCTCCTACCGTGAGGTGAGCCCCAGATTCTCGGGTCCTTCACTTTGCCTTGCCGCATCGTTAAACTGCTTACGCGGGTAGTCGATCTGACCCATGTGGTAGATTTTTCTTTCTTCTTCGGAGCAGGTGTCGTTATACTATTGGAAATCTCCCGGTCCTCGAGATTATCATAGTACCAACTAGCCTTATCTATTGGGACATTTGGTAGGCTCTCAGGAGCCTCAAGCATTGATTTGGCACGGTCCTCCAGGTAAAGGTCTTCGCATACCTCGCCATGTTGGCTGAGAACGACATCCTGAGACCTTTCAATGTTTGTTCTAGGTGCTAGCTGGAGATCACGGCCCCTCTTCTGTGCTTTTTTTAAGTGCGCAAGCGAGCTGCCTCTAGTAAAAGCAGCCTCATTTGTAATAGGCTCTGGCGACTTATTCATACTAAGGCTCACCCATGGAAACTTAAATAGCGAACCTCCAGGTGAATCTATTATCATGTCGGAAGGTCGAGGAGTCCGATTTAGCCTGTGGGCATCAGCATCCGTAGACAATGCTGATGGTTCTGGAGTGCATCTCTCGGATTCAACTAAAGATACGCAACGCGAGGTTCCAGGAGATGGATAGAAGGACGAAGTATTATCAATGGACGGCCGAAACTCGTAGCCGGGCGTTGGAGGACAAGCAAAAGCAGGAGTATTGACCCCCGTGCTGTTTGCACTTGTTGCCTCCAACGGGGAATAAAATCTAGTAGAGTTACTCTTTGTGAGTTCTGGAGTTGCGCTTCCTGTACTTGGAGAACTCCCCAGGCCATCTTTTTGGTTATGGTCGTGAGAGGAAGGGCATGACATAAAAGTGCTTGTTGAGGGCCTAACCCATGTGGGTATTTTCGAAAAGATCTCATTGGGCGTGAAATCGTTCCTACTCGCGGTTTTATCACTGACACTCGCATCTTCTCGATGCTTTGTGTTTCTCGGGCTCTCGGGATCTGCAGCCGCTACTTCCCCATCATCGGCCGTAGTGCCATCTTTCTCGTCAGCTTTATCCACTGTTATCATTTGCAAAAGGCAAAAAGATCAATAATCGACTTACCAAGCCTAATCTCAGGTTTAACAGTATTGCAGTCTTCTGGCCATTCATCTGCCGTTTCAGCATCTTTTTCGTCTGGACTCTGCTCCGATGAGAGTTTCCCAGCCTCCGAGTTATCATCGGGAATAGGAATTGTGATTCCTGATCTTGATTTACCATTTATTGATGCAATTGTGGTAGCAATGCTAGGCATTAGATAAGGGCTCAAGTCTGGAGTGGAAGGCACAGCTATATGGTCCACTTTCGGAATCACTGGCGTATTTACCGGGAACATTTGAGGTAGTGATGGGTTTTTTGTCTCCTCTGTGGAAGATGAGGTTAAGAGAATATGGTTGATGTCTCTTTCTAGAATGGATTCGGTCCCAGGTTTAACTATCGTTAATGAACTAGTCAAAGCAGGCATTGATTTTGCAGGGACTGTAATTTCATTGGTATCTGGAATGGTTGGTATAGTTGGCCCACGGAGTTCAATTGCTGAAGATGATTTTGATACTCGGCGAGTACTAGAATATCTCTCGTCAGAATCTACAGAAAATCGAGCAAAGGATGGTTTAGGGTATATGATTTTTGTACCCATTAACGTGCCCTATTTCCCTGTAGTTCTCCTTGGCCGCAGAGTCTGCCTCTTCACTATTAAGAGGTGTCCTAAGATTCCGTACTGAAATTTTTAGCTGATGATCCAATAGCAATAGTTAAAAACTTCATAGAATCTCTTCGAAATCTCACACTCTTCCTTAATCTCATTCCGTAAATTAGATTTACCCCTTTCTTCCTGGAGAGTATTCAACAACTCTCTACCCTCGTTGTAAAAGGCCTCAATGTTTTGACGTGAGGCCTGAGGGCGGGGTGTCGTAATATGACCAACTATTTTAGGAGACAGTGACACTGATTTGTTGATAGTGTTTGGGTCACCTCGACGGCAGCAAAGAATGGACATGGTTTGTTTGCCTATATCAGTTGTATGAATGATCATCCACAGAAATTTATCAGTGTCAGAGTTTTATTTTGAGAACAGGGGGAATAAAAGTTGACGCAATAAGCAGCAAAGAATCCAATTTTTCCAAAGCTCTAGTAGGGATTTTAGTGAAATTGAGTATTTGACTTCTTGTTGTCACAGATGTATACATGTAGATACATGTAGGTACAAGATAAGACCAGGTAAACACCTCGCTGTTACCAAAAGTACATGTATGTACCCCACGTAAGATCTAGTAGATGACGTTATCAATAATCTGTGCCTGAAGATCTCCATAATGTCGGAGTCACATGACGTTGTCCCGCTATGAGCTAGCTAGAGTAGAATTTACCCGACAAAAGCCACTGATGAAGCCACCGCCCGGTCTCATAGTTTAATTTGCTAAGAAGATTACCTACTCCTAGCACGTATCCCACTGTATGTTTCGATGGGAATCAACAAATTCTTGAATCAGGAAAGATACATGAAATCCACAATTAATTAATTGACTTCCATTTATCGAGCTGCCGTATTTCGTACCTGGTACAGGTGAGGTCCCGCAAGCTCTTTAATTTCACGTGCGAAAGGAAGCCCTTGAGAACAGGGGTGAGATTCAAGATTGTCCAATTAAAACGATTATCTTCCCCACAAGCCCTTCCGGGAGATATACGGTATGCTCCGAAGCGAGGTTGTATTTGGCTCTTAACGGTAAAGATATCAAAGTGTATTTTATGGACCCTGTCAGCCCAGAAAACTTTGTAGGAACGTGCTGCAGAAGATGCTCCCCACGGGCCAGAAATTTAGATCTAAGCACGAACGGGACAGGAACCATGAAGCTACACGGGAGAAAGATTTGCCTCAAGGCAATACGGCTTTATGTTCAAAAGGCGGGCGCTTTCCTCCTCAATTATGAACCACCATTGCTTATACGTATACACAGCTCTCTTTATCGCTAGGTCAAGTGTACTCTTTCTCCTTCCAGAATTTTAACCTGTAACTGGTTTTCGAATAAATCGGCAAATATGGTTCATTTCTCAAAACTCACGGTAGCTCTTGGACTTGTATTGAGCGTACATGCTACTCCGAAGACATACAGCGGCGAAAAGGGGGATAAGAGACTCGAAGTTCAAGCTCATAGAGGAGGGCTCGGGTACAGGCCAGAGAGTAAGTTCTATATACAATTCGTATTTGGTAAATTATTATATCCGAGAATGCTAATATAAGTTGTTACTACGCAGGTACCTTGTGGGCATTTGCAAAGGCTCTTGAGAGTGGTGCCAATGTCCTGGAAATGGACACTGTAAGTCTCTTCTGATACTAATGAGCCTATTTCTTACTGACATGCGAAAGGTGTTTACAAAAGATGGCGTTGTTAGTAGATCTATAGAGCTAGAAGTTTATCTACCCGTAAACTTACAAAAAGCTGATCGTGTTGTAGCCCGTGATCTGGCACGATCACCAAATTGTGGCGTCCAAGTGCAAAGATACTGAGCCCAATGCCACATACGTTGGACAGGTAAGTTTCTCAATTGAGTAGCAGTCTACTTTCGGAGAATATTTACTTACTGTAAACTTCGGGTTGTCTAGTTTATTGCCAACTTGACACTTGCACAAGTGCAGGTACGTTACCTATGGGGATTCCGTTAAATGATGGGTTTCCCTTATTGACATTAAAATATAGTCCCTTGATTGTGGAAGCCTGCAACTTGATCTTCACAAACAAGCAGAACGTAAAACTCACCCACTCATTTTTAATCTTATGTAGCTGATTAGAATAGTACATCCTGGGGCCAAGATTCCTACTCTTGAGGAGGTTCTTGACTTAGTCGACTGCTACGGCGATAAGAATGTTGAAATTAATTTGGAGGTAAGTCACCTTAACTTCAACTATATACTTAAAGTATCCTAAGAATCACAGACCAAAATCGACCCCATTCGTCCAAACGAGACGTTGGCTCTCGAGAAATACATTGATGATATTGTGCCTATCCTTGAGAGGCGTGGGTGGGCTGAAAGGACTTATATCCAGTCTTTTGACTGGCGTACTCTCATTGGAATTAAAGAAAAGTTCCCGGAAACTAGGATTGTTGCGCTTTTAGACGATACCACAGTCATCCCTGAGGACCGTGGTGTCTCAGGTTATCCTTGGTTGGGCGGGATCAACGTATGAACTTCCCCCAGTCGATTTAGTCAAGTTCAAGCACTCACTTTTTCTTTCTCTTAGCTTGACGACTTTAACGGCGACTGGGTCGCCGCTGCAAAGTCCATTGGGTCTACTGTCTTGTCTCCAGTCCACGGTTATCCTTCATCCCAAACCCCCAACACTCCCGGTTACACACCGTTTGTCACCAAGGATGTTGTCCAGCGGGCACACAAACTTGGGATGCAAGTCGTCCCTTGGACTGTTGATTACGAAATTACTATTAAGAAGTTGATTCTGTAAGTTTTCCTTTGTTATCTAATGAGAACCGTTAATTTTGAGCTAATGAATTCTATTATAGTGATGGTGTCGAGTAAGCATTCCGCCCAATATATATAGACATCTATTTCCTAAGATAATAACTAACCAAAACAGTGGTATCATCTCCAACTATCCTGACCGCGTGTTCTACGTCGGCGCCGAGTATGGAACGGAAGTTGGTATCAAAACTAACCGCCCCCACCCTCAATGCCTCAAGAATGCCAGTATCAAGATTTAAGTCTACCCCCGGCTCCTACAAAGGTAATTTTTTTTTTATCTTTTATTATAGAAATAGCAAGGGAAAGCCTGAATTAGTAAATAGATAGAGCTAGAGTAAGGAGTGCAAATAGATACGCATAGAGTGTCTCTTATTAATAGCATGGTTTGTAATTAAAAAATCGGTAATCTTCCATTGGCTGGCGCAAAATACGAGTTGCCACCGAGTGATTTATTATGAATTGCCTTATCGCCATCAGATAAGATCCTATGCCCAACATCACACCACCGATCGGGCGATATATCGACAGCTGGATACTTATCAAGTTTCTCAAGCACTGAAACATCCGAACAAGATAATTACTGAAGAAAGCTTCCAAGATGCCTCCCATGAATGCCCGAGTGCGCTTCTTCCTCCCCTACCCGCAGACCCCACTAACAGCCCAAATAAGACTTTAACAATGCCCATGGCGGCCGCAACCATGGCGATACTCCTCTTCGTGTATACGCGCACGTCCATCAACGCCGCAAAGACCAACGCCAAGATGCAACGTGAAGCCGACGGCGGACAGATATCGTGGAGAAACCAAAGCCTACGTCAACACGGGCAGCTTCCCGACGAGCCGCTGCCTGAGCAGAGCGGTGTTGCGAGGGTCATTGATAGGGTTTCGACGGGGAGGGGTGCGGGTGGTGAAAGGGCAATGGTTGAGGGGGTAGGGGGTGAGGATGCGAGAATTAGGGATAAGGCGAGGGAGAGTAGAGCGAGATAGGTGAGAGACTCTTTCCTTTATTTGAGTAGATATGGGAGATGGTCTGGATTTCGATCTCCATATCCACAGTACTGGCTAGTAATTCAATAGCATCAATTGAATTTCAAAATCTTGACACCAAAGTCATCAAAACCAAAGGTGAAGCGCCGCATTCGAGCAAGGGACCGCCCCCGATCAACTATAGAAATTTGTAATTCTACGCACAGAATCTCACTCGGTTGTATAAACGACAATCGATGTTTCGTTTTAATAACCTCGAGAAAACACGTGCGTACATACATATATGTGGCACATACCAGGTGTCTTTTAATACATGTAGCATGAGATACATACATGACCACCACAGCATTACATAATAAATACTGTACTGTATGTATGTACATGTACCTTGTTGGTTGCTGTATTAATTGATCAACACAGCCCATCATTCATGACCACTCGTCATCTAAATGCGTATAGGTCAAGAATTCCCAAATAGAAAGGTATTAAATATACGAATCCTATTTCATCTATCATCCATCCATCCACATGTAAGCGTTACAGAACCGCAAACCATATAAAATACCAAATAAAAACAGGAAAGAATTTTAAAAAGATAGAAAAGAGTAAAATCAAAGATATCATTAAAGAAAAGAAAAGAAAAAAAAGGAAAAGTAAAGTAAAGGAAAAAAACGCCATTCCCTCCATCTTTTTAATCTCGTTTTAGCAAGGCAAAAAAAAGTTAACCAACCCCATTACTTAATAACATCATTCAAAAGGAAAGAGAAAGAGAAGAAAAACCAGTGCATGAAATTAAAGCCGCTTCAGTACAAAAAAACCACCACACTACCCTTTTAATCTAATATCTCCTGATACCCATTTCCTTCATCTTCTGACAATGCGGTAAATGCATAGAATTTGCTCTAGCCATTCTCTCATTGTCGACAAAGATCCAACCCATAGCGGCATTCCTCTCATTCATCTGAATCTCCTGCTCTCTTTGACAATTGTAGTTTAGATCATTCACAATTCGGTTCTCGGCACGTTTAGCCAGTTTTGCAAGTTCGCCCGCTCTAAGATCCTTAACTTCGGCAGGATTTACCCAGTATGGGATCTTATAATGTGGTGTTTCCCGTTGCAGTGTGAATGGATGTATCCGCTCAGTTCTGAAAGAGGGCCCACGGAGACTCTCTCCGCTATCGCCGCTGAATAGTGAACCGATGAGCGGGAGTATAAAGAAAATTATGAGAGGTAGTAATTGTATGAGTATTTTCCCCAGGCCCGCCGGGGCTGTTGCCTCTTCCTGCCCCCCAGCATCCTGCGCGGGTCGCCTTCGTGGTTGCCGCCCCATATGATGGATTCGGATGCCTGGCCCTCCAAAGGTAGTAAATCCACCAGCCGCACCTTCTCCGAACATTGCTGCTCCAGGTCCCATCCCACCAAAAAACATATTGAAGAGGTCTTCAGGTGAGATTTCACCCTCGAACCCCGCACCACCACGGGCCGGCTGTGCAAAACCAAAGGGTGAACCACCACCGAAACCACGGGGAACACCACCGGAGCCGCCGCCGCCGCCACGACTGTCCGGGTCGCCGCCATGGCGATCGTAAGCGGCGCGTTTATCATTGTCGGAAAGAACTTGGAAAGCACGGGAGACAACTACGACGTGTTAGCTAGGCCTGATCATACGAGTCCAGTTCCGGAATTCAGCTCGGATGGATATCGTGGACCCGAGCTTGGGTGTATAGAGAAGCTTTCTACTCACGTTTGAAGGCTTCATCCGCGCCAGGAGCTCCATTCTTGTCAGGATGCATTACTAAAGCCAGCTTCCTGTATGCTTTCTTTATCTCCGCTTCCGTCGCTTCCTTCTTGATATCGAGAATCTCATAGTATGCTGTTGCTTTGCATCTTCTTACTTTATCGACAGCAGCCTTCTGTTCAGGGCTGTAATCGCGCCCTTGTCGGCCTTGATTGTGTTCGCGGGATTTCTCGAAGCCCTTGTTGGGGTTTGTTTGAGCTCCCGTTGAGGACATCGTCTATGGTGTAAAAAGCGGAGGGGGGTTCTAACAGCCTATAAGAGAATGGAGGGGTTAAGGGATTTGAGATGAGATGTATAAGGGTGTATGTAGGATATATTAGTAAGGAGGGGGGGGCAGGGACGTTGATGTTTCTGTTGAAAGAATGGGAGTTGAGGCGTGGATGCGTGGATGGATGTGGATGGGATGAGGTGCGTGGAGACTATCTGGTCTCTTTCTGGCCATGACAGAAAATGTTTGGAATCCTTGATCATGCAGAAAAGACTTGGCGCTGAGATTTCTACTATCATTTGCGACATATCTTTCGACAGGCAGCTATATGATTACAACACCACTAAATATGTCACCCACAAACGAAAACGAAAAGAAGCAAGAGGAAAAGAGGAGGGATTGGCTAGGCGTTGAGGATAGCGATGCTGAGGATGACGATGCAGGTTCAGAAGAGGAGGAGAGTCGAGTGAAGGGAATCTCAAAGCGCTCAACAAAGCGACGAAAGGTCGACCATGTCGATTCAGCGAGTGAGGATGAAGAAGATGGTGAAAAGGAATCACAGGAAGACGAGGGCGGAGAGGCGGCAGAAGAGACAGAAAAGGCCTCAAAAACAAAAAAGAAGGAAACAAAGAAGCAAGACGAGGATGAGGACGATCTGCTTTTCACAAATCCAAATAAGCTCAAACCACTCACCCAGGAAGAGCTTACGGCCTCTAAAGCAGCGACAAAAAAAACCGGTGTGATATATCTTTCTAAAGTTCCTGTGAGTTTCTCCCAACCAATGGCTTCAAATTGATTATTAATTTAAACTATTCACTAGCCATTCATGAAACCTATGAAAGTTAAACAACTACTTTCTCGCTTCGGCGAAATAAACCGCATTTTCCTCGCCCCTGAAGATCCAAAAGCCTACGCCCGCCGTGTTCGCTTTGGTGGCAATAAAAAGCGTAACTTTGACGAAGGCTGGGTCGAATTCGTAAACAAGAAAGACGCAAGGCTAGTCGCCGAAACTCTCAACGCTACCCCCATTGGTACGTATCCCACCTGAACTTCTCAGGATCATTTAGCTTTGCTGACATAAAATAGGTGGTAAGAAGGGATCCTACTATTATGACGATGTCTGGAACCTGAAATACCTCCCTAAATTCAAATGGCATCATCTTCAAGCTCAAATCGCCTACGAGAACGCCTCCCGTCAATCCAAAATGCGCGCAGAAATTGCGCAGGCAACCCGTGAGAATAAAACTTATATTCGGAATGTCGAGAGGGCAAAGATGGTCAAGAACATGGAGGCTTCTACGGCATCTAAAAAGCGGAAATCCGGAGATAATGGCGAAGAAGAAGGCAAGAAGAAAGTCATCGAAGTCCGGAGGCAATTTAGACAGAATAAAACCAAAGGGAGCGCCGATACTGGAAAGGTGGAAACAAGTGAAGGGGTCAAGAGGTTGCTCAGTAAGGTGTTCTGAGATTATTACCTTGAGTTGTAATGAATATACTGTGGGGTTGGCCTTCGTGAATCGGATTTGGATCATGAATTGTCACTCATTTTTCTACATTTGATATTCTAGATTCTAGGCAGGCATTGGGGTTGCTTAGATTCGCTCTGGAAAACCTAATTACAGCGATAGAAATGTAAATATTACTGGTAACTTTCTACCCGTAATTCTATTTTTTTTTTTAAAGTAGAGGCCGCGGACTACATGTATATGCCAATTACAACAGGATCAGTCACGAAAATTTGTTTATATGCATGTAGTATACAATACTCAAGTCTTAAATCTAGTCCACGGGACGGGGACGGGGACGGGGACGGGGACGGGGACGGGGACGGGGACGGGGACGGGGACGGGGACGTGGGCGAGGACGGCATCTTGGCGTGAGGTTAGGTTTTCTATTGTCAATATAACGTTCCTATCCCCCGTCCCCCGTCCCCCGTCCCCCGTCCCCCGTCCCCCGTCCCCCGTCCCCCCCCCAGAGGACCGGGTTTATTAAGACTTTCGGAGCCCTACCAATCATGTAGTATCTTCATATTTAAAGTCTTCACATCCATCAAAATCTGTTTAGATCCAAGGCCATATATATAGAGGTAGTCCAGCCTAGGAAGTACTGCTATTCCATTAATAACACGGTCACAATGCCGTGAATTCACTAACTAGGGTTATGATATAGAAAAACAATTGCAAATGGCAACTCCTATAACTATCCTCAAAGAGAGGGGGGGGGGGCGGTGCGGGGGTTGGCCGCTCCGTCTCTCATCACTCAGAGGGCCGTGGGGGGGACATAATTATATAAGGGTGTTTAGTGTCCCGGTGCATATGTCGTTATATTCCGCAAGAGGGATTGAGGGCCTTCACATATATCTCGCCGGAAACAACACCGTACTCCAAAAGGCCGTACCAAGACATATTCTTTGGGCTCAGTGGCTCGCCAATCTTGATAACAAAGCACATCATCTGAGTAAAGAGTGCCCCTTTAAAGGAGGCGCGACGGCCCGCCGGTCGTAGGGACCACGCGTCTCCAATGTCGTGTGACATCCTGAAGAAATGGTGCCTGCATCTTGTAAGGAGGGAAAGAATACTTGGACACACATATGTAGATGTGTGCATTTCTTATCGGGGCCAGCTAGTTGGAGGGGCAATATTTACTAACAGAGCAGGGGAAATGATAGCAGTGTGAGCAATGGACATACATATATCTACATGCTACATAAGGCAATCTGGACCGAATGTCAAGGTTTCTCGACTCATCACCCACTAGATGTGGCCGGTTCCTGGCAGATGCTCCGGCCGGAACTGGCCTGCGGGGTATAGGCTTTGGCTCGATCTCATCCTGATCCCTGTCTGCCCGTAAGTACATGTACTTATCTACATATAGCTGCTACTGGCAGTCTGTCGGCTTAAACATTTAGTTATATCTGTCCGGTAGACAGGGGGAAATCGGACGGCTTCGGACAATCGGACTAGTATCTCCAGAATTTTGTGATTTGATGGCCGGTCCGCACGAGGTGTGCTTATATTTTATTATGAAAGTATACAGTCCAACGACAACCTAGGCTGTGAGAGTGTTGGAGAAAACCGAAGTGCAGGACATAAAGCCATGCCTAAAATAGCTATTACTTAGATACGCGTACCATGGGAAGTATCCTGCGGAGCTACAGAGCTTGCCCATGGCTCTGTGCCTTGAGGGTGAGAAGTCGAGAATTCGAACTTCTAAATCTGAACCGGTCCTTCCCCCGGAGCCCGGAGAAGATCCGGATTGGCGGGCCGAGTCGCCAAGGACACTCAACTACCAAAACGTCAAGGGTTTTGTACAACCCTACTAATATTCTTGCCTATTCAGGTCAAGACCGGTGTGTACTATACAGTACTTGGTAGTTTTGTATAGACTGAGGCTATACAGGCTAGGCCTTATTTAAATCTTAAGGGGCAAGAGTACCATTCTGATAGAAGCTAGTTAAGCTTATTTCTAATGTCTGTGAAACAGTTGTAGGATCACAGTAGAGTTCTCAATTTTGTTCGAAACGTCCTAAAGTAAGTTCAGCAACCAGAGCTACAATGCAAGGCGTAAACTTTCGGATTATTCTTGCCAAGCACGCGAGCGCCCTAGTTTTGACGAGTTCCTGGATAATAATTAATACCGGTGATATTGTTGGGATAAACCCTAGTCCCAACCAAGCAACAAGTTAGTATTTATATTAAGTGGGGAAGGTGTACCTACGTAGGTACATGTCCATATTATGAACATGCGTTCCTATGGATGCATGAATAAAAAAAATAACGTGCTCTTTCTGAAAGCGGACGAATGGAACCAACCGCTTCTTTATTAAATGTTTCGCGATTATTACCACCGAAGCCTTTGAGCCAAAGAGCTCATTTCCCGTTTTCTTCAGGAACGCGAAAAGAGGTCGGCGTTTCTTTATATAAAGTATAGACGATGCCCTAATGAAAAAGGCTACAGCCCTTTTGCACTAAGAAGCCGTAACGATGTTGTTGATATCGCTCCTTCTGCTGGCTTTGCAGCCACTGCTTGCTTTTGCTGCCTGGGGATACACGGATGATGGGTCTAATTATGTAATTGGTACTTATTATTTTATTCCATGATAGTTTGTGGGAATTGTAACTGACGAAGAACAGATACCGGGGCCAGTCTCGTCTTCAAAGTTTCCAAGACAAATGGAGACATCAACTCTATGGTTTATAATGGCGTCGAATACGAGGGATACCAGGGCAAGCACTCGTAAGCTTCCAATTTCTCTACCTGTCTTATAGATATATCATAGTTCTTGCTAATAACAACCTAAATAGTCACGTCGAGTCTGGCCTCGGAACATCTACAGTCACCATTAATTCCTATAGCAGCCCAGCATACATTATCAAGGTCACAGTTACATATGGGACTCTTCAGCACATTATCGTGGCACGCTATGGCAACAATAACATCTATCTACTCACAAACAAGGGCGACTCTTCAGTAGCTGCATCTCGTTTCATTGTCCGTTTGAAGCCAAATGTTCTTCCACACGACTCGAGCATGTCAGATTTCTATGACGACGCTAGCACAACCATTGAAGCGTCAGATATCACTCAGAATTCTCTGGGTTATACTAAGAGCAAACACTATCAGGGTAGCAACTATGGGAGGTCAGTATTCATGCCAAAACTCTCTGTAATAATTCAATTAATATTTACAAAATACGTTGCAGAGTCATCGATTTCGATTATGTTGGAAAGACCACCGGCAGTGTGGGCATCTGGCTTATTCGCTCAAATCACGAGAAAGCATCTGGAGGTCCCTTCTTCCGCTCTCTTGTCCGAGGCTGCACGACTATTGCCGAAGATTTATACGAAATTCTTTTCTACTCCATGGGACACACGGATGCCGAACGTTGGGGCTTGCAAGGCCCTTACGTTCTATCCTTCACCGATGGCGGCACTCCAAACACTGCGCTCTTTGCCAGAAACGCGGATTGGTCATGGTTTGATACACTTGGCATCACTGGGTGGGTTGCCGACTCAGCACGTGGAGCCGTTGCCGGTGTGGGAATAGCCAATATGAAGAGCGGATATACATATGTTGTTGCGTTGGCAAATACCAACTATCAGTACTGGGGAACTGCAGCCTCTAGTGGCGGTGCTTGGAGCATCAAGAGAGTTGTTCCAGGAACATACACATTGACGGTATACAAGGGTGAATACGCAGTGTATACTGCTAGTGTTACTATCAGTGCTGGCTCAACCCTGGCTTTGAACACTATCACTCCCAACCTGGACCCTTCGGATGTTACCGCTATATGGAGAATTGGTGATTGGGATGGCACTCCTGGTGGATTCTTGAACTTCGATACCACCCCGTGGAAGGTAACTATCATCCCTCAAACCTTTTGATCCCATAATGAGACTAACACAATCCTATCTAGCCAACTTATATGCATCCTAGTGACCCCCGACTTGCTGCTTGGGACTCATCTAACTTCATCATTGGAACAAGCACCACTGCCACCTTCCCTGGATACATGTGGAAGGATATCAACAACGATTATCTTGTTTACTTCAAGTTGACGGCTGCTCAAATTGCAGCCGCCAAAACCATCCGAATTGGTATCACTGAAGGTTACGCGGGAGGACGCCCTACTATCGCTGTGAATAGTTGGACAAGCTCACTTCCCAGTGCGAGTACGCAAGGCAGCACGAGGAGTTTGACAGTGGGAACCTACAGGGGAAATAACGCGATGTTTACCGTATGTCTCCCGACCCCTTCCGAGTATTTGAAGCAAAGATAACTGATTCTGATATGCTTTTAGTACACTGTTCCAGCAAGTGCGTTCCTCACTGATACGACACAGTGGAATATCCTTAAGATCACTGTCATCAGTGGAAGTGGAGCGACCGACTATTTGAGTGCGGGTATCTCAATTGATTGCGTGGACTTCTATTAAAAGCTATAGTTATATCTTAAATATAAGTGAGATTGGGTTAAAGGGGATTTAGTATGCAATTAATGAATTAAAAAAAAAGGCGGATTTCGTACGTGCAACTTATATCGAGTGATAATCTGTGATTTATGTACTATTGGATCTAAAAAAGGCAGGTGGGATAGATCTAGACGTTATCAAACTAATCCGATCATCTTAACATATATACTTGTAATTGGACATGTACATGTAACCCACTTTATACCTTCCATTATTTATAGCTACATGTACATGTACTCAGGCGTTCAACAAAAGGTCGTGAAAAGTCGCAATACGACCAAAAGTTTTACTAAACGCCTTAGTAGTTTGCGGCCCTTTCGTTCTATGAATTTGGAATTCTTTTATCATGATACCAGCTAGATACCTACGTATACATAAGTACGTACATGCACTTGAGCCCATGTAATTCCGATATATAAGTCAGTAATAACCTATCTCTAATGTAGTTCTCAACGACTCTATATTTTAGCTTACCAGAATATCGACAGCAAGGCTTAGTCTAGCTGTATATAGTGACGTTCCCGGGTGAGGAAATAATGCAATTACATGTATGTAGCTATAGTAGCCATGCAGTAGATATAAACGGAATAGAACACGTCATTATTCCACTTACTACATGTAGTATGTAAATATACACCACTTCTTTACTGGCGGAGACTGGAAGTACAAGCTTTTACTAAGATTAAAGAAAGTATTAAATCTTATGTCCACCACACAACCCCGCCCCGCTTAGACCCTTCACATTCAACAGTTCTTATTCACAAGTTCACAATCCCCTAAGAACCAATTAAAACCATGTCTTCTGTCTTCAAATGCAAGCCAGCCATCTCCAGAACAAAATTCGAAAATTCACCTGTCGAAGCTCTCCGCTTTCTCGACCTGATTGATATCTCAATATGGGCGAATCCTCCCACAGATGATTCTGTTATTCTCGAAGCCATCTCAGAGAAGATTGGTACAGAGTCTGCTCGAGTTTGGTACAATGAATTGGCTGGTACTATCTATCCCCGCCCTCTTACACTCGATGATTTCCGCCAGGCACTCCTGAGAGATTATCATGTCGAGAACTATCAGGCTGTGATGGCACGATATGATGATGAACGCAGCTACTTCAAGTCTCAGGAATTCCTGCTCAAGGTTAGCTATCATGATTCGATTGAGGGATTACAGGACAGGATCAAGTTTAGGGACAGCAAAGCACTGGAAGACCAGCAGAATTTCAACGAATTAGCGGCTACGCTTGAATCCATTATTGCGGAAAAGGACGCTAGAATCAAGGAATTGGAGTTTAGGCTCCCTGAGACCGAAAGAGCAACTAACGTTGCTATTAACCCAATCACCATGTTTGGGAAGAGAATTGAAGAGGCGAGGAGGAAGCTTAAGGAAGAATTAAAAATTAAAGAACCTGAAGGTATAGTTTTTAATCGAGTTTAACTCTATGAACCTCTATCCTAATGCTAACAGAACTACGTCTAGTTGCTCAACATGAAATGACATCATGCTGTCATACCAGCCCAGGGGTTCCCTGTAATTGTCCAGATTCTCAGGATCACACGCAATTAGTGCGTTTCTCAGCTCCTAAAGCTTTACTCACCAGGTCTGTCCAATGGCATGGCCCATCCTCCCTTGAAAACATCGCTGAGCCAGCCCCGAACCCCACACCCCAAAGAGAGAACTCAGTAACCCGGCCTCGCTCTTTTCTGGATAATATCAGGTTCAACAATGGCGGCAGGGCATTTTCTCCTCGCTCGTCAGTTACAACTACCACAATAGATGGTTCAGTTTCAGTCGACTGCGATGAATTACAGGCTGAGTGGGACAAAGAATTTCCGAACTCGCCTTAATTTTTCTAACATATAGAAAAGTTGTATCGATCAATGGATCATAATCGCCTCAAAAAAAAGATTTCGGCTTCACTTATAAAGATTTAAGAAAGACAAGGAGGAACTAATCTGTTCGAATTCTCTGAACCAAAAGGTGGTCCTCGGAGGATGAATATTAACTTTTTCTCGAAATCCTCTAAAAACTGACCACGCTTGCAGTATATATACTACGGTATATGAACACACGCATACATAGCTACAATTTATGCACTCCAATTGCGCATATACATTGTAAACATAGAAAATCACTCGACCTCTTCCTAAGGATCCTGCTAAGATTACTCTCATCTTGATATCAATGTTTCTCTTACTGTAAAGTACCATATTAAAGCTACGTTTCTAGTAGAGATTATTCCGGGAAAAGCCATTATAATAATGACGCGGCGTTATCGCTCTATAGCAGAATTGAATATTACTTTTACAGGCTCCTGAGGAATAAGCTTGACGCTCAGGTAGAGCAAACTAGTAGAAATATGAAAGATAGGATTCTGCCGATTTATCGCTGTGATTAGGGTGAGAGGCATGAGGATACACGTATTGACGGCAGCTAGCTAGCTCCTCTAGCTAATCGTCCACTGCCTTTCAGATGGCAAAACTATACTTCTCCGCCAACCCCGGCTCTCCATGCGCTTCGTTTGGTGTTTAATCCATACAAAGAGTTGAAGAATCTTGTGGATAGTAGGCCTATCTGTCTCTTCACCCACCACCACACTATGATTGATGCAGTGGACGGAAGACTGCAACACGGGCCGACCTCTGCTAAACACTCAAAACGTCGTCCACCAATAATCACATAAAGATTGGTATCACTTTAAGCCATTGCTCCTGATGCGCTGCAAATTAGGAGGCCTTCTGTTTCAGCTTTGAAGACCAATGTTCTTTGGTGAGTTCTCCTGATTGATTATCCCCTAAGCTCCTGCGGATCCCTATCCAGTCCCCCCCAAACGAACTTAAGAGCTTTGATGTAATACTAGGGATTCTGGTTGTATCCTCCCGAACAGAATCCCTGGAGATTATGATACGGCACAGTTTAATTATCAAGCTGAATGGCGTTGATGTTCATTTTGTCAGCTAGACTCATATCAGTACAGTAATAATAGACTTAGCCTCAGCTGAATGCAGATGTCAGCCTGCAATCTGTCAGTCAGCCATAGCCAACGTTCCGCATGTTCGGTGTTCGGGTTTCGGTGTTTCGGTAGCATGGCCCGAGGCACTGCGGTCGAGCTTAACCGGCTTCTCGGAACCCGGCGATGTTGTGGTTAACTCCTTCTCTTTCACCACCGGGATATTGGATGCCTTAGCATTCTGTGGTTATGCTTTTGGGTGTTTTCGATTGGGCATTCCGCCAGCGGTGGATAAACGCGTTTATCGCTGAAGAACCAGTCAGATATTCACGACGTGGATTACATTACTTACATACTTTGTTGTCTCCGGTCCGGCATAATACCATCTTGAAGCTCAAAAAACGACAAGATTGTAGATAGAGCACATATCTGCCAACACTCTTCTTAACACAGCAAAGATATGTAGTTTTCTGCGAGCTCCAGAATATCTACAACAAATATGCCCGGCAGTTGTTCAATGTCGGACGGTAGCGCGCCGGAATGCGGGGATCTTTTGGTGTCTGAGGGTAACCACCGGGATATTTCCCCAACTGTTGATGTTGGGGTGGTCATAGCTACATTATACATAACATATGTAGCTACTCGACATTCATCAAGGGTTTCCCCGCTATTCCGCAAAAAGCAAATAGCAACCAATATTAACTGTCGCGTTGCACAATCTAAGGGACAACACCGCGTAGGCAAAAGCTATGACTTTTGGATCATCTGCTAATCTACACTTGTGTTCCAGGAAATCTGTGGGGAGTGAATAAACGGGTGATAGATCAGATATTACTGTGTAGTGGGGGGTTCGAATTCTCCTAACTAGACGAATAAATCAAGGCTGAAAAAATCTTCTTCATCCCTAAGTACTAGGTATCTAACCCCACAGAAAATACATCTTCGTCATGTGAAAAAGTCATCTGAATAGTGAGACATATGCTTTCCACTTCCAACTGGACTGACAGGATATATGCTTGACAGAAACGAGAAACCTGGCCTCTAGCAAGCTCCACTAGTGAAGCCCTTCGGTCCGGTCCTTAATGAAGTGTCAAGCATTACCCCATCTTTCAGAATCCCTATAGGGTTATGGCGAACTGCAATTCACGTATCTCGTACTTTGACTTTTGCTTCTTCCTCTGGCTGATGATGATGATGTTATTATTATGCGCATATATCTGTTTTTACACACTTCTCGACTGGGGACCCTGCTGATCACCCACGAAGTCCTCGGGCCGGCAACTCCTGTCGAGTTGTATTTATGCGAAGCAGTGGGGAAAGTGTGGGGTGCATTTGAACCTTTTATTTGCGTTCATCGTTGCCGACAGGCAATGAGATGTTGTCGGCTGTTCATGGTTACCATAAACAGCGCTGTACCTTGTACGAGTGATTTCTCATGAACCCTATCAAAACGAGCTTTAGGAGAGAAATGAGACCCTGTGCATGATCATATGACACACGTCTTTTTTTTCGACCCTTGGAAGGTTATGGAGTATGTAAGTACCCAGATGGATGTAAGTAGAGCAGGTACAGTAAGTAGACCACTTTCGAATGCACCTTAGGTGGCTGTTTCTGGATTCCGACGCAGTTTGAGGGAGAAGAGGCGGTTTGGGGAGGTGTTACTTGCCTTGCTGTGACTGTCTGCGAGGTAGATCAGGCAAGAAAATATTCTATTAATTGGTAGAGAAGAAGGAGTATTCAAGTTAGGTCTAGCCATGCTGCCTCCCTGCCTGCTTGTGTATGGAAGCGGATGTATTCAAAATACAGAGTGTTAAACAGCAGCGACGCAAGTGGCTGTTTACTCCTAAGGGGGAAAGTGATTGGGGACGTCACCTCCTGTGTGTTTGGCTAGGAAGTAGGGCCAATGATTGTTTCCATACGACAGCCCGCGCCCGCCCGCCGCTCCACTGTACTGGGACCCAGCCTCGATTCCGTTCCGATTCAATCGGGCGGTGGCTTATTGGCTCCATGCTCCGTTATTGTACATACCCGTCAGATCCTGCATCTCCGATTCAACGGCCGTTTTTTGAATCGCGGAAAAACTCGAGGGGCGTTGTTTATTTTATTTTTTCCTCTTTTTTTCCCGGTGTGTGTGGGTGGATTGGGTGGATGTGGGAAACAAAACAAATACTTACTAGATGATGCGGGCTAACTCGGCTCGATCACCTATGTATGTATGTATTGTAGCGTGGTGGGTAGGGGTGATAAGGCTGTAAAACGAAACATATCCATCCAAGATGTGATGTAGGTGAGATATACCCAGCCTCTGATCATGTTGCGCCGCTTTTTGGCTTCTTGAAGTGGGTATGTTGGTCCATTAGGGATTGCAACACCCTGATCAATGCATGTTCCTCCGGGCCTACTATGGAAGTACCTATGATAGGTACATGTACTGCTCTACGAAACTTGACTCAAGAAAATACTCTACCAATACAATTGAACCCGCTCTTCATACGTGCTCTACTCTAGAAAGCAGTCATATCAAGAAGGCAGGGCCCTTGCTACATCCAGTCGAACGAGACAAAAAAGCAACGATGAGGAATTTAGAGTGCATTGCATTATATCCGGGAGGGAGCTCTTCCCAAGGTAGAGAAAATAGGGGGGGGGCGCAAAGGTTCCAATTCGAGTGACGCGTGACACGATGTTGGATCTGGTACGGATATCGCGAGTTTGAAGAGAAGGCATCGCATAGAGTGTCGTGGAGGAGGAAGATAGGCTGCGTGGTTTGCCCGCCCGCCCGCCAGCCGAAGAGAGCGCCGCGCGGGGTAGTTGGAGGAGGAGAGAAATACATACAGTAGCTAGAGTACATAGGGAGAGAAAAAAATATTTTATCGACTCGTCTCACTGGTTGGTTGGTGGGACTTGGGTCTGTGGTGGGGTTGAGAGCTAGGAGGAGGAGAGGTACATGTACCTTCTGCGAGTACGGCCGCGGTAGATACAAAACACCAAAATTCGTGGTGCGCTCCTCCCCATGGCAACAGATGTCATTCGTTACTCAGGTGATGCGGTGGATGATTCGACGGGGAGATCTCGGAAATGAATTTGCTCGCGTGCTTTCATAGGAGACGCCGGGGACGCCCGCTGGCTTTCCAGAAAGTCAACCTTTGTAGAGTCTAGCTACAACTCATCTGTATACTCCTACATAGTACCTGATACATGTATCTATCTCGACTATCTTGATGAGAATACTTGCACATATGTATTTACGTGGCTGACTGGTTGCGTTATATCTCATGTCAATTGGACGAGGGAGGGTCCTCGTGCAAAGGAGAGGACTCGCGGCAGTCGCAGATCATGGTGAAAATCATTTCTCTTGCAGGCCATTTTTTTTTACATCTTTCTACTACTTTGCTTTTTCGTAAATCAAAATGTTCCTGGGTGTTGTAGTAGGCAATCCTGTTTGAAGCGGGTATTCGAGGATGTTCTGTCGTATACGTTCTGCGGGTATCCATGTGAGGGGGCGAGTCCAAGAATATTGAAATTGTGTGGACCTGTGCTCGACATATCTACATGGTACTCTCCCTAGATTATACGCTATGTATACTCATGATGCTTCCTAGAATATTTTCCGGAGGCGGGCGTTATGGGCGTATGGGCATAAAATCCGAGAAGGCGTCTGATGTCGGTCGGGACAACAAGACGTTGGGCCCTTGCAGGCGAGTTGACTGGGGCCCTGGGGGAAGGTCGAGGGCAAGGGAGCGTTGAGTCTTAGAAATTGGGCCACTCTCTCATTGGCTGACGATGATGGGTCAGTTTAGGGTATGCTTTTGGGCACGAGCGACAACGCTTACCCTAGGCCTGTCAATCGAAACAAGACAGTGGGATGTGCGGTGGGTGTTGGTGGGGTCCCGTTTGCTCCGGGGGGGAAAAGTTGGATCTTCTGTTTCAATTGCTCACAAAAATTATTGTTTTTTTTCTTTCTTTCTTTCTGTCTTCCTTCCTCGTCCTTCAGCCTCCTCCACACTGCGTCAGTGATATCCAATCGAATACCTGCCGACAGATTGCATAATTACCTGTCACATAAAACCCCCTACTTGACGTACTCTATTAGGTACGATAGGAGAGGTGTGGACAGTACATAGGTACATACATACATGTGGTAGTGACTCGAGAGACGGTTTTATTTAGGACTGAGACCTGATCTCTCTAGTAACCCTTTTTGGACGTGAGATATCCATACATAAAGTAAACTTTGTCCCCCTCCTAGATCTTCTCATTCACCGCTTGCCCTGCTCTACAGCCCTCGCTTCCATAAATCCTCTGTTTCAGCCCCATCATCCAGATCCCCCTACAACTTCTTATAGAACCTCAACACATCCCTCTATTTCCAAGAATATACACCTTCTAGTTGTGGATCCACCAAACCAAGCAGGACTCACTATACCAATCGTCGTTCCTCTACTCTGGAAAGAAGATTTATATATCTAGCATCTACTCAGTCTCCATTGTCATCACACTATTGAATACCGGGTCCCGTATCTCGGAGAGGCGCACTCTTTCCTGTTAGGTAAGTTTTAGTTGTTTACTCTTTCCGGCCTTAGAAGTAGCTTCTACCTCTAGCGCAGAGCTCCCCTCTCTCCCGTCAACCACCATTCATACCTCACCTTTATTCCATTCTAACAATATCTTCATCATATACAGTAACATTTAAGGAAAACTACACACCTTTACATCAAAAATCAGGTTATTTCACCATAAAATAAATGCTATCATCATCAGCCATGTTCAACAACCACGAGCTGGCTACATCGCAATCTATTACCAAGAACGTTGTCACTGTCAGAGACAGTCAGACCAAGTCAAAAGAAAATGAGCGTGTTAACCATCGTATCTCCTCCATGGATCCAGAGCGCCCTACAATTCGCATTCGTTCGAACTCCTCAACTAGAGTTGAGGACCTCCCAAAGCGTTCAACTGCAAACCAAGAGATTGGGCCCGTCAAGAAGAAGGCTGGAGGTAGAGCTCCTATTTTCTTCCAAGTCCCTAATTTTTAGATTGGAAGATGTGAGCTGGTTCTTACGCTTGTACGTTGGTGCTTTAGCTCCTGCTGCCCCGAGAATCCTCAGAAGCATGAGTGTTTCCCTCAACGATGGATTCGCCCCACCTGCCAACTTTGCGCTTGTTGGCGGCGGAGGTGTCTACAGGAGCAGCTTCCCCAGAGTGGAAAATTTTGGATATCTTAGGCGTTTGGGGTTGAAGAGTGTCCTGTGAGTATTTTTGCTTTGAAAAAGGTTGTTAGGAATCTACAGTTGCTGATAATTGTCGCGTGACAGAACACTTGTTGGGGAGCCATACCCTGAGGAGAACTTGAAATTCATGAAGCAGTGTGGAATAACCCATTTCCAGATTGGCATGCCTGGAAACAAGGAGCCATTTGTGAACAGTGAGTACTCTGGAGTAAATTTTGGCCTTGAGTGTATTTTCTAATAATCTATTAGTTCCTGATGAAAAGCTATCTGCCGCTCTAAAGGTTGTCCTTGATCGTCGCAATCACCCAATCCTTATTCACTGCAATAAGGGCAAGGTATTTGCCCACTTCTCTTAAAAATGGCACGATGTCAAATCTGTGCGACATGGATATTGACCTTTTTATTTAGCACCGAACCGGTTGTGTTGTCGGCTGCCTGCGCAAGCTCCAGGCATGGTCTTTGACCCTTATTTTCGACGAATACCGTCGCTTCGCCGACCCCAAGAGCCGCGCGCTCGACCAATTGAAAATCGAACTGTATAAGGAAGAAGCTTGCATGGGTATTGCAAAGCAATGGGGTTGGATGCCGGAAATAATGACTGGCGGCGGTTGCTCATATCAGGAATGCACTGACGGGATTGGTGGATGTGGATGCGGTGGACTAGAAGTCCAGGCTCTATAACATCCAATCTCAGAGGTGTCGTTTCGTTTGGTAAAAAGCAAAGATTTGTTTTGAGATCTATGGGGAAATCTGGGGAAACGATTGTTTTTCTGGGTAACCACGCTTCGGATTTCAAAACAAGCTGGAAAAAGTTCATTTCTGATTTTTTTGCCCTTTCACATTCCCCTGGGTTTGTGGGGTGGACAATTGTTTGCCTTTGTACAGTGGGCGGCATTTTTTCTTAGACCTCCAATTTGCCCCCTTTTAAGGGAGTAAATAGGTTTTATTTCTTTTTCACGTCATCGCGAGGTGACGTTTGGGGTTATATTTGGGATTTCCTTTCGGGTTTGATGGTTACGTTGGTTCTGGAGTTATTATTTATTGGTTATTGAGTTTATTAGAGTGGCTATGGATATGGTTCTGGAGGAAAGTGTTTTCTCTGGTGGATAGGTGTCCTGCGTGTCTTCTCTTTATTACTTTTGTACCACGGTTTGAGTTTGGGTTTGAGCACAGCATACAGCACAGCATACAGCACAGCATACAGTACGGCATATAGCAGGGTTGTCTCGAGAGGGTTCTGTACAATTATTAGCAACCTATTGCATTTTATACACCCTTCTGATACTTGTGACGAGTTGGGATCGGGAAAACAGAATAGGATCGTCCAAGCAATGGTTTTTGAAGTTTGTCGGCCTCTGATCGCGAGGCTTACTGGTTGCGTCAAATCTTTCTCTCGCGTGACCAAAGATTCAACATGGAAATTGAGTTCTGATTTCTCGGAGGAAAGCGGGATGGGATCAAAGACTCGTCATCAAGTGTTTTTTTTGGTGTTTTGTTGTCAACAACGTCACTATATGTCTTCTGGATGATAAGTGCTGGAACAGACGAAATTGTTTCCGACAGTGATACAGCATTTGAAGCTACGTCGTTCTGTCTCTATCTTCTCTTGACTGTTTTTTCTCGAGGTTGCTGAATCAGCTGACATTGCAATCCAAGTCTGTTCCGGCAGTCTCGGTCTTATTTCATTGGGTTTCAGTGATCTGTTCTAGGCTTACTTTGCATGCTTGCTTCACAGTTCCTACTGTTCCTGGCCATTCGGGCATTGTATCCCTAAGCCTTACTATATGAACTAACCCCCCAAAATAAAATCAACAAAAACGCATGCAAATCAACCCCAACCCACTAACTACACTATCTTCCTTTTTTTTTTTTCGGGAGGTTTAGTGAACACCATGATTAATCGACTTCGCTTCCAAGGCTTGCCGCGGCAGCTGCAGGTGATGATAAATACATTTGTAGATGTAGCAGAAATTTCTCGCGGACCTTCCATGGCTCTCACGGACAACGAGTTTCTAGGACCATGTGATGTAAACGACTACTACACTACAACCTAGTGTCTTCCTTGGCCGAAACATATTCACTTTTTTGGTGCTGTAACCTGGTTACGCACATATCTGGGACCGGGTTGTCGGTGAGATTCTATGGTAGGTTTAGAGCAAGGTTGGACCAAGGCAACACTAATGAGGTCAGAAGTGAATTTATATGCTTTGTTCTTTTAAATACAGTCAATAATATAAGAAGTTAAAGAAAAGGGTATCTAATAAACCCTAACCCTGGTAGTTTGCCACAACTACAGCCTTGTTCTATGATCTATGAGCTCTTCTCCTCCTTGGGCCTCGACGTATTAAAGTAATAGTTTCCGTGAGTGATTGCGTTTACAGCTGCAAAACCTGCGACACCCAGTGGCAATGGGTTCCGTAGGCGTACTAGCTGCTTTACGCTCTTGCGCACACCATTTACCATGAGGTAGAGGAATGACCAGGCGGCGGTGGTACCGGCGCCGTCAATTGGTGCATGGTCGTAGGTCATCCAGCCTCCTATTGCCATGGTGGAGGAAAAGAGGAGGAGGGTCCATGGCCTTGGGAATAGTTTGGCGTTATGTTTTCGAGCTAAAGGAAGCTGCGATAGGACTGCATCGTGTCAGATGAATGTTTTTTTATTTCAGCCCCATGTAGTGAGGGGGAGGAAGGGACGCACCAGCTGCGGAGAAAGCCCATGCTGGAAGAGGGGACTCTGTGGGGTTGCGGCTCTGTTGTTAGTTTGGGGAGACCCCATTTAGGTGGGTGGGGTAGATGCATACCAGCGTAATCTCGACCGTGAGAATTGAGGAGAGATCGCGCTTGGTGGAGGATTTCTGACATGTCTGAATATAGGGTTTATGGATTCTGTATGAGTTGGGGTTGACAGATCTACTTTTTGTTTGCTTTTCGCGGACCAGCCGTTTACAGGTGCATATGATGTCATTGGGAGGAGATATTCGTAGTTTGGCGCGGCTGTCAGACTTGGGGAAATTGGCGTCGTCGGATTAACGTTGTTCCTTAATCTTGAGATTGACATCCAACCACATCCTTCATACCTATCAAGCGAATCAGAGGTCGTTATCAACATCGACGAACGACCCTTATCAAAAATAAAAGACATCAATAGAATACCAGGATCACAATTCGCCCGCCTATCAGGTTTTGCTAGTGACTGTTCTTGGAGCCTCTTGCACATTCGATAGACAGCCCTAAGGCGCCAGGAACCAAGAATCATATGGATCGATAATAAAGCTATAAATTCACCAATCTCTACCAAACTGCCGTCATCGCACTATTTCGTCCGTACTTCACCGGCCTTTTTTCAAGCGCTTTCATTACTGAGTCTCCTAGACTTACGTGGCTCGTGGGTCTAGAGCTCAACCGTGATTCCTGATCATTTACAGATTCATACGATTCTGTTGTGATCGAGGAAGTTGAAGTCTGTGCCCCCAATTGCCACGACACAAAAGGTTTAAATTCCCTTTGAATACTTCTCGGGCCCTAATTGGACTCTTGTATATCAGGCAAGGAAGCTACCCGGGTCGAAAAGAGCATCAAACATAACCGTGGCGCGAACCTGGGACGGGCCGAAGATAAACGCGGGATAGCTTTCTGATCCCGCCCAAGAACCCGATCACTCTAGGGTTCCCATCTCCTGCAGCAAGGAGAAACTGGAGAATTGACATGTGATAAAGTGATTCTACTCGACACGTTTTTTAAAATGCGCAGATCATTTTACTGGGGCCAACAACGTTGGCGCTCTGGACTTCTAGCCTCAATTGAACGACAACTCAGTCAACCATTGGAAAAAGTCTAATTGACAAAGTGATCCCGCATTGTATGCGGTGTATTGTTCTTTGGATCGTTTTGAAAAAGAGGGATTTGATAAGGTCAAGGGGAGAAAGGAAATTTGTCAATATCAAAAAAAGCCAATGTTTGCTGTCTTACCAATGTTTTTTTTACCCGTTCCACAAGGCGCAAGCCGCAGGACTTAGGTACCCTTTGCCCTCGATCGAGATCACGGGCTAAGCATTTATTCCGTGTCTATCAAAAAAGGACCCCGTACGTACTTACTCCGCTGAGTTCCCTGCATAAGCCCTCCACTCATCTCAAACATGACATGATGGGGCATAAAACAAGATCTTGATGACTTGCATCAGCTGGACACCTCTCCAGCACGATATGTACGTATCAGACTAGTCGACTATATTGAGATGGGCGCATCAGTCTTCCCTTGGATCGAACAAAATGGTAACGGATCAGGGCCGGACATATCTATGTGAGCCGGTCGGTCCGCTGCGAGGAATGATTTTAGCCTATGCACACGTGAATAGTGCAGATTTTGGGAATTGGCCATTTGCGACGTAGTTAGAGAGGTCATTTGTGCCAAATGAGTGGGTTGGTTACAACAGCGATATTCCTGGGGGAAAGTGGAGTGTAACATCTGTTTGGCTGGGTGAATCAAAATGGATTGCAGGTATTTGTTTACAGGTAACGTTTACTATAAACAAAATCAATCGCTCACAAGTTACACGTCCCTGAGCTCTGGCAATTGCATATCGTTACTCTACATGGACACATACATACTAACGCTATTTGGACTCCTTTTTCTTTTTCTTCTTTTTTTTTGCCTATTGAAAGATGCTGCTAATTCAAGACACGTTGGCTGTTGAGACGTCTGGAAGTTATGTTCAAGGATCGCCTCGATCGGAATGTATTACTGACATCTTTTTGACAATCCTGGGGGGAGCTTGCAGGAACTAAGCGTCCGAATACAGGTATTCTAATGTACACAGGCGCCATTATGTACAATCTATCCGATAACGTTATCTTTGCGGATGCGGACATGCAGGTCAAGTCCAACCCATGTTCACAGCTAGTCACTCGAGCATCGCCGTTGTTATTGGTTCGTCACTGACTTTATACATAGTACCTACACGTAATTACTCATCGAGCTTATTCCAACCCTCATCTCATCAAACAGAGGCGTCATGATAAGATCAAACTGTAAAATCGGAACTTGGGCCTCTCGGTAATGGCACCTAAAGTGGAGGTGCCTTACTAATATCTAACAAGGCTTGTGATTAACGCTCGTGATATTTGATATTGACAGTAAGTGGTGATTCGGGTGACCAATGGGAGTTCACTCACACCCACATTTGTTTACAGAGGCTCAAAAAGCAAGCTACGAATCTAAACTTTAGCACCCCCGCCAAGATCACAGATCACTATCGGGTCCGTGCACTTAGCGCCAATCTTGAGCCTCACCTATTCATCCCACCTAAGATCTCAACCGCCGACATCTCGCAACTCGACATCACGCGAGCATATATCAACTCCAGTAACAATGTCAGGATCAACTACAACACCAAGACGTCCGCCGAACGTTCCTTTCTTTCTAGTTCCCCCAGAACTATTTTCAATAGTCACAGATGCCGCCCCCTTCCCTATCTACCGTTGCTCCAGTGTGTCCCCCGAGAACCGACCTTTTCTTAAAACGTATAGACCTCCTCACCTAAAAAGCAATTATATTGCCAAAATTTCAATTTGCTGACAAAAATGGGGGTTTTGTGCAGTTTAAATCTTAAAACCATACTTTCTCTTACTGCCGAGAAGCCCTCGAAGCCACTCCGCGCCATATCGGAGGAGCAGAACTTGAACTTGGTCCACCTCGGGCTCTGGCAGCCTCGCAATCTGGAGGCTTCCCAGCCATTATCAAAGGGCGCGGTTGAAAAAACGTTACAATTACTCACTACCGACAATCTGCCGGCCTTATTGGTGGACGGAGGTCATGGGATTTTTGTGGGCGTGCTGAGAAAGCTCATGGGGTGGAACCATACTAGTATAATTCTAGAGTAGTGAGTATCCTATAGGTCCCGAATACCAGCTATCATGAACGGGAATAGAGGAGGAGGTAGTGGTAGCTAATGGGACGCAGTCGGTCCTTCGCAGGCAACCATCCGAGATATGGAAATGAGGAGTTTATCGAGATGGTTGACACTTCGCGGATTAATATTCCCGAGGGAATTGAGTTTCTAGCTTGGCACGGTCCCAAGAGCAATGAAGAGGACAAAGAGGGGGAAAGTGAAGGAGGGGGAGAAAAGAATAAGGGGGAGTCAAAGGATGTGGGGGTTACTAGTCGTTCTCGAGCTGAGCTAGTTAAGAAATAATTACCGAACTAGCCTAGTATCTATATACCCAGGAATGTTTCTTATCTAAGCTTCAAGTTTTCAAGTTCGAGCATAAACCTCTTTTTTATTATACATAGAAAAAAATCATATTTTCTCTTACCAAACGCCGCCACCGGCCCACCATTTCAATTTTGCTTCTCCGGAAAACATAAATATCGAGCGAGTTGGTGATATATATACCCCTATCCTGATCTAAAGAAAAGTAATTCCCCATTCCATAGTGCAAAAATATTCAGGACAAACGCAGCAAACACCAGCATGTATCTATAACTACTTTTTATTCCTTTTCTCCCTTGGCTTATTCGCGTCAACGTCTTCCATCTCACTTCCCAATTCATCCTCTAGGTCCACACTTCCCTCATCCTCACTCCCCATATCCTCGCTCCCCTCCGCATCACTCTCATCATTGTCATCATCACTCCCCCCTTCGCTACCACTGCCTACTTCCTGACCGGGGACATAGTCTTCCTCCTCTTCGTCCTCAACATCAGCCATGGCCTGTTCCAATGCACCCTCATCCCCTTCTTCACCATTGACCTTGAACTCCTTTGCTCGTCTTGCTTCGGCCATAGATGCATCGTTGAGCCGGTTCTTCTTGATATAGGTATCGATACCCGTATATTCCTCCTGGTCGATCATTCCAAACTCGATTTCGTCCCCTTCAGGGGAGGATTGGGTGGCGACATGAATAGATAAGTTGAAGGTACGTTTGGTAATTGAGGTATATGAAATTGAATTGATCGCCGCGAACGAGAAATAAGCTAATGGTTTTCGGAATGTCCAGACAATGCCGGTACGGAGGAAGAAAAGGTAGCCTGGTGATTTATTAGCTTATGCATACTTAAAATATCAAGAATATCAGGGAAAAAAAATACCATCTTTGCTCCCACGGTGAGCCTTGACATGAAATGCCTTCTCACCCTTCCGGTGAGATTGGGGTAAAGCTGAGTAGAATACAGCCTCAACGGGCTCCTGCACCACGGCGTTTGATTTGGAAGCTTTAAGGAGCGCGTTGAAAGAGTCAACCAGTAGTGACTTATAGCTCGTTGTATCAAATCCGCGACTCATCTCATCTCCGGTTGCGGTCTTGGGTGCGCTGTCCGGGATTGTGAAGACCAAGGCGTCCGCATTCCCGTCTCCAATACCCTCCGAGCCTTCGGGGAAGACACAGAAATTCCATTGTCGCGCTGCTTTGTCCGGGACTGGAAGACATGATACGTATTCTGTGGAATATCATTAGCTGGCTATTATATCGGGAAACAAGGGGTAGGTAACTAACTGATGTTACCCCATGAAACCCCGAATTCCGTCACCCCCGAAGCAGCACCAATAGCGCTCATGCCCCCTTCCGTAAGTGCCAAGGTGAACTTCTTCCTTTGTGGAACTGAAAAGCTAATCTCATTAACGAGCAATACTTCTTTTCCAGCGAATGTGGGAGCTTCAGCTTCATCGGCGGAGACATCATTAGAGACTTTCCGCTTCTTGACTGAAGGCTCTGGAGACCGGTCTACTGGTTTCAACGTGATGATGTATTTCCCAATGTCGTGAAGGAGAGTAGAGTATTTTGGGTCCTTTGCTATAGGTGATAATGTTAATCAGCTATCTCAATGAGTTGAGAAGGGGGTGGGATAGTACCGAGAGCATCGCGGACGGAGGTGTTTAGGGATTTCTGTGTAGTGGTGGGGAAAGCTTGGTCAATCCAAGTGGTATCGGATAGTGATAACGCAGCCATTTTTTCTTCCTGCTTTTTCCTAGGAGGCATTATTGTTGTGAGTTATTTCTTGGTGGGTATAATTTTTTCTTCTCGTGGACCTTGCTTTTGGTGATGGTGAGTTGTTGAGTTTTGGCTGAGGTTGGTTGGTTGACTCTTGGTTGGTACTTTAGGGGAAGAACTGACTACCAGTGTAAAGAAGGTAGCCGCGAGTGCGCGCTTGAGTGGGAAGAATGTAGGGGGGCCCTGTGGTAGGGAGAGAGTTCACACGTGTTGATAAAGATGGGTACACGGACCGGGGGTTAATATATGCGTATACACTTGGAACCGTGTGGACTTTGATGCTACTTATGCGGTGACGGTTTTTGTTTGTTTTTGGTTTGATCAGCCTTGTCGCGGTCGAAGGAGCCTCGTGGTTATTTTATCGCCACGCGATAGGTATATTGATCATTGTAGGTATCTTGTATGATACAGGAATCAGGTACAATGCAGTGCCATGCAGCAAGACAACTGCAAAGTTGCTAACAATTGCTCTTTAGAAGATAACTGCATGTAGATGTAGACCGCAGTCTTTGATCATTTTAGTCTTTAAGAAAGTAGTTGATTCTTGATAAGCTGAATGTAGATTGTTAGCACAAAACAAATTCAAGGGGTTATCTTTTGAGGTACAGATGTTATAGAAAGCTTGCTTGGAGATCATTGTTCCCTAACACTGGAAGCTGTTGATTATTGATATCACTTATACTTCTTTTGTGATCATAAAATTGGATACTCATAATAGATACATCAATTCTCAGTACCACAAAATGGATATTAGTACATTGATCTAGCACAATGATATTAGCACATTGCTTGGTTCATCTTTACGCCTTGTTACTCTATTACGTTCTAGTATCCTCTTTCATTTATATAATATCTACAGGAACAAGACTCTGGTCAGTCACAAAGCCCATTGCCTCTAAAGACAAGTAAAAGGGCCTTGAAAACGCGGATCATTTGCAACCGGCTGCTACACCCGCATCTACGAAGGAATAAGGTTTTCTTATAATATCAAATTAGGAGTGTACTAGCTTACCCCATACAAATAGAAGTAACCACAGGCTCATTTTTCACCTATTTTAGAAACCGTTCATTGTGAGCTCCCCCTGGACGTACGCGCGGCATGTACATATAGCTATTCCGTGGGATTTCTCAAATATCGGGTTGAAATTGGCCTCGATATATGGACAATGTATTCCACACCCTGCATCTCGAGAATGAAACTGAACAGGGCGTAGATAAAAACGAGAGAGAGAGGGGTATATAGGAAGTCGAGAGCAACATAATTCCCCATACACACACACACACACACACACACACAACGAGCTTGTGTGTGGCTCATAGAACCTAGCCATAGACCAGTACAAGACGCGGACCGATAGAAGCATTGGAGCCTCAGATAGGCCGTATCAATACCTATATATATATATATATAGTCAGTCTATCTGAAAGTGAGGTTTAAGCCAACATAACTTAAGTCAACCTATTTCAGTCATTCCTGAGCTTATATTGATATCTTTGGTCGAGCTCCGCATACCTTAGCCCCTAGGATCATGATATAAGAGGATCCAAGGTTTTATCCGCTCCGAAGGAATAAATATATAAGACGGAAGCACCAAGGCACCCACACTTTCAGAAGGAGACTTTATATAAAATACAGTTCCGTCAGGGTCGTGGATTAAAGATAAGCACCGATTGTGGAGCTTGGGGGAAAAGTGGATTATCTCGATATTTCATCTAACATTCAGAGCCCCTCATTATTGTAAGCTCTATATGCATAGATAATATCTATATAGTTAGCTATCACCGTATAATATATAATAAAACTTGGACTATTAAGTTATAATCGTACCTTGATATCTGGAGCATTGAACAATTCGGTTAATCACAGGTTATCACTCGACATATCTCTAAGAGTAGTATCTTTAATCAGTTGCAGCTTTGTCCCTTCGCATTTGACAGTCAATTTAGAATATATTCTGGGTATTTTCAAACAAGGGATCGTATTTATATACTCTCCATCGGGCCCAGGAATAAGTTGTCCAAAACGACGAGGAAGATTAATGTGCATACATGTCGGCTTGAATTCACTGCAATCAATCATCGAGTCCTCGGACACCTTCCAAGGTGGTGGCGAGAAAGTCACCGTATATGATAGATGTTGTATGCGCCCTTTAGATCTGCATATAGTTGTGTTTGACTGAGGGACGGGGTGTGGACTTTATTTGTGCTTTGACAATAGCCTCCATTCAAAAACTTATCGCGATGTATCCGCATCCCCTGGGGGCACTTAATAGAGCTACCTCAAGCACGTGCGTGTTCCCTTTCTCTTATGGAGTCTTGACGTGACTGGCCCTGTGAAAGCGTAGGGACATCAGGCCGGGGCCGCTAGTATCTGTAAAACGGCCTCTTGTGTATTAGTACTTCACCCAGGGTGTGACAGAGAAAGAAAAAAGACCAAAACTCAAGGTACGACCTATATCTTCTCTGCGCAGGTACAAATCTGTGGTAGACTTTACGTTACCCCAAGCCTCTACTTTGCATCGTATGCAAAAAGAAAAAAGGAAAAAAGTCTTTTTCGTTTCCCTCAAGGTAAATATGTACATATATATATGCATGCATAGCTAGAAAGATGAATCTTGACCTCTTTGTGTATTGGTTAATATATATTCAAACATAGAGTAAATAAAACTAAGAGAAAGATTCGGGTTATATCTGTAATGCCTGTGAAGATAATCGATACAATTTAGCCCTGAGTCGATCACATGCCACCTGACCACATGTCTTCTGAGAATCGCTTTAGTGGGAGCTTTGATACGTACATGTAGCTGCTCTGGTGCTATATTATATGTATATTATACTCCACTAGCCGACCCGGAAGCTTATCAGGTTCACTCTCCGTCCATCAAGCTCGCTGGACAGTCCTACATATATGAAGGTGGCCCGTTCGTCAGGTGTTTCGTTCTTCGGGGGACATGTTCTGGCACTAGGAATCCTTCGGTGATGATAGAAACAACTCGGCCGTAGAAAAAGCAGTCTATGAAAACACTTCCAAATTAAACCAATTGCAAGCTACATGTGTAAAGCTTTAATTACAACACATTGAGAACATGAAGGAACCGGAGGTTTTGAAATCTTAAGAATTTCATTTGTGAAATGGAGCAGCCCAAGGGGCTGGGTTCGCCCTTGGATTGGGTTTGTTTGCCCGGCTGTGGAGGGGTATGGAATAATCATAGAGCTCTATAAAAATTCGGTAGCTAGCATCTAGCGATAGTACCAGGCCCTTTTTTAAACGATAGGAGTTTCAATTTAGGTGGGAAATGGAAGTTTTTTTTTCTTCATTTTTTTTTAGGAATGGGCGTTTAAAAAATTCAAAGTCGCTGGCCCTAATTCAAGTCCCAATGTATCAGGTGTAACTACATGTACATGTATAAAGTTTACGATATTGCTAGTGTGGTGTTGAGTCGGGCAAAGGTGAGGAGCTCCACTGCTAGCATCTTCTCCGTAAGCCTGTGAAGAAAAGAAAAAAAGAAAAAGGGAGAAAAAAAGCTCTAAACCCTACAATACATGTAATCAAGGACCCTGAGATTCTAGAACCCTCAGAACCGAACCGAACCATCCCCCATGATCCGCAAACCGCATGACTAATCCCTCCAAGCGGGCATTCAACCAATCCAGATCGATCTGATAACGGCTTACTCAATCCACCTGGTTATCCTTGCTCCTCACACCCGGCGGGAACGAGAAATTTTCGGGTTATCTACCGTTCCCGGATCTACCCCGCCCCGGTCCAGAATATTCAACTGAGACCAAACTTGTTTAAACCCTCTCACCTTCCCCACCAACAACGGTTTTCCATAGATCAGACCTCCCCCCTCGCTTTTACCCCAGCGCCATCAATCCCACCACCCCGGGTTTCAATTGCAACAAACAACTCTCTATTCGAATAACCATGCCTCCATTGTCTATTGCGAAGTCCATCGTTGCCAGGCCTTGGTTACAGCGCGTCCTCGGCCCTGTAGCCAACAGGTACGCTGATCTCGCTGGATACCGTCAAATCGGACTTGTGTATGTTGCCCCCAAATTCCAATATATGTATATTTCGAGAAGATCCCGCGGCTAATATAGAACAGCGCCGATGACTTGATTATAGAAGAGACCGATGTTGTTCAACAGGCGATCAAGAGACTGCCCCCTAAGGTTGCCTACGACCGTATGTTCCGTATGCGTCGTGCTGTACAGGTATGTATACCTATACTGGTCCATCACTTATTCATAGCTTGAGACTGGCTACTGATTGTATCAACTTTATAGTGCTCGGTTGCCCACCAGATCCTGCCAAAGCAGGACCAGACAAAGCCCGAGGACGACGTCCCCTACTTGTCACCCTACATCGAAGAGATTGAGGCCGAGTTGAGAGAGAGGAACGAGCTCGACTCGTTGGCAAAGGCGAAGTAATGGGTTGATGGAGATTTGCGGTGATAGACCAGTAGGACGGTTATATTGGATGTACCGGTGTTATAGAATTGAGGGTAGACACTGCAGGGGAAAAAGTTGATACCATACCTACCGAATGAAGATTTTATCTTTTTATTCGGTGTTTCTGGCTCTTTCAATGTCCCTTTTATTCTTTTTTTTTATACCTTTTTTTCCCTCTACCTCTTGCTTTTCTGGGTTTTGGAAAAAAGAGAAAAAAGCTATTGTATAGTGCTTTCCACCCGCTACTTTTTGAATATGCAGCTGGAAGCGGTTCTTATAGATAGCTTTAAAGGGAGCTTTTGGGAGTTTTTTTTTTTTTTTTTAGCATCATCCAGTATTACTCCGTCTGGAACTCTCAATTTACAGAACCGCATCTTTCGGGTAATAATAATTTGATCATGTGCCATCACTCTCTGTCTCATGTCACGGGCTATGTTGAAATCAGAAACTTTTATCATTGAGAATTCTTCTATTTTACAATATAGCTAGTATTTTACAACCAACTACAATTCCAATGCCTTCTTTGCCAGCTCGAGCGCTCCCTCAAAGCTCTTATTACCACCGATGAACCCACTGGCGTGAACAAACACACCACCAGGAATTCCAGTAACCTCGCTCAAAGCATCATCCCTGATGCCTCTCCATGCGGCCGGCAGAGCCTTACGACTCTCAAACGAGTCCTTGCTTACTGGCACGGCCTGAACCCTCCAGTTTTTTCCAGGGCCCTCGCCATACAATACATAGATGGTCTCTCCTTTAATGCCCTTCTCCTCCTCAATTGTGAATAAATGATCTCTCCACGGGATCGACTTCTCAAATACCAAAATGCGACCCTTGTCATCATACTCCATCCTCTTCTCTATCGCAGCAACGACAAAGTCCCTCGCCGGCAGCCAAGATTTCCCGTAGAAGTCGAGCTTACGCAGGAATACCGACCCAATAAAGTCGGATGCCTGGACAAAGTTTGCGTCCTCGGACTCCTGCGAAGGTGAGGGGTCATTCCAGTTTGGGTTGAAGGCGCCGACGGCAGATGGCAAAGAAATCGATTTTTCGTTGAAGAGTGGTGAAGGCGCGTCAGAGGGGTAGGCGGAGATGCCGTTGTCGTTGGCGTCGAGAGCTTCGATGAAGTCGTTGTAGAGCTTAGTGTAAATGAGGTCGGAGGAGGGGGAGGTTGGCTCGATTGAGAGACGGTGATTGATGATGGCGCGCGCGAAATGCTTGTAGACTAACCCAGCGCTAGAGAGCTTTGTTTTGTGGTTGGGAGAGAAAGTCTCGGCGAATTCGCGCTGGTGGTGGTCAAAGTGCTTGGTGCTATCGTATTTACCAGTGACCTGGGTAAGGTGTTAAAGGGAGGTTAATGATAATGGGGTGGGAGGAGGGTTGTGAGAGTTACATCGACGATTATGTCGCACTCTTCAAGAACAGCGGGATCCCGGGAACGGGTGAGTGTTGCGTCTTTATATTCTGGGAGGAGACGAAGCATATAGACGGCGAGAGCCTCATCAGCCTATAATATATTAAATTAGTATTTCTATAGCTTACTCTTGGAGTTATATCGAGGTGTACATGGAAATGACCACTAATACATAATAACAATTATTAGCAAACAATGCGATAGAATATTGGCGTGAGGAAACTAACTTATGAGTTCCAATGTTCAATGGGGTAGCCTTCATACGTTTAGCGGGAGCAGGGGTGGCCATTTTTGTGAATTTAGAAATTTGGGAACGGGTTGTGGTTGTGAATTGATTGAGTGAAGATCGGGCAGCTGAGGATAAGAGGCGGGGCAGCATAAGATGAACGCGGGGTTGCTATGAAACAAAACGAAACGCAGCACGGTTGTGTTATATTTCGTGCATAACTATTGGCGTGTGATAGCCGGGTAACGAACCGGGATATGTGCAGTATCATTGGCTGAACTTACTCTACGACTACAACAAGTTAACTACATGTGGGTGGCTATCGGGACTTTTTGTATTAGGGATTCAATACGACGTAATTAAAAAAAAAAACGGCCTTATAAAAGTGGTACTAGCTCTCAGTGCGGTGCCTCTTCGGCCGTCTTCTGAAGGTTAATTATATCAAAGCCACGCGCGCGTACTAATTTATATATAACCACTTCAACTAGTAGACAATATCATTCACTTGGAGTACTAGCTATCATTATGTCTGATCATTGTAAAATATTATATCCTACTTTCTGACATTACATGTAAGTTATTGGCATGTTGACTAGGATCTAGGTTGATTCTTGATGTAGAGCACCTAGTAGCAGGGTTTCAACCACCTATGGCATTTCGAGGAGTTCTCGGGCGGCTTCTAGAGTTTGGTTTATAGCTTTGGAGTAGGGAACGAAGTAATACCACAGAATCGATAATCCGGTCGTTATTACGTACATGTATATATGCATGTGTTATCAACCGATTTCCGTATGTACATTTACTCTAGCTCTACTTATAGGAATGTCGGCCCTGTATCTGATTTATCCCCTGGGTGTCTGTAATATATGGCATTGTTTATATCATCCTTGAAACGACAAAATAATGCCTTTGGGCAGGTCTGCAATCTATTGGAAATTGGTGCCACATACACATAGTCAATAAGTGGTGGTAATTAAACTTTACAGAAACCATATTGCCATAGAACGACGAAGGTACTCTATATTACAGAATCTCGAAGTCAGAGGCTTTTGAACTAGGGAGTCTCTTGAATTCAAGAGTTGAGGTTAGGCATAGTAGATTTAGATTCCACTGTTCCATGAAAACATGTGCTTGGCGCCAAGGGTCAAAGTTCTTCTCCCGAGTCACATTTTGAGTCTCTAACAGTCAAGTGAGCCTAATTCCCAAATGAAGAATGCATCTCCGGTTGAATAACCTCGAGCTCCCAGGTGATCTAGTCACAGTGTAGCAGACGTTACACACAGTGGATTTGAGGCGTCAAAACGCCTGCCAAAATGATCTAACACCGTGTGTACCCTATGTATGTATGTATCTGTAAATCTAGATAAACGACCTACATATTTTACCTATTAATTATAATTGTGTATGGACGGAAGAGCATGAGATACCAAAACTTTAATCATACATATGTCGCGATATGTGTAGGCACTCCAAAGTGCAAATCATTTTGTGCTCCCGACGATAAGTCTTATCAAGTATGCTTAATCTATCGCGGATCCAAGCCTTATCAGGCCATAGGTGTCACTTGGCAAAATAGCAGGGAGTTTTTTTTTATTATTATTTGCCCGGCCCTCTGAGGAGTTGAATTTCGGGTTCCCTGAATTCTTGTGATTACGACTGACTGCATGTGGACAGTCACGGAAGATCATCTTCTCTTGACCTGCTTCTCCTGTCCTGCCTGGTCCCGCCAATCCAAAGCCTCTCTCCCGTGCTTCGTTGTGGAGTTGCCTGCCAGACCAGTGGGGTGCTTTGCTGAAACATTCGGTTCCTGATCTATATCACGAGTTGTTGTACGGCTCTGGTGACGTGAGAGACCTTTCCCTTCACTCATTACGGCATATTTCTTTTTGTGTGGTCATCGTCAGTCACAAACGTTGCTGCTGTGACTGCCCGCTGCCCGCTGTCGCTCTTGGAATTTTCCCCTGCGCAAGGCTTGTGATATAGATAGATAGACACCATTCACTGTATTGAAACTTTTGGCTGCGAAGGGAAGTTTTTCACGAGGTGAATAATAACTGACAGGTGCACTGTGCTTTCTATTTTGTCCATTCAGACCAACAGCCACTCATATCTCACATCCCATACGTCTATTCAGTCAGTCAGTCAGAAACCACACATAGACACATTTCCTCACCCCCCACTCCACCCACTCAACTCTAAGACAACTACCTCATATCGACAACCTCACCTCTAACTTTCTAACTTTCAAATACATACGGCATTAGCACTAACATCACCCATTCATTCATTACTGAGCCTACTACTCGAACCTTCGCTGCCGCCGCCGCCTCCCCCGCATCTCATCTCATCTAGATACCTCATCTCGGTCCACCGTGGATCTCCACCAGCTCGCAAACACGCGCCTCCGACGGCTTCACCATTCCCAACCACCAGGTCCACCGCTGCTCGAATACAGCGGTTGACCCTAAGCTCCCTCTCAGTATCATTACTCGACCAATAGTCGAATCACCTTTCCGATGTCGAGCTTCTTATGGCACCTCACGCGGGTTTCGGCAGGTGTTACCTTCCTGTCACTCATTATCCTGTTAATACCACTGGCCTTTGATGTTGGCGGCCGTGACTGCGGTCTTACATACAGTCTCTCCCTCACAATAGTCTACTTCCTACTGTCAACTACGCGGATGATCACACCAAACTCGCCCTGCTGGAAGGGCATGCGCATGCGCGTGTTGGTATCTGTTATGGGGGTAGCTCAGCATTTGGTCATTATCCCTGGACTGCTTATCTACGCGCTCAATAAGTTTTCGGACAACGAAGGAAGTGGGGGCAAAAGCGCGGGCTACATTCACGACGAGAGTTGGAACCCATCATGGGTGGACAAGCTGAGCATCGTCCCCTGGGATAATTTTCTCACATTCTCGACACCGGTATTTCAGCTATGTGAAGGCTTCTGTAGCTTGTTAGTTATTCAGGCGGTGGGACAGATTTCGAGATGGCTAGTTAATAGGAACAAGTCGGACAGTTGGATGGTAACGATTTACTCCCTTGCCTTTATGGGGTTTGAAATTGGTGCTGATTTGGGGTTTAGATTGCACTATTGGTCATGTCAGGTTCTGTCATCTCCTCATCTGTCTACTTCCTTTGGAGAATTACGACTTTCCCGGAAATCGGTAATATCGATGCTTCGCTCATTGGTGTAGCTGTCACGTGCGCGATCTTCTTGTGTGCCTACGGTATCGGCTCAGGCAGAGGGAACCCTATTGAGTCTTCTCTTCTCGTAAGTTTTTACTCGGAGACACAGCTTTATTCCATGACTTCCAATGTACTTACTCTACCTTAAATAGTTCTCATACATCGTCCTCTGTTTGTACCAAATTTTCACAGACTATAAGCCCTCATCACTAGCTACTGCCGACGCCGTACCACCCGGAAAACCCGATTTCCCACCATTCCCACCTCTTATAATGGCATCTTATAGTTCTATAGTTGCCTCGATGTCCTCCTACCTTCCTGGATTTCTGAGACAAATTGCATCATTTGGAATTAGCGCTGTAGCAACAATTACACCGTCTGTGGTGATCTCACTCGCATATAGGCTTTTTGTGTTTTACGCCTCGACGAGGATTATCCCTGCGGTGAAGGATGAGAACAGTGCAAGTGTGAGAGGGGGAGAAGCAATGTCAAGGATTCTTGGCTGGTATAGTCCGTGCATTCTTGTAAGCGTGTATACACATTTATTGATGCAACATCTCGAGATTGCCGGCGGAGACGCCGGAGTGGGAGCTGGGAGCTGGGAAGGAGGGATGCCAGCAGGAGGGCAGGTGTGGCGATGGGTCAATATCGGTGCTACTAGTATGTTTTCCGTTGATTTGATGGAATAAACGTAAGAAGCTGACATTTGGCAGTGGTATTGTATGCGTTCGAGCTGAAACATGGAGACAATGACGGAGGAGAATCGTTGACAAGCCATTGGAAAACGGATTAAGTGGACATAGTCTGGAACAACAAAAAAGAAAGAAAAAATTGAGATACGGTGGGTACATGGTATCGGAGGGTTGGAAATGGTAGGTGTTGGCGGCAAAAGTAAAACTATCGTTATTTTTCTCTCTTTTTTCTTTGTCAATTTCTTCTTCTTTTAAACCCTTTCATCTATTTTTCGGCCTAATTAAGCTGGGGTAATATTGAATGGATGGTCATAGAGTTTTTCCTTTTTTTCCCCTCGTTCCTCCCCCTTTCAGTGGTTAGTTAATCATGGATGGTCACTCGTTATTTCTTTTGTAATCGGCTCGGTATGGTTGGGGCGGGACCTTTTGTTTTCTATGTAGTATTCTTATTTTCTCTTCTGATTTCCTGTGTTTTGGGGCCTCTCGTTACGAGTTTCACGATGAACGGCCTTTTCTTTTATTTTATCGGTGGATGTGAGTATTATACCTTGGATGGATGGATGGCGCGTTTTTGTTTTGTTTTAAGGACAGCCGAAGTGGCAGTAATGGGTCGAATGGGTGGGCACATCATCCCTACTAGTGGGAAGTGGACATAGTTAAGAATTAATTATTTTCCTTCCTTTCTCCTACTTATATGGGTTGAATTGATCAATGGATTTTGTGGAAGAACGGTTATAGGACTTGAACGATTATTAAATAGGCATAGGGTATTGGGCAATGGGCCATGTTCATAAACTGTCACTCGTGACCGATCGAGGCAGGGATAAGGTAAAACATTCTAGTGCTGCAGAGCAGTTGTAACTTGGTAACAACTGTTATTTGTGTCCTCACAACTAGGAAAATATGTATCCTATAGATTGAATAAATCCTATAAGAGACCCCAAGAATACATATAATCCATCAATCCTCCCAACTCATCTATCCTCCTTTATTGCTTTATCCTCGGGTTCCCGTCACATCAGAAACAATAGCTAGGGCTTCCAGGAGGAACATGGACTTTGGATTGAAGCAGACAGGCATATATGACCGCGAGTTAGGTCCTTCTACACTACAGTTAGGGAGAGCTTGTAAGTCATGAGGAGAGAAACGAGTTCTCATCTCAGCACATTTGCCACCTCCGCTCCCTCACTCCCCATCCTCTCCTACATTCCAGCATATGCCTGTCTGTTCTCTCTTTCCCTTAGTCCCCCCCTCCATGCTCTCTTTTCCTCGATTCCTCCCGCTATTGTGTTCTATCTTCGGGAAGTGGCTAGTCGTTTGTTTTGTATTGTGTGCACGTGATGATTCAGGACATTATTTCGTTTTTTGTATTTTTTTTTTAAAAATTGTTGCTGATGATACAACCCAGATCCCAATTTTTTATAACAAATCCCTCCCCCTATCTCCATGAGGGAGGGGAGAAGGATGCTGAAAAGAAGAGAAAAACCAGAACAAAAGAAAACAGACGCTTAAGTTCCTGGGTTGGGGTTCATCTTCCTCTTGCCACCGGTCATGGTGACGTTTACGAAGCGGCGGGTGTACCTGTTTTGAAGAAAAAAAAACCTTGTTAGCCATCCCCGTCTCTGCCGGGAATATAGAAATGCGATCGAGCGATGTGAGCTCGGTGGAAGGAAACGTACAAGATTCTCTTCTTGGCACGACCCTTGGGCTGCTTGGGCTTCTCCTGGGGCTCGACCTGTAGTTGTTGTGGTGATGTGTCAGTTGCTTGCAATATGTGTGGATGAGTAATCCGCCGCTGCTGCCGCCGGCCCCTCCCTCCTTCGCCGCCCTACCTCTCCTCCCTATTCCTCCCTTTCTCCCCTCCTCTTGACCGGGCGGCAACGGCGACGGCGACGGCAACGGCGACGGATGCTGAATTGTGAAAGAACGAGAGTGTAGAGCATACCTTGGGGGTCTGAGACTTGACTTTACCAGCACGAGCGAGGGATCCGTGGACTTTACCCATGGTTGCGGATGTGTGTTTGGTAGGTTTTTAAGCTGGAGGTGGCGACTAAGTTTCGGGTGAGTTAGCGAAAAAGCTCTCTGCCACTTTTCGTGCGAAATTTTGGAAATATCCTATTTCCTCTGCTCTGTTCTCCTGTCCGTAGCGGGGGGGGGGAATCCAAAACGTACCTAGGCTTCGAGAAATGATGTTGGTCGTAGGGTCGTGGTCTGTCGTTGTTTCGATGTTGTCGGGAACGACCCTACCGGCCTGGGAGGTTTGCGTGTGGCTGCCAAGACGGAGTTAGCGAGTTTGTATTTAGGCTGAATGTGACCGTGGTGCCTAGGGCTGTGCCCTGGTGGCTCCACAGTCAAATGGGTGGGAATGATCGTTTTTCGGCTGCTTACATGAGGGTTTGTGATTGGAAATTTTGGGAGAGGTGAGTTCTACAGCTAGATAGAAGGAATAAACGAATCTTTACAAGGCGTGAATCAGGACAGTTTCGTCCTTCATTTGGTAGGTATATGTATACATGTACATAATGCAAAAATAACAAAAAGAAAATCAAAACCTAAACCTAGACACCAAGCACCACCGAGTGAGAATCTATGTATAAGCAGCGCACATCATCAAGACCCAATCCTCGTAAACGGATTAATGCTAGTAACCGGCTCTTGCAGCTTCCCATACTTCTTCTTCTTCGCCTCAATATCCGGATTGACGCTCTCCATGCTCGCGAGCGTCAACACGGCCGCCCGCTGCGCCTTGTTGATCGCAGACTCCCACTCCCTCTTCCTCGAATAATGGCCCAGGAACACGCCGAGGAACGTATCACCCACACCATTCACGCTGACAATACTGCTGGGCTTCTCGGCGGCGAAGTGCTGCACAACGAGCTTGTCCGGTCCGCTGCCGCGCGTGACGACGGGCTTGGGCACGAGCTCGCTGATGTCAAACTCGGAGGGTACGAGACGCACGCTGAGGACGCCCCGGGAACCGAGCTTGATTAGTTGGTTGGGGAAGTAGGGGGCGAGGTGCACAGCTTGCTGCAGTATGCCGGTGCTGCGGAAATCGACGCCAGCTTGGTGGCCTAGCATTTCCATCTCTGGTGGAGAGGTTAGTATATGGTAGTGGTAGTGTTTATGGCGAGGGGGATAAGGTGGGTAAGAGGTGGTTACGTGTCCCGGTTTTTTGTATGAGAAATGGCATTTCTGAGCCTGCACACTGTGAAAATAGTGCTCTGGGTTTCATAAAGAGGAGGCAGAGCTCGAGGATCTCTATAAATGAAATTGCCTCTTTTTCCTCTCCTTACGCCATAAAACCTGTAGAGCACCATTTCCAGAGTGGACAAGCCTCCCCAACACACCGATTCCCATACATACGGGGATGCGTCTTACCATCGGACAATAGACGTAGAAGAGGATGGAAACACATACCGTTATTAAACATCGAGTCCACGCCAATCTCATCAATCATCTTAAACCACTTCTCTGCCTCAAATAGCTCCTTCTCCTTCGCAGCGTTGAAGATGCTCGCCAGCTCCAGCTCGTTCGGCGATACCAGTGAGATGCGCGTTCGGGGGTAGAGACGCATCCGGGGGTGGATAATCCGCGCAGCCTTCTCCACTGATGTGGGCTCGAATGCAACTATACACCGTCAGTAAATAGGCTCTCCTTTTTTGCTGGTGGCGGGTAGATGGGTGGGTGAGTTAATTGATACATACTCGACACGCCCGTGGGCTCGCCGCCAGCAATCATCTTGATAGTCTCGGATGAGAGGTTCCCGTCCAGACAGATCCACGCCGGCCGCGCCTTCACAATCCTCTCCTTCAGCCACTCATGATCAATGTTCTCTATGATGGCCATGTCCGCGCTGGCAACACTCATGTTCCCGTCGCTGTCATTGAACGCCACGTATCGCGCCGTGCTGTAACCCTCGACCAGCTTGATGCCCATCGGGTCCATTCCCTTCGTCTTGATGCGCTGCAGGGCCCAATCGCCGCTCAGGTCTTTGCCAACGGCGGAGATGAGCTTTGTCGCTGCGCCTGTGTAGTGCGCTGCTGTGGCGACGTTGTTGCCGACGCCGCCGAGGGACTCGCCGATGCGGGAGGGGTTGGAGGTGGAGAGTTGAACGGCGGTGGTGGCGTCGCAGGAGAGGTCGATGGCGATACTGCCGACTACTAGGACGTCGGTTTTGGACGTTACGGTGGGTTCGGGGGTGTCAGTGGCGGGTTTGGGGCGGTAGACTTCGGAGGCGGCGTTGATCCAGGTGGAGCTGTGGTGCGGGGTGTTAGCGGAAACTTGCACATTGATCATTACCCCACCAACCCCACCACCCCCAAGAGTGTGATATACCCGTTTGTGAGTGCGGCAAGCTCAACAGCGATCTCAGCGCCGCGCTTGGCATTGTTGACGACGAGGGCCTTATTGGCAAGGACCGAAGCACCGCGAGTCTGCTCGCGGATGACCTCGAGGGTGTACGGCGTGATGGCCTTCCCCGTAATACCCTTCTTCCGGCACCGCGTGACGGCGCCGGTGATGATGTCTTTCATGGCCAGATGGTTGATGTGGTGGCTGTTGGGGATCGGATTCATGAACAGCTGTCCGCTCTCCAGCCCCATCTCCTGCGCCGCATACACGATCCTAGCCGCCTCCGCCGACGTCTCAATCACCATCTCAGCCTTCCATCTGCTGTCGCGGCTGTAGAACAATGGGATGAATGTGTCCTCACCCTTCTTGCCGAAGGTGATGGCCGGCACGCCGACGGTCTCGAGGTACTCCATTGTGCGCTCGATGTCGAGAAAGGGCTTAGCACCTGAGCACACGACCGCGACGGGCGTCCGCCCGAGCTCGGCGAGGTCGGCGGAGATGTCCATGCTGTTTGCGGCGGCGCGGTGGACACCGCCGATGCCGCCGGTGGCAAACACTTTGATGCCGGCGTGGTGGGCGAGGATCATGGTGCCGGCTACGGTGGTGCCGCCGCTGGCGGTGTCCTATCTTTTGTGTTAGCCCTTAAAGCAAAACGCAAGCATTTCGGGGTGGTAGGGAGGCAACTCACAACGCCGGTGATCCAGGGGAGGTCGCGGCGGGAGACCTTTTGAACGTTCTTTGAGCCGGCCTTGCCTAGTACATCGATCAGAGAGGCTTCAAGGCCGATACGGGCGATTCCGTGGATGACGGCGGTGGTGGCCGGGATGGCACCAGCTTCGCGAATAGTCTGTTCGACTTTTGCGGCGAGCTCAACGTTGTCAGGGTATGGGAGGCCTGTGGAGATTTGAGCAATTGGTTAGCTGCTAGTCTTATAATACAGCTTTTTTTTCTATGTAGATATACAATGGTAAGGAGAGCTTGGGCAATTGAGACAGACCATGTGTGATGATAGCACTCTCAAGCGCAACCACTGGCTTGCCCTCTGCCAGCGCCTGCTGCACCTCCTCCGAGACCTGGATGAACTTTGAGAACCGTCGCCATGGCTCCCGTTCCCCGGAGGTGGTCGAGTACAGTCGTGGTGCGAGGGTTTGGGGACGGGGGATTCGGAGGGCGCGGGGGAGGCGCAAGAGGAGTGACATTGCTTTGGCGGTGTTTCCGGTGAACTGCTGCACAGAACAGGGGAGAGAGAGAAATCTCGAGAGAGCACAGGCAAGTGAATAAGGTGTAATTGACTGTGAGGAAAAAGTAATTATGGCGTTGCGGAAAGCGCCGCTTGGGGCCGGGTAACGGGCCGGCGTCATACGGTGTCACTCGGCAGTGCTTTGGATTGCGGGCGCAAAGATATCGTCAAAGACTACCACCCAATTAAACCCATCAATAGAGGGCTAGGAAGCACAGCAGTTTCTGTCCAAATTGTGTAGCTAAAACCCTCTAATAATAGCAAGTATCGACTAAAATAAAACCACACCACGGAGCAAGGGTGTTGATGTGATTATCTTATCTTATCTTATCGAGATCTGGAGTCGAGGATCGATGTATTTAGCGGTTAGAGGTGCGCTAGATTAAGAAAGTACTGTATTGTATGTATGTAAATATGTATATTAGTAATTAGCAGTTCTCTCCTTGTTCCCCTAAAATCAGATTTAATGTCCTACCTAGGCGTGCGGTGGATAACCCTATTAGCTAGCTGAACATGCCATTACATTCATATTGACGGTAAAAGTCAATAGCTAGGTGTACGTAGGAGTGCTCAAGAGGTGGTGGGATGAATCCATGATATTTCTATCACGAAGGAGGTCAGGTCGAGTATCTCTACTTAATTGACACGTTTGGTTAAGCTGTACTGTGGACACGGTACGTCGCTAATACACTAACCACCTTACAAGAAACACTTCCTGGCTGCCTACATTTAATATTTATCAACTGACTGCAGGCAATTGTTAACCCCGACAGCCTGTCTACTCGTCAGACGGAGAAAAGAAAGAATTAAGCTATCGCGGCTACACATATATTCTGGAGTTCGTTGGAGTACTGCTGTGCTCTCTATACTATTCCCTACTATAGTCATATACGAGCAGGATGACAGCTACCCGCCCCACCTACTCTCTACCATGCCAGTTCACCAGAGCTACATGTACTGATATCTTGTACCCGCTTTCTCCTATGCATCTATAGAACTCACCCTTTTGTACCGCACCTTTGGCAAACACTCACCGACGAGCTAGCTTAACAGCACTTGTAACACAGCTGCAGCAGATATCACATATCCTTAGCCCGGGTATCCGAGACGCCCAAAGCCCAGTTTTAATTGTAAGAGCTTCAATACAATGTATATACGAGGCTAAATTAACGATAGTGTCCACCCTCTTGGGATGAGGTTCGCGAGACCGAGTTTGAGCCACACACCCATAACGTACCGCGTGGCTCCTGCCGCTTCATGGGTGGTCACTCGAGTCTTTCCCCGATCCATTGTACACGCTCCATGCAGCGGGGAAGTAATGGCGTTCAAAAATAACTAGGTATCTCTTATGTGTCTCGAGAGGCTTCAGTCGGCCTACTATACATTTCGATTGACAAAGAACACTGCCTAGCATGCACTGCCCGGCGCTGCTACCTAGCTGATTACTAGGATCATATAGTCACTCTGTGAAACTCAAACTGGATTGACCGGGTGGCGCCAAAATCACTAGAAGAAGAGTATATATCTCGATGTCAAAGCTGGTGTTTGGAATCACAAACATCCTTAAAGTCTATAAACTATATATTTCACTCAAACGTCGGCGGATTAGTAAACAGCTACATTTTGAAAGGTTATCCTGGGATACCTACTCACACCGTTGGAAAGGTCACAGATATATATGATTCCTACGGATGGAAGCCTAGAGAAAAAAAAATATCGAAATATTATAGTTGTGGCTGTACCCGCCCAGCAGATACAGCAGCTATATAGACAGCTAAGAAACAAAAGCCCCGCCCCCCCCAATAAAAAATAAGAAATAAGAAATAAGAAATAAGAAATCTTTAGCTCATTAACCTTAATCATTAAACCATAACGTCAAAAAATCATCCACTCTCATAAGAAAGGCGAGCTCCTATCTACCTCCTCCATGTCCCACTCATCTTCGTCTTCCTCCTCCTCTTCATCATTCATCTCCATCTCCCACTCCCACAGCTCTCTCGCCCTCCCACATACTTGATAATGCGCCAGATATCCCTGCGTGGTAAACATCCTCCCCAGCTCCCTCTTTCTCGCATCAAACCCCTCCAACCCGCTCCCAATTCTCACTGGCATATAGGGCATGCCCTCGCCCCTCAACGCAACCACCGGAAGCGTGCTTGTGCACCCCTTACAAGAGACACCATGCTCCACTCTCCCCGCCCTACGATCCAGCGTCGGCATCGCAATCACGCCCAGAAGCCGGCGGACATCCATATCCTTCGAATCCGACACCACCTGCACCTTCTGCGCCCGCGCAGCAATATACTCCTCCACCTTCTCGGCGCTGCCGTGGACCGCCACAGCAACCCTCCTCGCCGCAGCCCGCGACACAAACCGTCTCGACTCGGGCTCGACACAAACCTCCTTCCACGTCCTATACACCCCCGGCACACTCCTCATGACTGGCAGCCCCCCCGCCGCCGCGCGCTCACCCGGGATGCCGTACAGCTGCATTGCCTCCTCTGGCGCGACCGGCAGCAGGTCCGGGTGCTGCGTCAGGCACGCCCAGCAGCACCGCGTGCAGTCGAGCATCCAGAGGAAGGGGCCGAACTCGCCGCAATGCGCGCAGCTCTCTGTGCACAGCGCCTTTGAGAGCTGTGCGACGGTGATGGAGGCGCCGAGGGCGGTCGCGGAGTATGCGTGGAGCGCGTGGGCGGCGTGGGCGCGCAGGTTGCGGTAGAGCGGGTCGGAGAGGAGGAGGGCGTGGGTGCTGGAACTTGTGGAGAGGAGGGGGCTGAGCGCGCTGAGGGGAGGGCGTGGATGATGTCGTGGAGGAGCTCGAGCGGGAGGGTGTCGAGGGCGCCGAGGGAGGCGGGGAGGGGGAAGAAGAAGCGCGCGGGGTGCGGGGTGGGGGGGTGGGGTGCTGAGGATGGAGCTGGTTAAGTCTGGGCGGGGGTAGGTGAGTGTCTTGAGAAAGTCGGGGGTGCTGGATGGCATCTTTGAGGCTGAGGGGAGAGATTGGGAGGTATCGAGTCAATCGATTTTCGAGATTTCTTTTGGGGGGCTGTATATTATTATTATTGACAATTGGGGGGGGGGGAGTAGTATGGAGGGAGGTGTCTATGAAGCAGATTTCATGGCGATAAGCGTCCCTGGCATTATTATAACACAACATCCATCCAGAATGTGTGTGGTGTGCGTACGACACACGACGGCATACAACCCATTAAATTCCGCCCCTCCCCTCTCACCTCACTGAGTAGGTAGAGCAAGCTAGATACCTAGGTATGTAGAGAAAAAAATCACCATTGCTCGTTGTCCCTACATGAACACGGCGTCAAATCGATGAGGCCCGTGTTGAAGGTGTTCCAAGGAAGAAAAAACCCACCCTCCCAACGATCATTGCCAGGGTTCAGCCGAGCTGAAACTAGGCACGTTGGGCGGGGCGGAAACACTGCTATTGGACTGAGCGTTTCGGGGGGGCTGTGGGTTGCCAGCAAACAGTCGGTTGCGATGCCCAGTTGGGTCAATGTCGACATGAACCACCCACCCAGCACCACCCCGAGGATGATGGGGAGATGGATGTCCTTCCTTCCCATGTGGGGTGGCGCAGCAGGACTCGAGAGAAGGGAAGGGAAGGAGAATCACACCCTGTCACCCGCGATGCGCATGAAGGGAGCGTGGCATGGCATGGGTTTCCCCGATAAGCTAGGGGGCGGTACAGTACCTACTAGATACATGGAGGTACATAAGAGCAAACATTCCACGTTTGCGAATCAAATGTTTGGTCATGCAGTGGGAGTAGGGTGGGTGTTGATTGGTCAATGATAGGGATGCTCGGATTACATGGGGGCGAGAAGGACTGGCGGTCAGGCGTGATTGTTGGTTGTTGCTGGGTTTGAGAGTTGCCGGTGAAGATGTATAGTTACTTGTAGCTACTGCAACTACTGTACTCTACTGTACTGTACCTACTACTGTATGTACTATGCCTGCCAAGCTGTAGGATAAAACGTTGTAGATCCATGATGACCGGTCACCGGAGGAGATGGGATGGTGGGGGAATACAGTAACAAGTGGAAAACACTCAATTTATCTTCATCAGGTCTTGCTTGTAGGGTACAAAAAACGGTGTCTAGAGTATGAAGCTTATGAAGCTAAACTTGAGCTTTCTACCCCCGCTTTAATTTGCTTTACGAAACACGTACAGTATCTTTTGCCGCGAGGCAATTATTCTTTTGAGAAGAAACGAAAAAAAAAAAAAAAAAAAAAAGAGAAAAAGACAATACAGGCATTTGGTTTAGATTGTGAAAAGAGGAAGAAGAAAAAAAAACAGAAAATAGAAAAGATAACTCCGGATTTTTTTATAAGGTCTTTTTTGAAGGGGTGCAGTGATGAGATTTTGCGTTGCTGACGGCACCGAGAGTTTCTTGTATCACTCATAGATACAACGGAAGGAAGAGAATCAGAGCTTAGATAAGCTCATCGCATGTCCAGTCCTCATAGCTGCAGTAATCACACCCGTTAGTAAGCCCGCACATACAGATACATACACATACGAAACAATTAAGTCATGGCCCAAACACACACACACAAAAAAAAAAAAAAAAAAAGAGAGAGAGAGAGAGAGACAAAAAAAAAAGATGAGGGGCAAAAAAGAGAAAGAACCACATACAATCCATCCGGCAAGTATCTCCTCACCACCAACGGGATCTTCTTCTCCTGCAGCTCCTTGAGCGCAATCTGCAGCGGGTCCGTCTCGCCGCCGGTATCCACGAGCACGGGCGCATTCATGCTGATCTGCAGCGCGCGCGTGCCCAGCAGCCGCGCGCGCTCGTACTTTGTCATGTACGGCGTCGTCGTGCGCTTGTCGTCGGGGATCTTCTTTGGGTCCTTTCCGCGGACGCCGCCGGCTGCTGCTGCTGCTGCTGCGGCGGCGGCGGGGTCACCGGCGACGATGTAGTCTTGCGCGTTGATGGCCGCCGAGTCGGCTTCGTCGCCTGAGAGAAGGTCCTGCGGGTCGGCGTCGAAGTTGTCGCCTTCGTAGTCTTCTTCGTAGGCGTCGTGGGCGAAGCTGGGGGGGGGGGGGGTTAGTGGGGGTGTCGGGGGTGAGTGAAGGGGAGGGGATTGGGGGGCTTACTCGTTCTCGCCATCGTCACCGCCGTAGTCTGACATTGTGGGAGTAGGAGTAGTGTTTGTTAGAGCTTGTGTATGTGAGGGTGAGTGAGTGACAGGAGATGGTTGTGGTTGTGGTTGTGGTTGTGGTTGTGGTTGTGGTGATTGTGATGGTGATGGTGATGGCGATGGTGATGGTGATTGCTGGTGTTCTTTTCCACGCGCTTCCGTGCCAAGCTTTCACTTGATCAACTGCGGCTCTTTTCGCCACTAACCCCGACCCGGCTACTCGATGCGTAGAATATTCCATGCGGTTAGACCCCGCCCCACGTGATCTAGAATTTCCAACCTCTGCGCTGAATCGACTCGCCCGCCATCTGCACATTTCTCTCCCAATTGCCTCAATTTCAAAACCATGCGCGCAGTCTCACGGAATATAGGAAATAGTGCTTTGGTATTGACAAGACACAGACGACTTCACCACCACCAGATACTACTACTGCAATGCCTCCAGACAGCGTCGATACCACCGCAGCAGCAGCAGCAGCGACACCTACACTCCGCGCCCTCAATATCAATTCCAACAGAAAGCAATGGCAATATCAGCACCACTAGAAGCATCTCCACAACCCCCGCCCTCTCCGCCACCCCAATTCCCACTGGCAAGCCCTCCTCCTCCCCTTCCCCTCCCCTCCCCCGCGCAGAGTACACCCCACTAACAAACCCTCACCACAGACCTCACCCCCGCCCCCGCCTCACCCCCGCCCCTCAAACTCCGCACCTACCAAGAAGAATGCATCCGCGCCGTCCTCGAGCACGTCACCCTCGGCGAGCGCCGCCTCGGCATCTCCCTCGCCACAGGCTCCGGCAAGACCGTCATCTTCACGCAGCTCATCTCGCGCCTCTCGCACCCGTCGCGGCCCGCGACCGCAACACAGACACTGATCCTCGTGCACCGCAAGGAGCTCGTTGAGCAGGCCGCGAGCCACTGCAGACGCCAGTATCCGCACCTCACGGTCGAGATCGAGATGGCGACGGCGCATGCGAGCGGGTGTGCGGACATCACGGTTGCCAGCATCATGAGTATTGTGAGTGGGGAGCGGATCGGCAAGTTCCGCAGGGAGAGGTTTAAGTTGGTGTTGATTGATGAGTGCCATCATGCGGTGAGTAAGGGGTACTTGAAGTGCCTGGAGCACTTTGGGCTGGTGCATGTCGGGGCGGCGGGGGAGGCGGGTGAGGGGGAGGGGGAGGGGGAGGGAGAATTCGCGGGGGAGGCTGGTATGGAGTTTGGGGCGGGGTTTGGGGCGGATACGCCGGTGCTGGTGGGCGTGAGTGCGACAATGTCGCGGTTTGACGGGCTCAAGCTGGGCAAGGTGCTGGATAGGATTGTCTATCATAAGTTAGCACTCAATTACACCCAAGATTCTCTTCTTCCTCTTCTTCTTGCTCCTTCTTCTTCTTCTTTTCTCTGTTGTAGACTGATTGTGTGCCTTGTGAGCCGCGCAGGGACTACATGGACATGATTGCTGATAACTGGTTTGTCGCTCATTGACCCCTCCCCCCCCCCATATATATACAGTGGCTAAAACACAAAACAAAAACAAAGGCTCTCGCCCTGCAAGTTCACCACCGTCATGACGCACGTCGACCTCTCTAGCGTGCGCGACGCTTCTACGGGCGACTTCAACCTCTCCGACCTCGAGCGCGCCGTAAACACCAAGGAAACCAATAACGTCACTGTCCGCTCATGGCTGCAGAAAGCAGGTAAATCCCCCCTCTCTCTCACCCCTCTCAGTCTGGCTCGTGCACCGACTGACAGCGCAGTCCAGACGACCGCCACTCCACAATCGTCTTCTGTGTCAACATCCAGCACGTCAACGATCTCTGCGACACCTTCCGCACCCACGGCATCGACGCACGCCCCATCACTAGTAACACGCTGCTGCAGGTCCGGCGTGAACGGCTTGAAGAGTTTCGGGCGCGAAAGTTCCCGGTGCTTGTCAATTGCGGGGTCTTCACTGAGGTATACCGTCTCTCTCTCCCTCCCTCCCTCCCTCCACCTCCCTCCCCCGTGCTACTACTACTCGTCATTTTTTGGTGTTTCCAGACCTGACTGGGCCGGGTCTGCACACCACCAAATATGGCCGTTATGCACGACTTCCGCCCACACGCAGACCCAGCCCAGTCCAGAAACGCCTAAAAAACAACTAGTAGAGGGAAGGATACATACTGATATGATATTGACTGATACACACACAGGGCACCGACATCCCCAACATCGACTGCGTCCTCCTCGCACGCCCCACAAAGTCACGCAACCTCCTCGTGCAGATGATCGGCCGCGGCATGCGCCTCTTCCCCGGCAAAGCCGACTGCCACATCATCGACATGGTCGGGGTCCTCAAACGCGGCATCGCCACAGTCCCCACACTCTTCGGGCTCGACCCCGACGAGCTACTCGAGGAGCTGTCGCCGGAGCAGCTACAAAAACTGAAAGCGAAGCGGGAGAAGGAGGCCGAGAAGCGGCGGCTGGAGCTGGAGGCCGCGCGGCAGCGCGAGGAGGCGGGGCGGGAGAAAGGCGGGAAGGGGAAGGGGGAGAGGGGGGTGAAGCTGAGTGTGGAGTTTACGGACTATGAGAATGTGTTTGACCTGTTGAAGGACGCGAAGGAGTCGGGCCATATACGGCGGTTGAGCCCGTACTCGTGGGTGTCGATTTCGAATGGGAAGCATGTGTTGCCGCTGAAGGCGGGGCGGTATCTGAAGATCCAGAGGGAGCGGGATGGTTTGTGGATTTCTCTCTTCTCCCCCCAGCTTTTTTATATCGAGCTATGAGCTTATAACGGGGGGTGTGTGTGTGTGGTGTGGTGTAGGGACGTTCACGTTGATTGAGTTTAATAAGATCCCGCCGGAGGTTACGAAGACGAGGACGTTCTTGTCGAATCGGAGGGTGGTTATGGAGGGTGCGCAGTCGCTCGCCGATATCATCCAAGGCGCTGGTTTGTTCCCCTTCTCTCTGTTTTCATACACATCCTTTCTGCTTCCCCCCATTTGTCTCTGTTTTCTCCCCTTCCTCTCTGCTTCCCTCTCCTCCCCCCTCCCCCCACTATAACCCAGCATCTCTAACCCACTACCCCCACAGACACCCTCGCCGCCACCCGCCAAGCGCGCAACCTCCTCCTTCACAGCGCCCCCTGGCGCAAAAAGCCCGCCTCCGACTCCCAGCTCGCCTTCCTGTCGACCTTCCGCGACAAGTACAGCATCCCCGAGAACCTCACGATCGGGCAGGCCGGCGACATCATCACCAAGCTGCGGCACGGCAGCCTCAAGGAGCTTGAGAAGCGCAAGAAGCAGGAGCACCGCGAGCGCGTCAAGGACGAGAAGGAGCGCGCGAGGGACGAGAAGGCGCGGCTGAAGGAGCGCATGAGGGAGGAGGCGCGCGAGCAGAAGATGCGTGAAAAGGAGGAGAAGTTGAGGAGGTTGGAGGAGGTCAAGGTGGGGCGATTGTTCTAAGGGGTGTGTGGGTTGCGGGGTTGGGGGGAGTTGCTGCTTGTTTGGTTCTCTTGCTGCCGGCTGCTGCTTTTTCGGGGTTTCTTTGATTGCTTTGCATTTTGTTCTTGGGCTTCCCCTGGTTTTGTGGGTTCTTGGACATTGGTCTGGGTGGCCGAGTGATGTGCTGTGATGCAGTGGTTTTGGGTGGTCTTGGTCACGTCTGAGATGGATCTACAACAACAACAACTACACGTATAAGCACTGGCGGTGATGTTTGGCTTCTTGGACTACTTGGTGATCGGTTTTAGAAATGAGTCGCCTGTGTATTGCTGGCTAGAAGGAAAAAAAAAAAATAGACTATAAGGAAATAAAAGGAATGACATAATATCGAACTTAAAAAATCAATCTCCTCCAACCCTTTTTTTTTGGATTTTGTTTCTTTTCTTCCCTTTTTTTTGGTTTATCCAAAGAAATTCGTGAAACAAACGGTGCACACAAACAAACAGACACCATCCAGAACTCTCGAGCTCAACCGCTAACCAAAGAGAAAAAATAAAATCGAAACCGTCGTCAATCTCAAACAATTTAAGTCGACAGGAAAAACAGATACCAGACCACGCATCGCACCAACATCGTCATAAATACCGGCCGAGATGTAAACAAAAATGTTCGCCGCTGGCAGGATTAAGCAAGAAGAGACTAGTTGCTTGCGTTTGAGGGCCCGGCATCGTTGGGGTTGGCATTCTTGCGTGCGTAAGGCTTTGGCGCCTTCATCCTGGGCGTAACGTGAACTTTTGGGATGTTTTCCTTGTGGAAATTCCTCCGGTGTTGAAGGAGGTTATCGTAACGGGTAAACCCCCTTTCCCCGGTTCTGCGACAGCCTTGGACTGGGCAGGGGATCATGTTCTCAAGTATGACGTCATACGAAAGGTGGGAGGTTCTGAAATGACGGTTGAAGTCATTACTGGTTTTGTGATTTATTTTGTTGTACATCTCACAATACAAGTCCAAGCATTTTATGGTTAACGAATTACCAATACTAAAGACACATCGGTGTTTTCCGCTATTAAACTATAAGTTAGCATATATATTTACCGGTGTGCCTATAAAGAGGTGTGAACGGTATTGATCATAAACACATACAGAAATCTACCGCTGCAGTTGATACCGCAACTGTTATCTTCAGAAGAAGAGGCCTTTGTCACCTTCTTGTTGACGCTGGATCCTGGCATCACTGGAAGAACTGGAGCCTGTGCTGCGGGACCATCATCCTTTTCTGTAGAACTTTCGTGATCCATAACATCTTCATGCTCGGGCAGCATCGATTGGTTGGAGATCTCGTTGGGCTTGGAATGACTGTGGTTTGAGATCATTGGACTGAATTGAGTTCGGTGGCTTTGTTCCGCATGGAAACCCCCAGAGATGGTTTGCGAGCCATGGAAATTATCCAGCCTTGAAAGCTCAAGTTGAGATTTGGCCCAGATGTAGCTCTCGAGGGTGCTAGTGTTATCCCAATTGAGACTTAACCAGCGGCCAGGCTCGTCAGTATAAGCTAAAAAAAAATCACCGAGAATCCATGTCGATTGGTAGGCTGTTATTCCAAATGCGATATGTGAGTGAACGCCTTGCAGCTCAGGCCCGGCAGTGATAGAGTTGTAGAAAGTGTGGTTGCACAAAAAAAAGTATTGGATAGGTGAGTTAACTGAGTTGTACTTTGAGTGTTGTGTAGGAGTACGTGTAGGTGGGATTTGAGTGTTTGTAGGCGCAAAAGAGGACGGAAGACAGAGGGGGGGACCCCTCCGCTATATAGTTTTCATCGATCCGCACATGATCAGACTCGTTCTATTACCATTCTGATCGGCTAGTCAATGGTGATTGTATTAGGCCTTTAGCCCCATCACTTTATCACTTATTACTGAAGTTATATAATTATGTGCACTGTATTCCAGCTACGGACCTCACTCGGTACTTAGTAACTATCTGATAAACTTGATAATGAAAAATTATAACTCTCTTCAGAAGATACTGCTTTGCAACCTACTACTATCATGTTCCCTGGCTGCCTACGTACGTGCTGAATGTTGAGAGTCTCATATCACGCAAAAAACTGGCCGCCAAACACCCAGCCAAGCGAAGTTTGGCTATCTAAATTTCTACTTGAATTTTCTTCTTTGGACGTCGCTTAGTACCATCGTTTATGAATTCAACCAGATCGATGTTTCACATGTACATACGTTGTTGGCCTGCATACAGCTGACGAGCCTGGTTGCTTAGACATACATGCCAGGCTCGTCGGAAGCACTGCCTATCATGTAGATTAGGTACGAGCCTGATACCAGTCTTAAACACTTGTGCATGCAGCTGCATGCCAAATAAGGACTGATATTTAACGAGCCTGAAAATGTGATGTTTACCACTCAATCCTGATCCAATATATGTATTATTATGCTGCAGGAAAGAACAACGAGTGTTGAGCTTCCACGCAGTGCGCATGCTCGACAAACAAACGACCCCCACCAGAAAGCAACATATCTAGAGTACAATAATTATTTCACTCTTATGTAAATTCTCGACGTACCACTAATTGAAATGTCTCACCGTGCACCCTGAGGCATGAATAGATGGTAGTTTCTGGGAGACATTTAATTATGATCAGAATCAAGCGCTATGTAAAATAGCTCTATAGCTAGTACCCGATACTCTACGAAATTGAGCACCAATTAAGTTGATATGGTTGTAATTATAAGGCTGTATATACGTACATGTCTATTAGTAACAACCAATCCTTTCACCATCGATCGGGGAGGCGTTCAAGCTGTTGCTCCCTACAGCAATATACCTACATAGCTGATCTTGGGGGTGATTCTAAATGTGTACATACATGCAATGGCCAACCTTTCGTTTATGGAGTCAATTAACCTATCCTTTTCCTGGCTGATGTACTTTGACCACCGATCCTAGTTGCAAGATTGGTAGAGTCCAAAAACATCATTGGAAAGTTATAAAATCTACCTACTCTATATGATTATATCGAAGGACGTATAGAGGAGGCTGGCTATCGATGTGTCCAAGGTGTTGATGTAACGTCATGAATGAGCAAAAATCCATATCCTGCGCGCACAAAGTCCCATGGAGCAACATTAGACACACGACTCTGTATATGAAGTGCTTTATACCTTGATCGTTAATTTTTATTTGGCCTTGACCTCAACTTCGAAGCAAATTTGCTACTCGTAGATTTTTGGCGTCTGAAAACGCCAAAAAACTACGAGTATTGTGCATATCGCTGTACTATGTATGTATAGTTCTAGGCCATAAGTCATGGGAAGGCACCCATTTTACACAAAAATGCCACTTTTCAACATAGTCCTCGACCACCAATTATCATGAATTATTTCTGAGAATTGGAGGACTATATACTTTGCATATGAATAATCGCTCTATCAACTGAAAATTATAATATTACACTTCTAGCATGAGTTGTGTTGGTTTTGTTACGTTGAGTTGCAAAGAAACACATACTTTGGGATGCAACTGAAAAGTTGCTCTACTTCTAGCTCATGTAACTTCTTCTACATTTGACTTCAGAGAGTGCCTTTTTGGATTTATTAAATTTGAGAGCCAATATTCTATCCCCTAAAGCCTTGTTTATTATTGATGGCAATTGTGTTGTAGGTGGTTGTTGCATTTAGACGAACTTTGGTGTGGTTTGGTTGCCTTCCCATGACTTATGGCATCGCGCTGTACATACATGTGGTTGGTTATATTAGCTCTAGCTTGAATTCGATTGGTTCTAACGTAGCTTTATGGATTAGTATCTTCACATTCATCGGCAATTGCTATGGAGTTATTGCGTGGTAAAAGACTTTGTCCACCGATGGAGATATCCCCTACGAACGAACATACATTCGTCCACCTTGGTAATCTAGAACACGTGCACGTGCATGTGTGTTCATTCACCAGCCGTCACTCGCTTACTACGACCAGGCAAGGGTACTGGGTGAACAGGTTACCCGGTTGACAGACTTATGTGCATTTACCCTGGTTCCATGAAAACCAACCAAACCTCAAACTACACCAAAATTCAATGCTGCTTCGTTACGCACTGGACGTAGCTCCACTTTGGAACTCCTCAGAAGAGGTTCAAGAGTCCCGGTTTTGATTTCTTGTATATTTCTAACTGACTCTTGTACGCACCCACTTTGCTAGTTTGCCGAAGCTCTCAATCTTCTGCCAGCCCTAATAAGACCATCGGTGACAAAGTTCTACTTCCCCGCCGATCGCAAGCTCGCTCTTGGCTCGCAACTACTTCAGCGCTTTGTCGTTTCAAAAGTTTATAGCAATGGGAGGCCCAGTGCTGATATACCAACACTTTCCTCGATTTCGATAACTCGGGATGCTGAGAGTGGGCGACCTTCCTATCACACTCCCGCTGAGCTTCTAGAGAAGTGCAATGGACTGGTACTTAGGGATTACAACGTCTCGCACCATAACCCAAAGTCGTCGAATTCTGATTCGACACCGTGCCTTGTGATCCTGGTGGCACGTGTTACTGCTGCAACATTGTCTTCACCCGCTCTTAGGGTTGGAGTAGATCTGGTGCCTACAATCCACAACCGAGGCAACACATCTGCCGCAGACTTCCTGGAGACCTTTAGGGATTCAGATGTTTTTACTAAAAATGAGATACGGGCTATATACTCCCCGCCGCTGGAGGGAGATCGGGTCAAGATGATGTATCTACATTGGGCACTAAAGGAGGCATACTGTAAAGCTGTAGGTACGGGCTTGGTAACGAATCTTTTAGCTATAGATTTTAGACATGTTGAGCTTGGTAAGGTTGAGCAGAGAGAGAGAGATACCCAGGTGAAAGTTTTTGTCGATGGAACCCAGAGGGATGAATGGATGTTGGAGATAGGGAAGCTATCTGGGGATCACTATGTTGCGATCGCCACGGATTCTTGGAGCGGTGAAGAGGAGGCTGAGGAAACCGGAAAGTGGTTATGGATAGATTTCGGCAAGGACATCTTAAGCATTTGGAGCTGAGCGTCAGAGTCTGGCAAAATATGCAGATAAAAAGGACCTTCTTCCTACTTTAAATAGAGCTGCGTGTACCCTTTTTTTTTCTTTTAAAAATATACTATAAAAACATATACGTAGCTAGCTAAAGATGAAAATCAAATCATTACTAATGGAGTCCTGGCGTAGATATAATAAATGGGTACGGATAGAGTGGATAAGTAGTATAAAAATCTAGGTGCTTCCATCATGTCCATTACTTTTCACCCATTCTTCTTTGTTGAGAAGTCTATGGAGCTCACCACGTCGCTCTAAAAGTTCCTCTAACTTCCCGCTCTCCACAACCTCCCCATGACTCATCACCACAACCTTCTCAGCGCACCGCATCATCTCCTGGCTGTGCGTGATGATGATCACTGTCATCTTCTTGTCATAGGCCCCACCTTTATCTACCAACCGGCCGATAGTGTTATGTATAACCATCGCACTCTCGGGATCCAAATTACTGGTGCACTCATCTAGGACCAACACGGCTGGCCTTCTGACAAGCGCCCTAGCGATACCAATCATCTGGGCCTGACCCCCAGATATATGGCCCCCCTTGTCTCCTAGATATGTGTCATAACCATCTTGAAGGCCCTTGACGAATTCGTGGATTCCAGCTGCCTTTGCTGCTCTCTCAACCTCACAGCGGGTATAGTTGCTGCCATAGGAAATGTTATCGTGAACACTGCTATCAAAGAGAACCGCGGACTGCGAGACAATAGCCATTTGTGAGCGAAGAGACCGGATGCTGAGACTTTCTATAGGGAGCGTGTCTATTGTGATGCTACCCGCTGAGTATGGGTAAAGACGTTGAAGCAGGGCCGCGACAGTTGATTTTCCTGAGCCGGAAAGACTATGGATATTATGTTAGTCCAAGATTGTTAGAATGAGGCGTAGTTCATTTTTACCCTACTATGGCGATACATTCCCCGGCGCTAACTTTGAGGTTGAAGTTCCGGAGTACAATGGTGTCTGGGCGAGTGGGGTATGCAAAAGTAACGTTGGAGAACGATATGGCTCCTCTAAAATCCAGCGTCCTGCTACCCTCAATTTCATGAGAACTACGGGGCAGGGTGTAGAGTCTCAGCACACGTCGTGCCGTATCCTTGCTATTGCTTATCTGGGGAACTGTAGAGAAGTTAGACACCCGCGGGAGTCAAATTGAAATGGGAATGTTATTATACCAAAACCGACGATCGTATTTGCCCCTGCCAAAGAGAATAGCAGCAGACTGAACACTGTAAGAACATGCTGGATGTCGTATAGGCCCTTCCCAATCAACACCGCACCGTACCAAAAGATCAAAGCTAAAGAAAATTAGTATCACAAAAAAGCCGGGAACGCCAGAGAGACATACCTGTTGCAAACGACACCGCAGAATCTGATAACCCGTAGCCAACACCTGTATAAACAGACCTTTTCACGCCTATTCTCAATGCCGCACGGGTAGCTTTCGCATACTTCCTCTTAAAGTATCTTTCGAGAGCAAGCCCCCTTACAGTCTTTATATTCGTGATCGTTTCATCAAACACGCAGCCGACAATCTCAGCCGCCTCGTTGCTGTTTTTCTCCCACTCATCCGAGATCCACGCAAAGGTCCTTGTCAGACCATACATGACCGGTGCAATCGACAGCCCAACCATCGTCAACTGCCAGCTCTCTGTGAAGCTCCAGCCAACACCCAGAATCATAATCGTTGCACCAATAAACACATACCCAGCAAACCGCCCCAACAAGTCTCTCATATCCTCAGCATTCTTTTCCATGTCCTCTGTTACCGTTGCCACTAGGTTCTCATCAAACCATACACGGGGCTGGTCAAGAATGCGAGCCAATGATTTTATGCGCAGCGTATCTATCCAGGACTGCGCAACGGACTCCAGAAAGTAATGCATCAAGTAGCTGCTGATTGCGTCTATGACCGCAATGCACAGGATTACTACAGACCATCTCGCCGACTCCGAGGGCAAGTTCCCGTCTTTGAAGAACGACGAAAGCAGTCGAGCAAGTGCATACGAGAACGCCGGTGTTGCCGAAGCATGGAAAAAGGCCGCCGTGAAGCCGGTGACCAGCAAGAATCTGTAACCAACGTTCAAAGAGGGCCATATTGTGGAAAATATCTGCAAGAGGGTGATCTGTTTCGCTTCAAACCTTCTGACAGGCTGTTTCCTGGGAGTTTCGGGGATTATGGAGCCAATGTCGTACGTTGGGGAATGAGCCGGCACATAGTCAAAACGTGTCATCTCGGTATTAAGCCTTCTTTCAAGCAGCCGTACTCGAAGCTTTCTTCTGGTTCTTTTGGGGCTTGAAGTTTTTGCTCTACCTAGTAGTGACAAATTCTCTAGCTTGAAAGTGGATTCCTTGGTACCATCTAAAAACTCGCCATCTTGATCTTGCTCCGTCGAGCTTTCTTCCGAGATTGGGGCCAAAGTCCCATTAACTGGATAACCTTCATTGTATACGTCAGAAGCTATAAGCTCCTGGGCTCTATCATTACGGACCAGTCCAATCCTGGGTGAGCCTGGTTGGTTTCTGATTTCTTTGTTGGTATCATACGCCTTCACGAAATCTCGAAACAGGCCGTCTACGCTACAAATTTCAGACCTGTACCCATTCTGGACGATCTCCCCGTTTTCAAGCACGTAAACAAAGTCTTGCGGTTTAATTTGGGAAATGTCGTGGGTGATTATAATTGTTGTCTTTCCCCGCCGCCATGTGTGTATTGCTTCCATGACTAGTGATCTGCTGACATAGTCAAGGGCACTGGTAGCTTCATCTAAAATCAGTATTGGCGTATTCCGGAGTATGGCTCGCGCCAGAGCAACCTTTAAGAAGAGTTTAAAAGTCAACCATCTTTCTCTGGGGTGCAAAATATCAAGCTTAAAATAGAGTCTTGGAATCTTACCCTTTGCCGTTGGCCCCCAGACAACGCAGCGCCCCCAGCACCAACTATAGTATTGGAGCCTAATGGGAAATTTCGGAGGGTTTCTTCAAGCATGGACATCCGGCAGGACTGATGAACTTCCTCCCGGGTGGTACTCTTGTAGTCTTTCCTCCCGAATGCAATGTTACGGAAGATTGTCTCATTGAACAGCACGCTCTCCTGCTGCACTATGGTGACGTTACTTCGTAGCCATTCTTGGTCGATATCCTGGACTGAGGTTCCATCCAGCGTTATAGTACCAGATAAAGGCATATAAGTTTTGAGGATGAGATTTCCAAGCGTACTTTTCCCAGAGCCACTTTTTCCGACAATGAAGGTAGTCTCATGCGACGGTATAAAGATACTGGCTCCATTCAGTGCCAAATTACAAGGGCGAGAGGGATATGCAAAAGATACCTACATGTAAGCAGTCAGTATAAACTAGAGAATAACGGGGGGCGCCGTTTTAGAGTTACACTTTTGACTTCAATCTCGCCTTGACAGCTCTTCGGGATGATCCCACCCTTCATATGGAAGACCCGCATCCCTCTCTTAAATTTCACCAACAATGCATCAAGGCCTGCACCTGCAGCCTTCCCCTTCTCCAAGACTATCATCTGCGGCAAGACCATTGAGAGAGCCTGCGTAGCCATTAGGCACGACCAAAACGTAGTCATCACATCCCCCACAGATGCCTCCCCCTGCCTAATAAGGTGACCACCGTACCAGAAGCCTTGCACAAACATCGTCAAGATCACAAGCCTTATAAAGCCCACCACCAGGGCATTGCTATGCGCCTGTTCTCTGTACGCACGTGCGGCCTTCTCCGCGGCCAGGGAAAACATATAGCGCTCGTACTGCTGGCCGTTGAACGCTTTTACCGTCTCAATTGCTGTGAAAGCCCTGTTCACGATTCTTGTTGCTCTTGAAAGGTGCTCTTTCTGCGTGTCTATCTGCGTCTGGATGCGGCGCGAGATGACGCTGAGGAATATGAACGCCAGTGGCACCCCCATCAGCACGACGAGGGTCAATGGCCAACATGTCGTAATGGAAACGAAGAGACATACCGCAGCCGTCACAAGCGCCTGTAGCGAGAGTCCCAGTGGCTGCGATACTGCTGTCTGGAGCTCCTTCGTTTGCCTATCATCCGATCCACTCTCAGTCAGCAACAAAACCAGAAAAGAAGAGTGAGGTGGGTGGGGGAAGATTTTCCAATATCCATACGTTTGCACTCTCGCCAGTAGTCCCGCAACTCCATTCCTCCTCATATCATACCACTGCATATCCTTATCTACCAGCCCCTCAAACAAGCTCTCCCTCGCGCCTTCCGCCTGCAACTCCCCAAATACGCCCCATGAGGCATAAAACGCCCCACCTAGGCACCAGCTCGCGGTCCCCAGTGCCACCAGCTGTACGGCGAACACCCTAACTTGGTCCACCAGCTCATTAGCGGGGATCAGGTCCGCCCCAAAGGTTGCAAAGGCGTTGAATAACCTGCCGAGGATTATTGCCGTAGCGGGAATCACGAGCCCGTTGAGCAGGGCGAAGAAGACGGCGGCGGTCAGGGGGAGGATGTGTTTTCGGTTGGTGAAGGCGAAGAGAGAGGACCAGCTGTGGTTTCTGTGGTCTTCGTCATCGTATTCGTCGTATTCGATGTCTTGCCGTTGGGGGCGTGTAGGTATCATGGTTTTTTTTCGTTTTGTTTTGAATTTGAATTTGGATTTGGATTTGAAGGTCAATTTTTTAGCGATATTATATATTCGATTACTAGCTGGTTTAATCGCTGACCTGAAGCTTTAGGATATCTAGCTATCTAGCCACTCCCGCAAAGATTTTTTCTGTAGATTATTAATAACGAGGCGCATGACAAAGCTTGCAATGGTGAAGCTCAAAGCAAGCCCTTTAAAGGACAAAAAATAAAAACCAAAATTAAAAGGGCCATCTCATGAATTATATGCATAGAATTGAAATCTCCTTGGCCCTATTCACTACACCGTATTTGGAAAAAGTCTTGATATTGTGCCTCTCTCTTACCATTGTGACGTTTTCATTGTCTTGAAATATAAGGTTCTGTTTATGATTGGCTGCCCCAGGGATGCGTGTGTTGTAATTTAGTAGCCAGGGTTAGGGGTGGTGAGTATTTGGATTGGTGTGAAACATGCATCGGATGGCCTTTGCATGCCAGACTACATGGACAATGACCGTACCCAGATAGTCTCGGGAAAATCCAGAGATCCCGCGAAACAAACGTTGCGCAGACATGCATACACACCTCGCGGAATGGGGAGTGATCTAGTAATTCATCCCACGATGAGAGGCAGAACCCACCATAGTGCCGGCACTATGTATGTTTACCACCTCATATAATCACGCCCGCTCGTATCCGGCACCAATCGAATCGATATGCCGGTCTCTCATTCCCCGGACCGATCAAGCTCCGGGCGGACGCGAGTCGCTAAGTACTACATGTAGGCACGGGCTTAGAGCGTTCTTGTATCTCCACGGACGGCCCGTTCGTGAATGATATGGAACGAGACGTAAAGCGTGTGCTTGCTATGGAAGCAATTTTTTGCATTCTTTGTAGGTTGTGTGGTGGTCAGTAACAAGTCAAGTGTCTCCAACATAATAAAGACCGAGTGATATATCATGATTAAATATCTTTATTAGTGCTACTCTGTCAGCCATGATTCACCGGCTTGTTTTAGCGGGCCATAAATTGCGTATTGTTTGACGTATATTACCTAGCACTGTATATACTAATAAAGCCTCATACTCAGAAGCGGGTGCTGCATAAAGAAGGTCGTTAGCTATGTCGCGCTAATTATGATTTTTCCACCACGACCAGGGCATCGCTCGCCTGATATGGCTCAATAATTGAGCGAAATTCTGAAAGATACATGTAAGCTGCCCATGGATGGTGCTTTGGTGGATAGTAGTAGGTACTCATTAACTGCTGCTTAGGAAAAGGGTGATATGTATAGAGTAGTGGTGACCTCGATCTCATCCAATTCACCATTTATCCCAATCATTTATATTTATAGTTCTTTCGTATAAGTAAATGAGTAACTGTATTATGTTTTTTTAATAGTAATAAAACGCCACCGTCCCTCTCCGGAACACTACTTTCTCACCAGCGAAAGAACCGGAAATACGGTTACCCGGGGCGATGGTCGTTCGTAAAGTATCGAGTGGCGCCGTTCTCCCAACCAAAACCCCCTGCCTTGGAAACTTTCGTTTTCCGGTTCTTTTACAGGTAAGCAAGTAATTCACGGAGCTACATATCACACCTACCACGGCCAAAGAATTCCCGCGCCACAGGATCTGGACACATGCACCCCTGCCCTCTGGGACTCGATCCGCAGGGGACCTGATCCGCAAGCTAGGGACTTTGGTCTCCCAAGGGACCATCGATATCGGAAAATCAACGTCCCACAGCTAGCAAAACTTGCCCGCATGTCGATCATTTCCCCCAGTTAGCCACGCGAGGTGCACATAAAAGTCGGCTTGATCAGGGTGTGTATGCTTTAAAGATAAGCATTAGGACTCTATCACGCGGTTAACTACTTGATAGGTATCTTTTAAGTATGCGCAAAAGAAACGATAGTGTGGCCTGGGTATGTAGCCTTTGAGCATAGAGAAGTCTAGCCTCCGGCAGGTATCCAGCTGTAAGTGCCCTCGATTAATTAAAGTAGAGTCTTGATTGCGCAAAAGGGCTCCAGCTCTAAATGTCTGAAGGAGAATCGGCACCAACAGCTCAGGCTACCGGGAAATTAATTGGAGACTGGCTCTGTTTGTGCAAAGACTCGATTTCAGGGACTGCATTGCGGATCTAAAGGTAGTTCGCGTTTGACATATAGCTAGAAAACGCATTTATGAGGACCATACCATTTCCAGATAAGGGCTAAAGATAGGTGAAATAGATTCTACCTGGACTACCCGGTAGATCGTTGCAACTTGACATTAGTAGTTTCTGCGTATGTAGTTGTGCCTTAAATCCTAGCTCTAGATCTACCCTTTGATGTGGCTAGACCCTCGATTCTCAAAGATCAGCAAGGGTCCAGTACTTGTAGTGTTCCGAAACACGCCTAGCTTGTCGGTAACGATTAATGCCTACTACAGTCTAGATTGTCCCCGCCCTCCCCGCCTCTTCCCCACATAGCTAAAGCAGGTTGCCGCATCTCATCCTCTCATTTTTTGCCGCTTGAGAATTCGTTGCCGCTTCATGCTCCACTCTTATGACTTGACCTGAAGCTTTTTTATATCCAGGTAGCAGAACTCTACTGGCGGCAAGCTTTTAGTAGTCAGATCTTATTCGGCAATCTCGGCCTGGATCTAAATAATCTTGTCTGATCCGTGCTCGATGATTTGGAATTTTGACGCAGGTGGGGGTTAGGCCGATCGGTGGCCAGAGTTCGCATAATGAGAATCATTAATTTTATATTATTGGCCCTCCTTATGCTGCACGGCACATAGGATTGAACAGTTATTCTTAACAATTTCCATGTCGGCTATGAGTTATCTAGAGAATTTAATAGCCAAAAGTCTTTAAAGATTCAGCCAGAAAGATGCATTTTTCAACAGCCCGGTAACCGATCCAGAAAGTTTGACATGGGAAATTTCTTCTTGTGCGTGACACTGTAACGCAGGCCCAGCGGTACACAATGGGGCTATAACAGTTGCTGACAGTTGTTGGTAAACATAATATAATATGTGGCCCTGCAGGCGGCTACCGTTCACGGCGGTGTAAAGTAACATGCCCATATGCGGCGTCACTATGGAGCGAGGGGTTATGAAAAGGAAAACGAGAATCCAACGGGTCAGCTTCTTCCCCTCCATCGGTAGTTGTTTTCTGGTGACGTCTTGGTGTCAAGAACCGAGACCAAGGTACACGGTATTACTATGTGCCTTAAGCAGGAATGAAATTTGAAGCCGCAAAAATTGTATAGGTAAATGACCCTGGGACATAACTAGCCTAAATCGAGATCAACTGACGTATCCGCTACATATCCGCTACATATCCGCTAATTATAGTAGAGGTACAGAGTACTCAGAGGAAAGGTGAAAATACCTCCAGCCAGTACTAAAGAGTGGATCTTAGCTCATGTTGGATAGTCCCACCCAACGGTCACCCCGCGAACCCACTAATCCAACTAACTACCCTGGGGAGATTAACGTTGACACCACTAAACCAAATACGAGGGGTAAAACTCGCCCGACCTTTGTGATTGGTGAACGATTTGCAATGGCTTATCCAGGGGGTGATGCGGTTACATAGCTACACAGAAGGATAGGGCTGAGTTCTCAGGGTGAGGTTATGCTGACATGTTATTAGTAGCCCGGACCAAAAGATCCCCACACTGGTACATTGGTACATTGGTCCAATGGTGGTACCTTTATCCCATTCAAGACTTCCCTTGTGTATCCCCCCCCCCCCCCCCCCCCCCCCCCCACACACACACACAGGGCACAGAGAATCGGAATCCGGAAGGGGGTGGATACGAGAAAATGCTGTATCTATATAACTATATCTTGCCTCGTCCGGACATGATTCTCATCCTCAATTATTCCCAAAATCAGGACAGGACTTAAACCTCGATGACTCCCGATGAACTACGAGTGCTACCTGGTGGAGAGGAGCCGATCCCAAGGAATGGAAGTTGGGGGGGTTCGCGGACGGGTTTCTATCCAGCAGATTTTATTCACCCAGCAGCTGGAAGCTACCCCTACCCTTGGGAGTATGAGCCAGAGCACAAGGCGGAGTATTTGTTTGCGTTGACCATTGTAATGGTGGTGCTTTCAACGCTGGTAGTTGCTGTGAGGATTGGGTCTAGGGTTATGCTGAGAACGTTGGGTGTGGATGATTGGCTGATTATTGGTGCGACGGTGGGTGTTCCCTCAAACCGTTCGATGTTGTCCTCGACTAACTCGGGCGTAGTTGAATACCATAGCAGTCGGCGCTACAATAATCATTGGTGTTGTTAGTGGTGGTGCAGGCGTACATTGGTGGGATCTAGAATACCCCGAGTTCAAAAAAGGACGAGGAATTGTCAGTATTAAATTAAACCCGTACCATCATAACAATTCGATCCGGTTTGAATTAAAGCTTTGGGATTTATAGATTATGAGTTTCCATGGCGCTATCTATGCTACAGCTGTCCTCTTCATTAAGCTGTCGATACTATGTTTTCTGAGGAGACTGTTCACAAATACCTCAGGATGGATGACGAAGCTGATAATGCTCTACATTGTCGTTAATATCATCTTTTTTGTGACGAGCTTTTTTTGCCTATTCTTTTTGTTAGTGTCTCCAATACCATGATTTGATCTGGTAATAGTACTGACTATATCACATAGGAATGCTTCGTTCGGACTTCTTTATCCTCTGGGTGGTGTGCACCTGAGCTTGGAGATTGCAATATTGATACTCCCCATGAGAATGGTTTGGCGACTGCAACTTCCGTGCACCCAGAAAATCATTTCGACTCTGATCCTAGGACTTGGTGGAGTGTAAGCCCTCTCTCATCACCATTAGCACTATAGATACCACTCAGTCTGCACGTCAGTATTAACAATCTCTGATTATACAGTGTGTGCATAATATCTGTACTCCGCCTCTACTATTTCTACACGTATATTACCTCCTTCGATGCCACCTGTCAGTACTCAGTCCAAAATCTCCCCCAAGCTTTGTTCTATATACTAACTACATACTACTAAACTAGACAACGCTACTTATATATACTTGTACAATCTCCTCGAATGCACGCTAGGTATTTTTACCTCATCAGCGCCGTCAATGAAGGCAGCTTATACACACTTCACGAAGCCTCGGGTAGAAAGGGGCTCTAATGAAGGCATTCTAGACGGGGATGGGTCGAGAAATGCATCTCAAGAAGGTTTGGATAAGGGTGTTGGCTGCGTTAGGATGGCACAGCGGCAGGATTATGACGAAGAGGCCGCGTTGAGGCCGTTCCAAGCAAGACTTGAGATAGTGCGTTCGAGAGACGAGATATTTTTCCCCGAGTCTGAGATTCGGACTAGTGTATTATTGCCAGATTTTCCACATTGAGCAGTGCTCTTTTTTCCTTCCGTTAGTTTATTGGGACAGCGGGTTTTGTTTTTAAACTGGGCGTTTACCACAGATATATAGCCTTCGACTACTACAGCATTTGAGAGATGTAATACACCCGACATTATTTGTGTATTGAGCACATTACATAGCACATAGCGGGTTATCTCGAATAAAGCTTCTGGGACACTGAGTGATCATCCGTGATTCAACGCGCTGAAATGAGTGATTTCTTATGATTCAACCACTCTTTGGCCACATTCCTTGATCTTGCTCTCGGGTCCATTCTCTCATTTCTTCGTTATTCCGTATTTCTGTTGGATCAGATACCAGTTCCGTAACTGGTTTCTTGTACAATGTACCTCTAGATCTATAGAACGTAAATTAATTGCTGGTCCGCATTTGAATCGGAAACCAGACGTAGCATGCAGTCGATAGACCACCGCATCTAATGACGGTGCTGCTTTATTTAGGGGTGTGCGTTTAGCTCATTTAGTTGTCCACTCTTTAAGATAAAGCACACGAAATAAAAAAAATATTGAACGTACACCACCTCGTATGCGAGTGATGTGTGATGATTTGCATGTATGTAACAATTGAAACCTCTAAATAAATAAAAAAAGTTCCAAATTCTAACAAAGGAGATAAAACACCTACATTCATTGAGATACATAAATTGATACTGTATTAGACGCTGGTCGGCCTCAGGAAGTGTTCTCGCCACTCAAGAAGGAGCTGCTTGTATTGCAGTGATGGGACGTTGTTATCGTCAACCAACCCCATAAATGCACACATGCACTGACAGCTAGCTGCATAGGGCGTTTCAATTTACATCGTACCTACATGTAACTACTTTTCTATCCACCTAGAATTTACCCTTGGAAAAGAATGTTTTACCAGTTGGGCTGATACTCGGATTCCAATCAGTCTCGTGCGCAGAAACATGTAAGGGTGATTCCAGGAGGCAAGGACAACTCTCAATCCCAGGAAAGGGGATAGGTCGCCAGTGACGAGGTTTCTCGGATACTTGGTCATGCATATCTTGGCCCGTGCATTAGGTCGTGGCTCAACCGGTCTGAAACAAGGAATTCACAGGAGAGCACTTTTTTCATTTCAACTCCTCTTCTGACGAAGTCACTTGAGACGCATCCTCGAACATAGCGGTTATATTGTGCATCTGTGACACCGCGTGTATGCATTATACCGCCACGATCAGATCAAAAGGCGGCATTCTCGCTTCAGAGGGAAATGCAGGTAGGATATCTTGTATATAGCTTGAGTACCATAGGCTAGTGGTTAACCGTGTGGCCTATTCTACCTACTCTAGAGTAGAATGATCTGAAGGGCCGTAGGTACATACAGATAGGTATGTAGATTATCCTACACCCTTGCATACATGTACTTGCATGAGTACACATGTACCTACATGTACCTACTCTTGATAGTTTCATCATGACTTATTTCCAGCTGGTCCTAGAAAACGTCAGAATAGGTTGGTTCAACACAAAATTCGCCGTACGTTCCACGTACTTAGGGAACCAATATAGTTGGGGTGAACATCGGTATCTGTCCTTTAAACTATGAACACATACGACGATTCAATAATACATCCATCAAGAGAGTCGCGAATCATCTAGTTGCATGTACAGCGGTGGGTAATAAGTCATCAGACGGAACGCCACCAAAATACGCGTTTGCAGGCAAAATTGTGGCTAGGTCGTCCGATGACTTATTACCCACCGCTGTATTTATAATAGACGTACTGCCGCTTACAACTGAGGTTCCCATTGACGTTCGCTTGAGCTTTTAATTCTGCCATCTCCTGGGCGGATGCGTTCTCTCCCGTCATGAATTTTAAGCATTGATATGAGCAGAAAGAATATGTAGGTTCATGTCGTAGTAGTATGTAGTAGTTATAGTACATGTAGTAGCTCAGGTACCGATGTTGTTGAATTTCGATGTATCATGGCGTTGTATGAAAACAGGGTACTGGGGAGGAACCTGCATGCATGTGCATGCCAGATACTCTAGATATGGTAACACAGTTTGCCGAGCTGATGTGAGCTGGGATTGAAGCTGAAAATACTCGCTAGATACGATTAGTACCAACCGGGTTTTGACCCGAATTCGGTTGTCGACGGGCAGGTTGCGAATCAGAAAACTGTCAAAATTGAAGCTTGAGTCGAATAGGGGACGGTTATGGTTATGTCTTTTTTCACTGTTGCTAGTCCGCCTTGCGATCTGCCCGGCCTTGGGTATTCGCAGCATGGATTTTGGACGTTGGTTTTTTGATATTTTTCATCCCTTCTTTTTTAATGATTTCATAGCTATAATCGCAGATATTACATGTATGCATTGGCCAGTTGGTCTAGATTGTGGCGACATGCATCGCAACTCTACCTACGCTACGTAGGATGTAACATGTACTCGTCTATTCATAGCGTTTGTGAACACCACCGCTATTGCATGCTATACAAAAAGGTTGTCTTGGCTATTTTTTGTGTGTATGTAATGCCGGTTGTGTTCACAAACGCTGTGAAAAAACGAGTAGTAAAGTTGTAGGTGAAGTTGCATCATTTTGCTTTGTATTGTAGCTAGCTTCAATTACTTGGAATTCCGAAAATGTGTGTGTAAAATCTTGGGGGAATACTAGACAGCATCTCAAAAGCGCAAATGCCTATGACGTGAAACTACATGTAGGCTAGATGACAATTGCGCACCAGACATGTATGCATTGTTGCCTAGTATCGTTCAGACTCCTGTACTACGTAAAGCACAAACTATTTTTCTCGTTCTCGCCATTGTCAATATGTTCATTCCTATCCTCAAGCACGGGGGATCGAATTTTTCTTGACGTAAGCACATATACTATAGTGCTTCCTTAAACCGTGAGAAGTGCGCAGCAGATAATTTGTTCTGCGATGATGGCAGTTTCATTAATGGCACATCACGTACGTATACATACCACTATTCTACTACCGTTTTCAAAAGCAAAGACCTGAAACCGGGGAAATCTTCTGAACTAGACCAGATTAGCATCGGCCCTGAATTTCATGACCGTTTGGAATACACACATATATATATGACGGTGTCACGTGCATGCATACATACATGTATGCACAAGTGCGAATATGCACAGGTGCGCACCCACCAACTTGAGAACAGCATAAATGGTAGGCTGTGGAGGTGACCTTCATTTCTCTTTTTCGCTCATCCCAAATCTAATTTGACAGAACACAAAAAACGTAAAAATCACTTTCATTCTTAACCATTGCCTCGCCGCCCATTTCTTCTCCGAAGACAAACCATTCAGCAGAAGCTAGAGAGATCCGATTGTGAATAGAGTAGCTTTAGAGAAGCTTGACTCAGTCATACAAAGTTTGAATCCTGGTGATTTACAGGTACATACACATTCTTACACTTTTTTGTTGCCTAAGTTTACTGACTCTTGGTTCAGCTTTTGATACGTTTAGCAGGTCTAACTCTCGAGAGTCCCCGCCCTAATATTTCCCATGGGTTTTCTACTCGACTTACCCAATGAACTCCTCCTCTCCATATCTACATACCTTGAAGAGTCGGGGATAGGCTCTCTCTTAAGAACGAACCGCCGGCTCCGGGAGCTCTTAACGTCAGAGCTGAATCAACATGCGACTCAAATTTGTCGCAACGTTTATCGCCGAGGAAATCTCAAAATCCGCTGCACACTTCACTGGGCTGCCTGGAGGGGTCATGAAGCACTGTTCCAGCTACTCCTAGACAAAGATGTCAGCATCGAATGTCCGGCCGACGCCCATCACTGCCATAGTCAAGAAACGGTCCTCCACTTTGCCGCTTTCCAGGGGAGTGAAACTATCGTGAAGCTCCTGTTGGATAAGGGAGCCAACATCAACCAGACAGACGAAACCGGAACAACAGCACTGCACTTTGCTGCCATGAGAGGGAATGAGGAAGTTGTCCGCTTACTCCTGGAGAACGGAGCGAAGGTAACAGCGGTGGATGGGGCGGGATTGTCGATCATGAGCAAGGCCTTGAAAAGCTACGACCATCACCGGACAAAGAGGAATTTAAATGTTTTCAAGCTTCTACTTGAGAATAATGCGGATATCGACGCGAGGGATAAGGAAGGTGCGACTGCATTACACCTTGCGGTCAAGCATATGGATTTGGAGATCTTGGATATCTTGCTAGAGTCGGGTGCGAACCCGTACATCAAATCGAAAGATGGGGAGACAGCACTCGACTGGGCATTGATCCAGACATTTGATAAATTATCCGAGGAGAGACTCCAGAAAGCATACCAGGTGGTCAAGTTTCTTCAAGAGAAGGGGTTAATTCCGACATTGGGAGGAAAGTTTTACGATGTGCGGAGGCCCAGGGGGAAACGCGAGTATTGGAAACTGGCATGCGGAAGTGGCATCAAGAACCAAGCCAAATCTATAATCAAAACTTGGACTTTTCAAGCCTGTCCAACCGAAGCAGCGGGGAGATATTATAGGCAAGAGAAGATCAAAGCGAATCGTGCTTTCAGAGGCACTACTATCAATTATTATAATTACAACCTATAATTCTGGTTGAATTTATAATTTTTTTCCCTTCATTTCCCCGTTCACTATTCTCGTTTAATCTTTCCTTATTATCTTCTTATGATCTCAATTTACCACCGCAGCTGGATCGAGCACGTATTTATCACTCGTTCTGTTAATCTCTTATTTAATTAACATACCTTCGTTTTTTCAGTTTTATATTTGGCTTATTTCTACTACTGGGCTGGTTAGCTTTATTATTTATTAAGTCATGTCCTTTTTTATTTGGATTTAGCGTTTTCTTTGCTTCTCTCATTCTCCTTTTTCTCTCTTTACTGCTTGGTTATATTATGACTTATGATTTACGAATTACAAAGCTTACAGAGTTATAATTCGAGGTGTGTACACTATCGTCGATGTCACGTTTGTCTACACTCCGTTGACTTGAATACACCCATAAACATAACCCATATACCCCTCCCCCCCCCCCCCCCCCCTCAAAAAAAGATATCCCTCAGGACTTATTTCTCTTATTTCTATCCTGACAAGGATTTGGGCCTAGTCACCCGCTAGTCGGGTCGAAACGATCTTTTCGAAGTTAATCTCTTATTTTTTTTTTAATTTCATATATCCGATCGCTACTATTTCATGGTTTCGAGTGGTTATGAGGGCGTGGGAAATCAAAGGTTCATTGGTTTTAGGAATCGGACGAAGGAAAGGTTGGATGGACAGGAATTCGCTCACATGATTCTTTTTTTTTTGTTCTTCATCTTACAGTACTACTTTATTCTCTTATTTACACCACATGATCATATATACATCCTTTTGTTTCCCCTTTACCTCTTAGTATTCATTGTTCTTTCTCTTTACTTGATGATTTGATCATTTCCCTACATGTATCATGTATGCAAGGTTGCCTTCGAATCTAGCTATATACGCACTAGTAGCTTTCTTTACTATTTCTAGCTTTTATAAGTTTTCCACTGTTCTATATCTTCTTTGGTTCTATAAAAATCCTTAACTCAGAGACAAATTAAATAAACGCTTTTTTTCTCTTTTATTTTTACTCATAGATTGTGCATGCATCATGTGCGTAACCTTTCTCCCTAGTAGTGCCGTTTTAAACCTTTATCGGGATCCAGTTCAACCTTTAAGATAGAAGAGAAGAATGAGACCACATCCGAAAAACTTATAAAACCCAAAAGACCCTTTTCGAAATCCCTAACTAACTACAGATGTTTTGAACTTCAAACTCCACACGCTCATAACTCGCAAAAATAAATAGAAGTAAAGGAATAATAATGAAATAAATCTATACACAAAGAAAAACGAACTGGTCTTGTGCATGAGGCCTCTATGCTGTAGAAAAAATACCTCTAAAGAAATAAAATGGTTTCCAAAGACGCATACATGATCTAAATCTAGGAAGATATAAAGCGTTATTTAGCTTTTAAAAAAGAAAAAGAAAAAGAAGGGAGGGGTACAAAGGGAAAAGTAAGTCATATCTATCTTTATTTATATTTGATTTTTTTTTTGTTTCCTGGGTGTAAAGAAATTAAGATCTCTGGCCGAAACCTTGTGGGATCTTTGGGCGTCCAAAGTTTTGATCGAGATCCTGAGTCGCAGTTAGTCTCAGATCCCCAACATATTTAGATGAACTAACTTACCATGATGATCTTCAATGCGTTCCGGCTTCTGAGGTAAGGCATAGGAGCACTCTGTTCTGCCATCCCGATAGCTGGTATGATTCCGCCTGAGAGGCTTTCTGCGTCCTGTTTCTCTTTCCCAGCTGTTGGGAAAATGTTTTGCAAAAGCTCATAGGCAGCCAGGGTGGCACCAAATTGGGGCGAACTTCGCAAGATCCTTGCAGGACCTCCTTTAAAGAAGGCTTTAAACCCTTCTTCTTTCCAGACCGTCGTAGCGCAGTGGATCAAACCACGGTAGTGGGTCTGTCCCTGCCTGGCTTCGACCTGTAAACGAGTTTTGATGACATCGCAAGGGGTGGTGAAGTATGCGGCAGGCATACCGGCGATTGCACCAGCAGCCAATAATTGAAGAATTCCAAGTTTCTTAGTAGGTGATTCGCCAAAAAAGTCGGTTTTTAAATGATTGTATGTTGGGAAGTAAATCGCTGAGAACGGGACATCACGGAGGAGACATGCGGATGCTCCCTTGTAAAGACCGATCAACCCAAGATTTTTGACAATCCATAGGGCTGAACGGCGAGGAACTCCTTCGACATTTTTGGCGACCTCTCCTTGAACCTGAAGACGGATTTTCACAATTTCAAGGGGGCTTGAAATGGGTTAGCCAAAGGCCCAGATACTAAACAATATTGAAGCGAAAGCGAAGAACTCTCAGAGCAGGAAAGTCATATCTCACTTTGTAAAAACGACCTGGCAAGCGCCCGCACTCCCTCCCGCAAGGAGCTCCCACGGAAGGGTGATCTCGCCGTTCTTGTTCTTCGCCTTAGATCTAACCAGATCATTGACAGTGAGTTTGATAGCTTTCTCTGGCGCAACACCCTATATTCAAAAAACAATTCATTAGTAACTCATTATCTGGTCAACACATGACTATACATAACCTACAATCAATTGTGGTCCCAGGCCACTGTACAATCCCAAAAATCCCTCGTTACGAATAACCTTCTTGGCGCAATCCAAAGAGTTCTTGTACATAAGCTCGCCCACAACCTTGCTTCTTTGGTTCTGCATCCGTGTCTTGACAAGGTCAATGGGGTAAACAATAGTTGCACCGAATGCTCCTGCGAGCGATCCAAGGGCAAAGTTCTGAGCTGCATCTAGGGCTTGCCCAAAAAAACCTCGGCCGTGGGTGATTGAACCAACCGTAGGGAGAAGTCCCTCTGTGGAAGGCAGTAATCCAGAAGCATCGAGCTTTGGCCCCCGCCATGACGGGTCAAGAACACGTGTAAAGTCTTTAAGTCCCAAACGGCCGGATGTTGTATCAAGCCCAGCGAAATGGAACAGGATATCGGCCTCCATGGGTGTGAAAAGAGTGAACCTAGTGACCTTCGCTGATTCGTTGAGGAAATCGGTGCGGGTGATCTTCCCGTCAGTAGATTTGGCGGTAGCATTGCGTACAATTAAGTCAACCATATCCATTCCTCGAACAATGTTCTGGAATGCACGGACATTGGCATAGCTGATCTTGGACCCGACAGAGATGTTGCAAAGTGTGTGCAGGTTCTCAAGAAGGTGGTCACTGAGCTTGTGAGCAGAGGTTTCGAGGATTATTCGTTGGAACTCCTCTGGTTCGATAAAACCAGTACCTCTTTTGTCGAAATAGTGGAAAGCCTGCCTAACACGTTCCCCCTGAAGCCCACGGAGCATCTGTGAGAATTGGGGGTACGTCAGGTCATGACGCTTGTTCTTCCCCCCGAGGTAAAGAGACGCCCACATGCTATTCCAGTCAAATGGAATACCGGAAGGGTCCCTGTTGGCTGTATAAAGTTTAATAAACTCATCATACTTTACACTGCCTTTACCTTCGACATCGAATAGTCTAAACGCAATTTCATATTCGACATCTGGCTTCGCGAGGAGGTTCTCGAAATTTGCCCAATCGTGGAGATTGACAATGCCTTCTTTGCGGCGATCGGCCACCTCAAACAAAATCAAGTACTGCTCCCTCTTGATTTTATGATAATCTTGGTCCGGAGGTGCAATGGCCGAAACAAAGTCCTCTTTGGTCATGTAGCGCTCTCCCGAAGGAGCGGTATGGGACGCATACTTGTCAAAGGTTTTCTTTGCTTCATCGGTAAGCAGAGCAGGTTGCTCGCTACCTACGAGGGATTCCTTGATGGCTTCCTGAACTGTAGCCATTTATCTCAAGATCGGTAACTGATAATCGTAAGTTTTAAGGCTGAACGAATTGGCGTTGTGGAACTGTCCACAGAGCTGCAAGGGACGGTTGTTTCCGATGACCCTTATAAAGCACTCCTGGAGGGAAAAAAAAGTAAAAGATTGTGGGTGGAAAAGAAGTGTATTGAAGTCACAGCAGCAGAGGAAAGGTCGACAACACTAGCAATCCCGAAATGCAGGTGCTGTAAAGATTGAGAGGGGCCTAAGATAGGGAGTGATTGAGGAATGAAAGGAGGAAGAGGAGGTGTAGGTATGGTAAGAGAGCGGGGAGGGAAAAGGCGGAGGGGTTGGAATTCCGGGGGTGGTTAAACAGAATCCGGGGGCTTCGTTTATTAGTGGATGCAGAGCTTCTAAATCCCACGCTAAAAGTGGAACGGAGACGGGAAGTCTTGCGTTTGTTTCTGATGCAAAAGAAAGCAATCTATGGCGTGGGATGGTGCTCGAGAGGGGGGCAGTTCGCAAGCTGAGATTGGATCTTTGTTGGGTAAGTTCACTAATCCCGCTCAATCTGAAGACACCAGAAAACAGATTGTTTTGAAAACGTCCTCTGCTGTTTGGAATATCTAATATCAATTTGTACTTTTGTTCTCAACAACGAGGTTAATGTCCACCGGGGCGTCGTTATTGGTGGGATATGTGTGTGCGTGTGTTTTTTTTCGGTTTTTTTTTTCTTTCTCCCACTCCCCCTCCAAGAGCCGCTTGAACCCTGCTCGTGGAAGATCGGGAATCATCCGAGTTGTCACTGCAGACGAGAATTTCCCCTCCACCCACATGACTTCATCATCTTCACCAGTAATTGACTTAGGGTCCATAATGATAGAACTGTGGTTAGAACCTCCGATAACTACTCATGTGAGCCGGTAATTCGCTATTTAGCCGTCCCCTGAAAAACTATTAGATGAGCTTAACTATTAATGGTTAGTTTCCTCAATTGGCCAATTCAATCTGATAAGATGGATAAGATCACAAGGTCTAGTTTGTTCATGTAATCGTGAAACCAAGAAGACATGACAGGCCCTTTTCGACCCCAGACTTTAGAGCAGTCCCGAAAGGACAGAACGGAAACCGCCTATAGGTATAACGGGTCGGGCTAGGCCACTAATTGTATTAAGCTGTTGAGGGAACTGCAGCTAGCTTAATCTTATAGTAACGGATCATAGCAACCAACAAAGCTAGTAAGTACAACGGTTCTGAGGTCAGTTGCTAATTCAGCTGGGATAAATATTCGCAGTGGCAGTGGGAAAAATACCGACCTGGTAGCGACATGTTATAAGATAATTAACGTCGTGAATTGCATATATATATGTATAGAGTTCCTATTTTATGCTTCTGCAGCAGAGCTGCCTGAGCATAGGATACCACTTGGTAGGCGCTTCTCGACGCTATTCACGGCTTGAGGGTAGCTCAAAAATATTTGACCGGTACTAACTTTTGTCAAAAATGACTGGTTCCGCGGATCCGCTATACCATCATAAAACTAGCCAGTGGCTAAAATCGAGACTTCTACTAGTCTTGGTGGAAGCTATAGGTATTGAAGTCGTGGCGGTGTACATGTGGAGAGAGAGGGCGAAGACGATGAAAGAGTTATGAAGTAGTGGAAACCTTCATAGTAGTATTTGACTTGTGTGGGGTGATCGTTTTTACTAGGCGTTAAAGATTCTTTGAAGTGCACCTCCATACACTTATATTCATATATCAGCGGGTGAACCTACATGTATTCATCAGCCGAGGGTTCGGGATTAACCCGGGTGACCCGAGTCTCACAGGCCATCACTCGCGTTCAAAACGAATTAAATCTGATCTGATAAGATCTTTGGATAGATAGCAAACTCGGCGGTCATTTTCGCAACTGTTCATAATTGCAATCGTTATCGCAGTTACATAAGAATAAATGGATTTGCGATGTACTTTAATAGAGTATAATTCAAGGAATGTTTTAAGCACATGTAGAACTCTGAAGCTTATCTCGAGGATGAATTATTTTGGTTGTGTGCTGATTTGCGCACGTGCCACATGCACATCCTTATGTAATGGGCCATGTCCAGCGACCGTGTTCTCTCGTGCTGAAGTTGAAACGCGAATTCAGTGGACATCCAAAAGCTTCTTTCTTTCTTTCTTTTTCTACCCCCCGCCAAGCAACGGGATTAAGTCCCAAGAATCAATTATAGTTCTGGTTTCCTAACTCCTTATCATCTTCTCCCTCTCAAGGGCTTTCAACTAGAACATCGGAGTCCCTTGCTGGACTCGCTCAAGTTAATTCAAGATGCGGCTCGCCGTGTATGGAGCTGTAAGTACCTTATTTCCCTCTACCCTACGCTATAGCAGCTAAACCATAATCCGTCTAAACAACTAGACCAGCGTCATTTTGGGCGCCGGCGTCATCATCTCAGCTTTCAACCAACGCGCAAACTTCTATTCGGCCTGTGTTCACCTTGCTCAGTCCAATGCTTGTCTTATGGTTCATTTCCCTTCTTATTCACTCCATCAGATGTATGTCCACAGATGACTGACTCCACCGGTCACTTAGGTCCTTACGAATTTGTTACTTCTTCTCTCAATACTATTCGGCCATGCTCTGCAGCTTATATTCTATGGACCTCTACGGACCCCCGAGATTGAAAATCTATACGAAAAGGCTTGGTATGCTGTGACGGAGACATGTTTGGCCATGACTATATTTCGCGACGAGTTTGATGTTCGGTTCATCGTCATGTTTGGTGTATTATTATTTATCAAGTGCTTCTGCTGGATCGGAGGAAGTAGAGTGGAATTTATGGAAACCTCACCTCCAGACAATCCGACACTCTTCCATATTCGGCTGGCCTCTTCCTTGATTCTGCTTCTTTCAGCCTGTTCAGCAATGCTTTGGCACTCTGTTTCCTCAGTTCTTGAGCGTGGGAGACCAAATATGATGGTCATGTTCGCTTTCGAATTCGCAATTCTCCTAATAACATCACTCGGAATTACTGGTAGATACGTTCTAAGTTTGGTCGAAAAATATATCTTAAAACGGGAGGCGATGCGAAGACGTGCGGCAAGAATTCTGGAGAGGGAGGGCGCTCGCCAGAGACATGCAGCCCGGGTCGCGGAGGTAACAAGAAGACGTAGGGATGGCGATCTTGTGGAAGATGTTCCTGAGCTGGAAGAAGAAGACGAAGATGAGGAGGAATTAGATGTCGGAGGCTGGGAGGAGAAAGGAACATGGGTTTTTTACTTGGAGTTGGTTACAGGTAATTCACACAGGGAAACACTTTTAAGGTCTCCACGAACATAACTAACTCAAATCTAAATAGACCTTCTTAAGCTCCTTACTTATCTCTCATTCTTCTCGATTGTTCTAAGATATTATGGACTTCCACTTCATATCATCCGTGATGTCTACCTCACCCTCCGTTCATTTATCACCCGGATTCGAGACTTCATCCGCTATCGTCGGGCAACCGCTCACATGAACTCCCGGTACCCAGATGCAACCCCCGAAGAGGTTGAGCGCGAAGGGGTCTGTATCATATGTAGGGAAGAAATGAGAGCGTGGACTGAAGGTGGTGCTGCAGGTGAAGGCGGTAGAGCAGCCGGCACTCAAGACCAGAGATCAAGACCAAAAAAGCTTCCATGTGGGCATGTACTTCACTTTGCCTGCTTAAGAAGTTGGCTTGAAAGACAGCAAAGATGTCCTACATGTCGTAGGCCTGTACTTGACGAACCTCTCAATGGTCCAGGCGTGCAAAACGCTGCTGCACGAGCACAAGCAAATGCCGCTGGTGGAGCAGGCCTGGCGTTTGGTGCGCAACTTGGTCCTCTAGGATTTGACATTGGCGTTGGAGGACCTGGTTTTGTCCAAAATTTAATGGATAGAATGAACCAACAACAACGACCTCAACCGCAGCAAAACCAACAAAACCAGCAGAACCAACAACAGCAAAACCAGCAACACAATCAACAGGCACAGTTGCAAGCACAGTTGCAGGCACAGATTCAGGCACAGATTCAGGCACATGCGCAGAATCAAGGTTTAGCAGACGTTGGTGCCGGTGGTGCTGGGTATACAGATCTTGATCAGCAGATGCTTAGGATTAGGCTTCTTGAGCGCGAAGTAGCCGTGTTGGAGATGAGGCAACAATTACAGGCGCAAGCTGCAGGTATTCCGGGGGTTGGTACTCTACAAGGCCAACAAGTCCCAGCTACCCCACTTGCTCCTGGGGCCACCCCCGCAGCTGCTGCCAACCCATACCTAAACACCGGGAATAATCTTGAAACCAATCTACCGCCAAGAATTAGAACACCGGGCATGTCGGTTTACCATGGGGGGCCAGTATTGAACGGATCCAGTGCTACGGCAGTACTGCCTCAAGGAATGGTGCTGCCGCCGGGATGGAACGTGGTTCCCCTAACTGCTCCTGGATCTACTCCCACTGCTTTACCGATTACAACTCCAGGTGGAACAATGTCGTTAAGAGGAGCGGAATCCTTAAGAAGTCGAAGGGGGCAACAAATGTACCGGGAGCGCATGATGGATCACCACGCTAGATTGACCCCAGGAGAAGAACAAACATCCCGTTCTTCTAGACCAGCCTTTACCAGATCAACGACCGCCCCAAGTGGACTCAGTCTCCCGCAACAGAACTGGGCAGCTCAAAGAACTAGCGGACCAGTCACGGGTGGAAATCTGAGTGAACGGTTGTCTCAGGAACAGATGGAAAGGTTAAGTCCAACAGTTCAAAGAAGTGTTGCGACTATCAGCAGACTTTTACAATGGCAATTAGAATCAGGAAATGGCATAACAGTGCACGAAACTCTTGCTGGTCTCCCAGATGAAACCCGGGAAGAAATTCTACAGGGTTGGCCTAATAGAGATATGGCCCAGGAGCTCGCAGAGGGTGCTAGAAATGCCACTCATTCCGAACCTGGTGCAGATATGGTGCGTTCTGTGGCGAACATTGCTAGATGGCTTGAGATATTGCCTAGAGAGGAAAGGATTCAGGTTGTGCTGGGATTTCCCGAAGGCGACTTTAGGGGATTTATAATGATGCACCATCCAGGACTCAGGGTAGAAGTAACAAGGCTGTCTGCACTGCTGAGAGATCTCAACGAAGAAATCACTGAGACTCCCGCTACAATCTCGCCATCCGGCGTTTCAGGCATGATTGAGAGCATCTCCGACTGGACTCAGATATCACCTTTGGACGAAACAAGTTCTCGGGCAGACATTGAGAGGATAGAACGGGAGACTCGCGAGACTGTCAATAGACGTATACAGGTCCTCAATGATATAGCCAGAATTATGAGAAATGCAGCGGGGCAACTCGAACAAGTTAGTGGGAGACGACTTCCATCTGCGTCTTCAGCTCCTGTCAGTTCAGTCGACTTATCAAGACTTCCTACTCAGTTCAATACGGAGAACCAACTTTCACTATTTGGGGAAAGAAGCATCTTCAATCCCAGAGCGCAAGAGCAGGCGTTGAATGCACTGGAGCAGGAGGTTATACAGCAGGAGAGGGAGTGGAGGTCAAAACAAGGAGTTGCAGCTGTAGAGAGTCTTTTAGGGGTTACCGAAGGACCTACTGATGAAAAGGGTAAAGGCAAAGCAAAGCAAGAAGTGGAACCAAACGACGCCCAGGAGGGCGAAGCCTCAGTAACTCCGGAAGCACAAGGAAAGGCGCCGGTTAAGGTCACGGTAGAGGATGTTGATGATGAGTGATGCTTTCAATTGTACTTTTAGCTGCTTTTTTGTTTGTCTGTTCTTCGTTCCTCTGTATGGAATGGAGTGATATTGGGCTTTATCCGCGCGGAAGATCTGTAACGTTAGTATTTTTACCATCTGGTGTTGTAGTTTCTCTATCGAATTTCCAACTGTAATGCACCTTTTCCCACTACATGTAGGTACGTAGTGATCACCGTTGATTCTTTCAAAAAGACTTCCGTGAGAGGATACATGAGATTATGGTCAATGATGGTTATACAATCACTCGCGCGCGTTGATAGACCCAGCAGTAGACCCCGCGGCCCGAGAGAGAAAAAAGAAAAAGAGAGGGAAAGGGACAGCTAACACCTACACTGCAGTTAATCTTAAACTCGTTGTCATTGAATCAAAATTATCAGGCCTAAGCTGATATACACTGACATAATGTGAATTGAAACTCTTGCTTGCATTATTAAGGCTATAATATTTGAAATAACAGGAACACAAACACTCATCAGAGCAACTCGCCGGATGAAGAAATATTTTGAGAATCACTACCAACACGTACTATAGCGACCAGTCAAGTTCTTACGTCAGGTGTCAGGTCCAGCAGTTTTGTACGAACAAGTGCCAGGAAAATGGGGCAGTGTACGAAGTACTTTGGGTGTCATTTGTATCAACCTTTATTTTCCTCGCAATAAACACTGCACATTATCGATCCTTAGCCACCCGGACAGAGCTGTGTACGAATCTTTTGTTCTGTCAGTCAACTCACTGGGAATTTATTAGACAGTACTGTACGGATTGTTTTCTACTGGCAAGAAAAGTCTCTGTACGAACTTCACTGGCCGCTATAGGATATCTAGCGAACCCGATAAGATTATATACCCCTCTTTATTAACGGCAGGGTTGGAGTATCTTTTTTCTTCTTTTTTCATCCCCACCTCCATCTCACGAGATATTGGCAATAAACGTTACACCTTATACTATCAGCCCCCACCCATATATCGAAGTGAAATTTATGATAGATGTGGATGGACCTGGTAGTATACTGCGGGATGGAGAGAGCTAGAGTTCTTAAATGCAGGTATTTCGAGGTTTATCATCATATGAGCCGACTTATTGTGGTCTCTTTCTAGTGGGTGCGATCTATTCCTGTCCATAACTAGCTCTCAGCTCTAACTACTATAAGCGATTTCTTTTTTCAATCCCACAATATACCGATGGTATTCCCGGCTTCAACTCCCCCGCTTGGTCAGGCTTCTTTGAAGAGTGGTGGGCAGGGTAAAGACCATATGCCCTAGCCGTCCGACTGCATTCCTGTGCCGCCGGTAGGTCTCCCCTCTTTGTTCTCAACAAAGGAGACAATCCCTCGGGGGTTCTTTCTCTTTGCGAAGCCTACTTTACCGGTAGAATGGACGACCCAGAGATGACAGAGATTATAATTAGAGTAAAATTTAGCTGGACTTACATGATGATTTTAACGTGGTGATTCACCGGATATTCAATATAGATGCGGAAAAAAGAATGATCATGAAGCCTTAGACTAGTGGGAATGACAGCCGACGTGAGGAAATGGATGTAGAGTTTAGGTCATGATGATGGTTACTAGCAACGTGGGGTTAGACAACCCAAGAAGTCCTTCTAGAGAAAAGGGTAGCCATCAACCTTGGCTACTCTTTGGAGTTTAAACGCTGACAATAATTACAATACTTAGATATGCTGAAAACCGTATGGCACATCAGAAGAATTTGGGAGTTAGGAGGGAGGTAGAGTAGAAGTCCTCCCCTTGTCTCATGTCCAGCCCATAACGCAAAGCTTACCTCACACAGCACCTAGGGTTCGGCTTACGAAAGTTTCCGAGTTTTGTCAGAGCTTTCTGCAACCTGGGTGTTTCTGAGCCCCTGATGCGCTTGAGATTTGATTAATTTTAAGTACTCGGTCAAACAGAGCACTGTGCCAAAAAGAACCTCACCTAGCCCGGAATATCTGGAACACCAAGAATTTAAGCACGCGGGCACTAGTACTAGTGTGCCATTTAATCCAACGTTTAATAGGAAAAAGGAAAGAAAAAGAAAAACTAAGCTTTATAAAGTAAAGCTCATATGAAGGATAATTACAGGGAACCGTCAAACCCGTATGGATACAACTTCTAGAACCACGGCCCCACAAACAAGACAGAACATTTTGATCTGTTCACTACACGACTTTCGGATACTCCCGAAACCGTCAACCAGGCACAAAACTGGTTATCAATCTCTTTCTGCGTCATGCCGTAAGATGCATACACAGATAAAGTAAGCGAACTAAGCTCTACGTGACCCATTGGCCGGTGTACATATAGCAGCAATGAAATGATGTGAACGAGCCAATATCTGATCCTGATATCAAGCCCGCAATGTGCATTGGACATTTTCCCGCACATCTATCCGCACGCTTGGGCTGGTAGAGCTTTTAATCTTTCTTAGAGAAGCCTAGGTACTTCTTTGTTAGGTAAAGGGTAATTCGCGATTATCGCGGCTGCGGCTGCCCTACTATGGTTTGGCTGCACCTGCTGTAGATCTAGGTTCTGTTGTTATCCGGTTGATCGGATCGTGATTCGTCAGCGGCCCTCGATTGTGATTGACTGGCTTAACGATCGCGAGAGATGGGACGGTATTGGCATATGGGGCTATATCTGGGATTATATAGCTGCACAGTTCATATGGCACCTACCCAGCTACATGTAGCATCATCTCATACCACAGGTATATCTATGTTCAATACTCCAATTAATACGTAACCGCAGCCAATACCTCGTCATAGCACTCCTTTTGAAAGCCATAATAATTTATCAAGACGTGGGATTTCCACAAATTTTTACGTTCTGGTGAGATACGCCCAGAGCTGGCCACCACACCGTAACCCGATTGCAGGGTCCCATCCCATTCCATGATTGTTGAAGACAGAAATTTTCCGACAGTAGTATAACAACCAGCGAATCCTTTCGTTGTAAAAATATCCCTCATGTCAGGTGGCCCTACCATTCTATCCCGCTCTCTCAAACCTCTTGGCAAACAAGAAAAAAGTGATCGGCCAGCTCAACATCATCCATCATAGATATGATAAGGTGTTATTCTCAAAGACGCGTATCGAATCCCGTTTTTTCACACAGATCCTGGTTTATTTGGAATCATCGTGGGAATCGAAGAGATAATGGTGTTGTAGGGTTGGCTACTTTTTTTTTTTTTTTTTTTTTTGAGTGAGGAGTGGAGGAAAGGAGTACTATGCGGTAGAGAAAAACAGGGTATAAGTCATTCCTTACTTATTACTGGTCAGCCAATAGCAGGCTCTGAGTTCTACCACTACTAATACTACTAATAATTTAGTCCTTGGATCCTCTCTTTGATTTGTGTTGATCGCACGGAGCATGCTATGGCCAGTGCCAATATGACCTCACAGGTGATAAAGTCGCTTTTTTCTTCCTAACAAAAGCAATCACACGTCAGAATATCAAACCAAGTTTCTAGAAAAACTCTAGATTATTATATCCTCTCTGGGGCTAGCCGGTCGATGACCAAGATAAGGGTAACTCGGGATAAGGCAAAGCTGGCAACATCATCAGGCGATAACTGAAGTGAACCTTGCAACTATATAGACCCAGTAACCAGGCTCCCGGGTGTTCTAGAGTCACATGAAGAAGTTGTGGATTAGAGGTAGGTAGGTATGTACTCTACATACTGTGCGAGGTAACCCTGAATATCGGTGCATGCTGTATGTTGATCAGAAGGGGGGGGGGAATGTACTCTCTTATGTTAGCTGTGTGGAGATTGCCGTGTGTGTGTGCACCGGCCACCTCCACCACAGACGGCCATGCAGTTAGCTCGATGGCGGCAGCTAGCGGGCGCTCGGTGATCGGACTTTGGTGGAGAAACTGGATTGTTTCTTTTTTTTCTTCTTTTTTTTTTTTCAGTTGGGGTTGAGATAGATTATGGTTCTGCTAGCTAGCAGCTAGTGTAGAGCTTGGGGAGCTATGGAGCATTTGGTTATATACCTATATCTATGGCCCTTTTGAGAGAGCTCTTGTATAAAGACCTCTTGTGGGCCCTACCAAAGTTCAATTTTTGATCTCTACTAGCTATATATCGAAAACCCATATAATTTACTACCTCTACCCCATTAATTAGCAAGCTTACCAAAATGTTTACACCTCTCCCCTCAACCTCGGAGACAGAGACAGAGGCTCCCCCACGAGTCAGCATCCCCTCCTACCTCCTCCAAGACATTTTTACCCACCTTGACCTCTACGACATCATTGCCTGCCAGCAGGTATGCCGCCTCTGGAACGATATCTTGCAGACCCGCCGGTCTCTTCGCAGCAAGCGCTTCCTCGTGTCCACCCACCTCCTGCCCTCTCCGCCGGTGGAGAAATACACGCTACACCCCGTTTTTGGGCTAATTCATTTCTCGCCCTCACTGTGCGTCGCAGACACGACCTTAGGGCGCCGCGGTGATGGGCCAGCAGCGCTGTTGAAGGGCTCTCCGGTATGCGCGCAGTATGCGACAGACCCACCGACGGCCTGGGCAGCGTTCGAGGTGCTGAAATTCCATCCATACTGCGTAGTCGAGAATTCGGCGGGCGTGACGGTATGGGATGTGATGGTGGCGCTGGCAGAATAGTAAGTGAGAGATGTGATATATGTGGTGTGGTGTGTGATGAGGGGACAGTTGGCTAACCTGAATCGGCGCGAATAGTAAGATGAAGGAAGCCAAGATTAGCTTTGGAACATTCTTTGGGTCAACGATCTGCTCCAAGAGGAACTATGACCGTTCAAGGAGGATGCGGCATGTGGACTTCTTGGGGACGGAGAGGTATGTTGGTTTGCTTTCGATGATTGGTGTTTGTGGTTGCTAATGAGACTGTGTCCCGCAGTGTGTTCATCGATTTTAGCGGGAGAGACGAGAGGGATCCTAGGGTGTTTATTGGTACGTCATTTGAGGCGAGGGGCGGCTTGAAGAAGGGGAAGTTGTTTAAGTTTTGGAGCGCTATTGCGTTCTGCGATGAGGTGAAAACATAGCGCAGTTTGCTTATTGGTTTTCTCTCACTTTGTAGATACAGCTTATGTTTTGACGAATTTCGTTACTTTCTCTCCTTTTTTTCTTTTTCTTTCTCTTTAGCAAGCGTGTTCTTCTCTCATTTGTCTAGCATGCGCAGAAAGGGGTTTTTCATTCTTACCTTCACAGCGTCAATCATTTCATTACATTTCACTCTTTCCTTGTATCCATAATTCAGTTTGTAATTACTGCATCGTACGTAACGGCTTAATTCACTTCTGCAAGCCAAACCATTGATTGCCCACTAGCAGACGTCCCGATCCCTACTACCTGTCCTCAGAACAAGGCAAGCAGTACTCTCTGCGTTCAAAACAAGCGAGCTGCATTATTATTTGTTTCTGATTCGATCACATGTATGGACCGGATCGTAAGTCTTAGCCATTTCCACCTTCTTGATGGCTGCTGTCCCGACCGGCCGTGTCGGGGAGGGGGAGAAAAATAGTGAGAGGGCAGAAGTGGGGTCCTTTGTGCTACGCGGAATCGAAAACAGGAATCTTTGTGAGTGTGTTTTTTCATCGGACAACCAACATGCCAGGAAGAGATAGTCATACCGTACTCTTTCCCATTATATCAACTAAAGCCTGGAGCGCAAAGCTCATCACTACCAATATATGCATATATTAGGCCATTCATATGACCATTCCACACGGCCCGAACCTTCACTTCGGTTTCTGACACTAGCCCGGCATAGTAGAGTGAGTACTTTTCTGTTGAAACAGGATCGGAACAATGGGGACTTTCAGAATGTTCTGCAGATCATCGGATATGTCCTTTTTGAAAACGGGTGTTGGTGGATCCGAGGCAGGCGATGCCGTAAAAAGTGCAATAATTGACATGTATGTATGAAGTACCACAATTGTACAACATCTTTCCATAAGGTAAGCAATATAAATAGATGGCTAGATGCGAGATGAGAGGGCGGAGAGGAGTTTCATAGCTGGGAAACGTCTCTAACCCCGTTTCTACGCTACTATAGTCTAGTCTCTCATAGTCGTTCTTTTGACCATGCATACAGATTGGCATATCCTTTAAGCTTTACAAGGCTCTGGTTACGTGTCTTGCTCATACATACCAAAACTCCAAAGTGTAAAGGCTTAACAATGTCTCAATAGCTGGTTCTGGTTAGGTATGTACCTCTCAAGTTGTACATCTACATCGATGTAGATATGGCAGCCAAAGGGAAATGATCGGAATCCCATGATTTGAGCATCACTCCTCTGGCGTTAGTGAGGCTCTATTTGGAAGCGCTGGGCATTTCTCACATTTTTTTTGTGATCATATCAATTAGTAATCCTTTTCAGATGCATGGCCGCTGCAGGGCCTGCTACTGTGTTAGCTCCTTCGTCTAGTACCTAGTTATTCGCTAGATACCATGGGATTCCGAGATCGATCGGGAAGTTTCAACAGATTTGGCCGGCAGATCGAGTGTGTTGGGGATTACTCAACCTCGCCCGCCGTTAATGTCTCGGACGTAGTTGGCCTAAGAGAGCCTGTTTTATAATACCACTACATCCCTGGTTTGTAAGTATGCACGAATATGCACTTTCTTTCTCAAGACCTAGCCGGCTGATCAGTATTATTCAAAAGCCAGTACGAAACTAAGGGACAAAAAACATGAGGTATCTTCCGGGCTAGATCAGTCATCAGGGTTAACCGAGTGACAGCCTATGACGTGAATTTCTAGATCTGTACTCGGTGTCGAGCTACGCGAAACGGCAGCTCAATCATGCAGTAAACTTACATAACATAGATCTAAGAAATGCCGTGTCACTTCACGTATTTGATACAGGTTCTGATTGGCCCACTAGCGCTCCCGAATATTCGTAAACTGCATTGGAAAACTAATCTAGTAATGAGATTCTCAAGTCTTGCAATTGGAGGCGGGTTAGATACATGTAGAGTTGAAGGTACTATATTAGCCCGCGTACTATGTATATCGTGAAATCAAATCGACCAGGCTAAATTGCAGTAAACATATGGGCTACCTTCGCAAAGCTCAAATAGTATAAAATCATACTCTTGCCTCTCAATTCTCTAGCTTGAATTCTATTCTTGATCTCTTTCCCACAACAGTACCACACCCCAATAGGGGGTTTGCCCTACCCTCTTCGACCAGTTTTAGATACTGTTTTTTGCACGTACTCGGGCCAAACCTATAGCTCCCGCCAAGACTTACTATAGTATCCGATACTTGCTTCCATTTCACACCCAAAATAGACGGATCAACTATCTCGAGAAGTAGTTCGATCTGCTCTTGTTGGTTAGTACACCAAAAAATATCATCTTAGGTGGAGTGATTGAATGACAAACATCCTCTTCTGTCCATTGTGGCTTCCTCAACCTTTCGCTTTTGGGCTTCGTTAAAGTTCTTAGTCTTCCACGGAGAGTACTCTCGGCTTCATTGATTCCAAGTTTCTTCTTGATGGTACGATAGCTAATGCCTTCGGATCTCCACCGTAGGAGTAGCCGATTTTGCTCCCTCAATAGCTCTTTTGAATCCGGTAGCGGTCTTGAGATGAAGGAGGTAGGGGTCGAGGCTGGTGAAGGCGAAGGCATATCATTGTCGGACATGGTCGCTTCATCGCTATCTATGAATTCTTGGTCTGAGAGAAACCTAGAAAAATCGTGATATTTTTCAATCCCTTCAGGATCGAAGATGCTCTTTGGTGGAGGTGTGGAGGGGAGTTTGAGCTTAGAGAGATGACGAGGGGATATTGTAATGTTGGGCTTGGGGCTTCTTCCGGGATTCCGAATACGTGTGAGAAGTCTGGCTGATTTCCCGGTAAGCTTATTAAAATTATACGGCGGAATCATGCGGGGTTCGGGAAGCAATACGTTTTTCAAATCTAAATTAACTAGATCGGAAGCTAGTTGTGATAGATAACCACTTTTGAGTGGCGCATATGCATCCACAGTGTAGGTGGCGGTAAAAGAAGGATGTGTAGCTGTGGGATGTGGTGGTATCGATAGTTTATCGCTTCTTTGAGGATCCTCGGCGTCCGATGATTCAATGGGGACGAATGGAATTGAGGACGACGTTTCATTAAATCTGGAGCAAATATCATTATTTCGTTTTCGTTTCGAGGCCCGTGGGTTAGAAAAGGGTAACGGGTGGTAGATTTCATGGCTTTCCTCTGCAGGATAAGCCTGAGTGATAGATGACATATTCTGGGTTTCTGGTTCCGGGAGTGTTGGTTTTAGTCTGAAGATACAGGTATCCACAATCTCTGGGAAGAGATCGACAACAGCTTGGTGAGCTGCGGCTGTGAAACCGGGAGTACCGGGCTTAAAGGGGATAACGGCTGTGGTTGGGATAGTAGAGACGTATTCAGGTGAGTTTGGCGGTGCCTTTATGTTCTCCGGGGTGTTTGGTTGTGTTTTATTATCTGATAGCAAACTCCTAGGGGTTCCCGTCCCCGCTGCTGTGCGTATACCCACCATCTCATCCTGTGTTTCCTCTTCTTTCTGTTGCTCTCCAATATCAAGTGGATATTGTGTGTCAAAGCTCCAATCTTGATCCTCCTGATGATAGTAAGGAGGTGAAAATTTGCCATAGGATTGTACTAAGATGCTGGATTCCCTGGGATCAGGCTGGAACTGTAAAATTGATAAGTTAACTGACATGACGTGACTTTAATTAGATGACTACGTATAAGACGCCTGTCATGGAATTACAACCCACCCAATCAACATCATCATCAATGAACCTGCTCTTTTCCTGTGTTTCTTGTGGTTCCCACATTCCTATGTGGTGTATTCCTGGCACCGGCCGGTCCGCAAAGATATGTCCAAAGCTGGTAGAAGACGTCTATTAACTCGGGAATAATTAGATGTCATGGTGTTATTTCCCGACCTTTATTTGTCACTTTGGATTATATTAGAGGCGAGAATAGACTGGTTACCTTTATATCAGCGTCATATGAATGCCAGATACTACCTGAAGGACTAGGATCCGATTCCATAACCTAAGTAATCTTTTGTTAGTACAATAACAGTAGATAGCAATGAGTCCTAACTACATACTGCAATCCTCGGTCCTAGGTAAACACTGATATCAGACTTATTCCAACGTCTAAATAAATCTTATCGAAGGAGTAGGAGATTAGTGAGGTATCCAGAAACAATAATTCGTGTAACTGGCTCGTTTATAAGGCGATTTCCGAACTTATTGATGCCTCTAAGGAGTTAAATCATATAGAAGTCGCACCTGATGAGATAAGATTGCTTTCTTGGAATGGTAAGGAGCTTTTAAAATCAAGACGTTCGTGATATCAAATAAGCAGGTGACTTGTGGTCAAACACGTAACGGTGTACGCGTGCGTCAAATTTTTTTCTGCAGCCGGAATCGATTTTCCTTCAACAGCAGTTGCAACTATGGCTTGGGCTGTTGTAGCTGTTGTTATAGTTTTTGATCCGGTATTCATACCTGTCTTTCTGATATAGTCGGCAACTGGCCACGAAGCCACATGGTCAGGTTCAGGTCTTATAAAGCAAGATGAGAATAATGTACATGTGCGACAAAGCGAGCGAATCAGAAACCCGCGGGTGATCTGTATATATGATTCTAGAAAGCTGGTCCTCTGCAGCGTTTCTACTGAAGATACACAAGACTCACATCATCTCCTAAGCAAACCTGGTTTCCGTATACACATTGCGTCTTGATTCCAACACTTTCTAGTCGTGACAGTGTGTGTGACGGACAAGAAAACTTGGGTCCATTGACTAACATGCACACAAGCCTAACCTCTCCATGATAAGACTCTTCATGAAAGCAGTGTTGTCCCTCAACTCGCCACTCGCGTCAACTTCGGGAAAAAAGACAAGCAAAGTTTAATAAAGACATATGCAGCGTGCGGGATTTAACCCGTACCCCCCACTCCTTGATGTGTAGATGCTCCGCTACCCGCTGGGCACTGAGAAAAAGGTGAGTACCTCCCTTTCTCCATATTGTTTCTGGTATACCGGCATTCGATACCCCATATTGGGAATTCCGAGGAGAATGTGCATATGCCAAATGTCTAAGTGACATGATCAATCCTAGCCCTGCAGCAACTTGGATACTGGTTGTTCAAGCATACGAGCGACAAGTGCACCTTTTCCAGCTTGACTGTTTTCTAATGACTATATTGCTATTCATATAAGACCAATCGTACGTAGGGAAAGTCATATGTAGTTTAATCAATACGATCTAGAGTAACTGTCCTTACGTGATGAGCACCGCTATATCTCTATTACTACTGCAGCTGGGTTTCTTTCCAGAATTGATATCCAACCCCGCACCATCTTACCAAGTTAGCCGGAGAATTGCTGGGACCCTTGAATCTATATAACAATGGTTATTTATGGCCTTTGTTCTCTCCACCCTATCACTCACTGAGATGTGCGTAACCGTCACACTAAAACACTACCGTTCCCCTGAAATGTTGAGACGAAAGGTACTGTCGTTCACGGGGTATTGGCGGGTACTGGGTGTTGGCGGATAAGTCTAAAAAGAGACAGCCAAGCCAATTTTTGGCTTCAATCCGCCAACACCCAGTATCCGCCAATACCCCGTGAACGACAGTACGTATAGTAAAGAGAATTATATAAACCCCTACCATAATTACAGTCCTTAACCTATGGCCATGGTCGATATAATTTGTAGGGTATAACGTGGCCGGAGCCTCGGGTATTTTTAGTGAGACGTTTAGATACATAAGTAAGTTTTGGGCGGAAAAATATGATCGATCGACCAACCCAATACAAAAGGACTTTTCTGCCTTTGGGTTAAGTGGATGTACATGTACATGGGGGAGTGAGGGGCAAAAATTACCAACTCTATTCTGACTAGGGAGGTTTTACTTTTTATTTTTCCCACCAGAAAAACAACCTGCTCATGGCCAAGAAGCATTGGCTTGTGAGTATATCCTCTAGTGTAGGAAATCCTCATTGGCTAGAATACTTCAAGTAGCTCGAAAGTCTAGTATGCTTAAACAGGATTGTGATGCTTCGAATTTCCGCCACAGGGTACACCCACCACAGCGTCCAGAGCTCGAGCCACAGGGCTTTTAACATAGAAGTTTTAAACGAGAGCTGCATCTAACACTACAGTGAAAGGTAGAAGCAGGGGTCTGTGGGCAGAGCCTGTATTTTTGGTAAGGCCAATAAGATTTTCCAATACATCAACAGTAATTCCACCACATGCTGTAGTGATTTCAACTTGCGATCGTCAAGCTGTAGGTATTGTTTGACTTGACGAATGAGCAGCTGCCAACCATGGGCTCCACCTTGATTGTATATTTCTGTCATCCCCTCCTCTTCTGCAGCGGAGATGTATTCACCCTTGCCCGCTCTTTCCTTTCATCAGAGAAATGCCGGCACTTTTATGAACATTTTTTCTGCAGCGTGGTTTCTGAAGCATTTAAGTTTTGATAGGTTCGCGTCCTAATCCTTGATGCCCCCTGATATCATCTACCCTAGCGTCTGAATGTGTCAAAAAGCTCTAGCTAGATACTATCACCGGTAATGCAGCATGCCGGCTAGGCACCAGGATAGAGATGATCACAAAGCTTGCGAGTGATAGGTTGTGACTAAGGATTTTGCTGTACAAACTTATGCTCGTGCCATTCTACATTCATAGATAATAAAGACAAAGAACTTCTATCCATTTCTTATTCCCCAGACTAAAGTTGACAAAGAGGGTGAATGATAAACCCTTGTCTTCTACTCGACGTTGTGATGCACTTCCCCAACGTTGCAGTGCACTTCCCCAACGTACGTAACCGGCATTACTATTAATTCTTTGTGGCATTAGACCTTCTTTCCGTACACTGAAAGTTCCAGGCTACTTTATTCTAGAACACAACAGTAAATGGCTTATCTTGAACTGCCGATAGCCCTAATGATACAGGATGAAACGTAGTATAAGCCTGGTGTCTACTTACGGGTTTCGTACATCCCGCAGTGTACATAGAACGGAAGGTCTAGGTCTATTAGCAGATCATGTATTGCAGTGGGATTGCGGCCCGAGCCGGGCAACATAGGGGCCTGAGCTCATGAAGTGTGAGGCTGAGAGGAAACGAGAAAGGTTGTATACGATGACCGGGGTTTTTTGTGGTAAAACGATGAAACATGGTGTCATGTTTGCTACGTGTAGTCTTGTGATTCTTGGTTGCCACGCAACATTAGCCAGTGCCAAAAAGACCATCTCCATTGTCCTCCGAGACTCTGTGAGATCTTTCCGGGATTTCCCGGGATTATTTCTGCTTTGAATTTTCTCAGTAAGAGTCAAATGGTTGAATTTGTGTGCAACTCCCGAAACAGTCTCGGTTGGTTTAAAAATGCTAGTGGAGTACCAGGTGAACTCCGGAATCGTAGGTTTATTCGGAATAAAATTCTCGGAGGCTTTAGGAGTCCTTTGGGGCCTTTTGAAAGCCATTCAAAGCTCCACCCCGGGAGCTATATTCTTTGTTGTGACGCAACATGCGCTATGGATTCATACGAGAGAACAGCTTTCTAGATGGTATATAGCGGCTCAAATTTCCATAAAAACTCATTAGTAACTTCCAATCGCCTGTGAATTCCCCACACAAGGGAATCTAATCTGTCGGGCTCTTTTTGGATGTGTATGTCAAGCTGTTATTCCTGGAAGGAATAGATCATAGTCAAGGTTCAGGCTAGTCATAAGAAGAAATTATGGCGGACCTAGTTCTCACTCTTTATTCTAATGCTTCTTACTCGCTGTGATGTTGATGAAAGGTTCGATTGGCTGGGTGTATGTATAAGAAGGAATATGAAAAGCAAAATTTGGTGAAAGACTCGGGAAAGAAGATTTAATTCAACCTTCTCCATGACAGTATTCTGAGCCATAGAGCTCATGGATCTTTGACCTGGAGGATCAGCTGCAGAGGTGTCTGGTAATAGCTGCTTAAGTCAATGCTGGCTATTGAATGCGTCTGAGTTAGCTCATATATATCCTTTTCGCTATGCCGCTGAATAAAGCACTAGTTGCTTATAGCCGTTGTGGGTAAAACAGCGAAATCGGAGCAGATCTAGATAGGTGATCACAAAGGTATGGTTTGGCAGCCTGTGCTCTTTTAAAGGCGACAATATAGGTTGTGTCGAATTCTGTTTTTGGAGTTTCTCAAAACGATCAGGGAATACTTGAGGGTTAACGACTGAAGAGACTTTAGGAGATCGTTGGAACCGTGTATATATGTTTATCATGGTTTTAGTAGTTATATCTAACTTGATATTGGGTAAGAATTAAACCCAGCCACCTGTGCCACCACCATTAGCCACTTGTACTACCAAATTCAACTCACCTCCGCAGTCTCAAATAAATCTACCGGTACTCCCAAGACGTATACAGAAATACTCCATGGATTATTTGAAGATCTAGGCTTTATGCAGGCTGATCTGGAAGAAGTGGAGGATGCACGAGTTTTGTAGAGAGGATCGAAGACTAGGCCGGGCAAATAAAAGAGTTTGTCTAGACGTTGATTTAAGGTTCTTGGCTAGCTAGATTCAGACGAATGAGACAGAGCCCCTTCCCGCAGTATTCGCGCCCCACACGACCACCACGATCAGACATCAAATTGCTACGTATGTACATGAACTACATACAGTATTCCTAGCATGACGCAGCAACTTAATAAATAAATGTACGCTGGGGTCATCATAAAACCCTCTACGTACAAGCAGTAGATATTTAAAGTTCAAATATGCCAATATTTCACATCATTTTGGGGGTGATCCATGACTAGCTAGAAGCGAAAGCATGTGGACTAATTCAAATTCTATGTGTTCTGGCCCTCAAGTTTATGATCCATTTGATTAGTATCCATTCTACGTACGTCCATGTGGTCTTCAGCGCTTTGGCAAACTACACGCACACCCATACAGGAGTTTAATAGCAAGTTATAAAGAGTGTAAAGCTATCCTACGTAGTAAATATCAGGGTCATTCCCCCAGCTATGTAATTATAAGTCTACGCACTACGAAATTAGTACAATTTAAAGTTAGTACACATTAGTTCACTGCCAAGATATCTACTAAAGATAAAGATTTACATAGACCCCTGCTCAACATCAGCTCTGGTAGCTCAGTGGTTAGAGCATGCGATTGCAGATCGCAGGGTCGATCGTTCAAACCGGTCTCAGAGCTTTTGATTAAGTTTTTGTCAGTGTATTATATCATCGGCTTCTTTATAAGTTCACGGCGAGCTATATCCAGTTCTAGCACTCCCTCTCATCTAGCACTGGACCGTCCTGGTTTGTGGCCAACATTTATAGCTATAGGCTCTGTTTCTTCTGGATAGACGGTTAATTCCCTTTGAATAATACTCTATATGGTGGTTTGCTTGACTTGGGATCAAAGTAAAAACGCCAAGAAATTTCGCGGGACAAATGTTTGTACAACCCATTTCATCCCGAGAGAAGTCAAGTCATATATTAAGCCGCCCATGTTAGTACGTGTAAGCACATTAAGTACACTGTAACGGATATACATGTATCTACATACATGTATATAAAGCTGGAAGCCGGCACGTTCAGATGGGGCGACAAAACCTTTTATATGTTCATATACATGTACATATATGTACTTAGCTATCATATTCGGCCCGCAGCTACGAATATCTCTTTCGGCCAAGTGGCGTGGGGCAGATAGTGGGGGAATGTTGTAAACAAGACTTGGTGCAGACATGGTGCTACATTTATACTACATGTAGGTACCGTTACATGTCCTTCACACGCATACCTACATCGCTGATGCAGAGAAATGAGGGAAATCCCGCTTTGGAGAATTAACGCCGCAGAGAACACTCTGAGCAATTAATACATATCATTGGTGGGGACTAAACCCTTTTAAAGTGTCCAAGAGACATGTGTGTACCTTTTTCCTCATCATGTTGTCTCCCAGTACTTGAAGCACCTGTCTTCATCTGATCCCGACCTCAGGCGCATCTCGGGCGAGCTAGATTCCGCGAAGGAATCGACTCAACTACATTAGAGGTAGTTTCCAAGGAATATCATTGTCCGCCTTCTTATCCGGGTATCTGCCTCATGATCAGAGTCATCTGTCCAAACAATCTGGATGTGATGTCCTATGGAGGTACAGCATACATATAAACTCTTAGCAACCATTAATACGGACAACTACGACTGGTCATTTTACGTGCGTCGAACCTGGGGTACAGTAATTTATAGTATTTTACCCCCTATATACTTCTTCATTATAGGGCCTCAAGTCCACCCTACACACCGGTTGATCGGAGGACCACGCCCCCATACATCTCACCTATAGCTACCGTCAATATTATCTCACCAGGGATTAGAGGGTGAAAAGCATGGTCCTCGTAAGATGAAAACCTCTACCATGTGCAATCTCGGCGAAATTCAGCCCGGTGATGGTAGTGATCATAAGTAGGGAGATAGTACTTTGAGCAGCTTTGGACCCCAATGTACAAAAGAGGCACCGTGGGATGAAAATTACGGAACTGCTTAACGGCCCGACGTTATAGACGCATGTGCCACATCTTCCCGGAGACCAGAGGCGGATTCTCCGCTGTAATCCGACTCCAAATGATTACCCAACCAAAACCAAGCTTTAGGGAATGAGGACAATATCCGTAGCTGGTGGTACATTGATGTTACCAGGCAATCATGCTACCTGTCAAAACAAGACGGTGCATATGGTACTGATCAATACGCCTCGCTTTCTGGGTCATCTGCACATTTGGAGAGCTATGTCGTATTGAGGGAGACATACCTAGATACTGAGCAGACAACCAAAATGTCGGGGTTTGAGCTAATTACACAGGGGTAATAGAGTGTAGGTAACATTAACTGTACTCTATATACCACATGCCATGGGTGTATATCTCTATTTCGACATGCAATGCTCCGGGGAATACACCTGTAAGTGAATGAGTAAGCAACCTCGAGTAGAGGGTAAGATTCATATCCGTAGCCTACGGAATTAAAGTGTTGATGTTCTAATGTAAGTTGTTATGAGCGCTCGAGCAGACTAAAGTCGCATCAACTTGTCGAGATACACTAGCGGAATATTCTGTCGAAACCCCGGTCGCCGGCTGCTGGAACAGCATTCAAAGATTTCCGCAAGTGTATCTTCAAACTTCAATCTGGCATACAGGGACGCGTCTCCCCGCACCCCGCACCGCCATCTGAAGCAGGTACAGGTTTTGCCTGGGCAGGAGTACTGCAGTGCTAGCGTACAAGGATTGTAGGGGATTAATTGGGTCGACTCCTATTGGCTCTGGGCACTCTCGGTAAAAAGTAAACCCATGATCCTTGCAGCTTACCAGGAGACTCGGGCCTAGAGACCGTTATTAATGATCAACAGGGGAGAAGAGAAGGTTGTCGATCCGCCCGTTGGAGGCGGTTTAATAAGTTTAATAAGCAAATAAGCCTTTTTCGTGTGTAAGGACGAGCTATCGGAGGCTTCCGTCCGTTAACAGAAACCTCCTATGTAGTAGATAGTCATTGATTGATACGTAGGAAAACCGATTCTACCGCAATACCCACGGATACTCTACCTCTACCCTAGTGTTAAGGTCGTGCCCCAATCTAAAGTGATGCCGTCGAGTTTGCTAGCTCGGAGATTCCCCACACATGTGCGGAAAAACGTGTGAACGTACCGGCCGTCATTGTCTTCTGTGCTGCATAGGCAGGTAGGTACTGCTTCATGCATGCATTATACGGGCCCAACTGCAATTACCATGTACCCCAGGAAACCTCACTTTCCAGGTGCATGGCGTACCCAGAGGTCCACCGCACTAACGATGGAATGAACCATACGATTTCTCTCACCTCCTCATCTATCACTTCTTTCTAGCCATAGGAGATCTCGGGAGTCAATATAAGAAGCCCATTGATCCCCTATGATCTCCCGTACCATCTCTCTCAAGAACACAAGAGACAGACGACCCACTCAACCCACCCAACCCACCAACCAAATCCGGTTCCGGTGATAGTCTTTCCTTTACTGAGTCGCCAATATGAAAATCTCTTTCTTCTACCTGTTGTCTGTGTTGGGTCTGACTAGTTCAGGTAAAACACATTCCCCATATTAGAAACCGTGTTTATACCCACCCGTACTAATCTTTTCTCGGCGTGAATGATAGTACTCGCACAGTCAACAACTGAATACACCGACCCTACAACGGGGATAATCTTTCAGCGCTTCCTGACCAGCTCATATGGGGGCTTCAGTTTTGGAGCCGTCTTTCCGAGCGCACCAACCAATGAGTTTATTGGGCAGATTGTGAGCATCTTTATTACTATTGATATTGAATTAAAGTGCTGATGATCTATAGGTCGGCCCTATCGGAGGATGGTCCGGTGTCAGCTTTGGTGGAGGCATGAACGGCAACCTCCTCAGCGTCGTGTGGATGAATGGAAATGAAATTGTACAGTCGTTCCGCATGGCCTCGTAAGTCTTCCGGAGAGTAGGTAGCAGTGGAAGAGCAGCGCTGATAGTCCCTTAGTGGCTACCTTGAGCCCACAGTCTACTCTGGCACCGCCTCCAGCATTCCTCTCTACACCAGTTCCAATGCCACCCATTTCTCCTACACTTTCCGCTGCGTCGACTGTGTGACCTGGACCGACGGTGGCTTTGACCCCACCGCCGACTTTACCGTTATGGGATGGGCCCAGAGCACCGCCCCTGTCGACGATCCCACTGACCCTGCCTCTACATTTGAGGAGCATCAAGGGTTCGGTCAGTACGGTGTTATCCTTACGAGCGCGAGACAGTCAGGGTATGAGGGGTGGCTTGCAGCTGCACCGACGCCCACTGCGGTCCCAACTACTACTATTGCAGTCAGTACTACCGCACCCACAGCGACACCCACAAGCACAACGGTGCTGGGCACGTATGATTATATTGTTGTTGGTGGTGGTGCAGCAGGGTTGGTTGGTAAGTTGATCATTGACCCTTCTATATCAACGACGTAGTTAGTATAAGGCAGCTGGCTAACTGATATCCATGGCAATAGTTGCGGACCGTCTGTCTGAGACCGGTAAGAGCGTGCTTCTGATCGAGCGCGGTCCACCAAGTACCTACAAGTCCGGAGGCACCGTTGGACCCGCCTGGCTGGCAGGAAAGGGCCTGACACGTTTCGATGTGCCGGGTCTCTGCAATCAGATTTGGGTAGACAGCGCTGGTATTGCCTGTAATGATATTGACCAGATGGCTGGGTGCGTCCTCGGCGGTGGGACAGCCGTCAATGCGGGACTGTTCTTCAAGCCCCAGGACAGAGACTGGAACGATAACTTCCCCACTGGATGGAAGGCCACTGATATGGTCTCTGCGACCAACAAAGTCTTCACACGTATTCCCGGCACTGATAACCCATCTAGCAACGGCGTACGCTATCTGCAGGCTCCTTACACCGTTCTCTCCAGCGTGCTAAAGACCGCTGGATGGTCAGAGGTCACCGCAAACTCGGTACCTAACCAAAAGAACCGCACCTTTTCCCACTCGCCATTCATGTACGCCAACGGCGAGCGTGGCGGGCCCCTCGCAACATATCTTCAGACCGCAAAGGCCCGCTCCAACTTTGCCATCGCCGTCAACACGACCGTCATCAAGACGCTGCGTACCGCTGGCCATATCACCGGTGTGCAGGTGACGCCCTCCTCCACAACTGTCGGCGGGAAGCTCGGAGTCTATAACGTTACCCCCACCACCGGCCGTGTGATTCTCTCTGCCGGTGCCTTTGGGACACCTAAGATCCTCTTCCGCTCCGGTATCGGCCCCACAGACCAGCTGAACGTTGTAAAGTCCTCTCTGGAGGGCGCCGCAATGCAGGCCACGAGTGAGTGGATCCGTCTCCCAGTGGGTTATAACGTCCTCGACCACACAAACACAGACATGGTCTTTAGCCATGCCAGCGTCACAAGCTATGACTTCTACGCTGCCTACGACAACCCAAACACCACCGACATGAACCTCTACCTGAACCAGCGCGCCGGAATCCTCGCCACCGCCGCCCCAGGCCCAAACACCATGCTCTGGGAGTCCTTCCTCGGCACCGACGGCATCACCCGCCAGCTGCAGTGGACCGCCCGCAGCGAAGGCTCGCTCGGCCAGGAGGGCACCAACCTCGTCACAATGTCGCAGTACCTCGGCACCGGCGTCACCTCGCGCGGCCGCATGACCATCACCAGCTCGCTCAACATGCAGATCAGCACCTCTCCCTTCCTTCGCGACGCGGCCGATATCGATGTGGTAGTGCGCGGCGTCCAGAGCGTGCTCAACGCTGCCAGGGATAAGGGCGGCATCACGTTCATCAGGCCCGCGGCGGGCGTCACGGCGCAGGAGTATGTCAACTCGTATGTCGACAGCAGACGCTCTAACCACTGGATCGGGACCTGCAAGATGGGCACCGACTCTGGGCTGGCGGGCGATGGAACAACTGGCAGTGTTGTGGACGCTAACACGAAGGTCTACGGAACCGACAACCTGGTTTGTGATCTCCCTTCCTTCCTTCCTTTTGCTCCCCCTCCTCCTCTTCTGTCTTCCATGAGACAAGACTGAATGACTGACAAAAACCCTTAGTTCGTCGTCGACGCCTCCATCTTCCCCGGCCACGTCACCACAAACCCGTCCGCGCCCATCATGATCGCGGCCGAGAAGGCCGTCGAGAAGATCCTCGCCTTAGCCACCGGGAGCACGACCCCCGTCCCGCAGTACAGCCAGTGTGGCGGTATCGTAAGTCCCCCTCTCCCTTCCTCCCTCTGTTTGTGCCTTGATGCGGTGTGGTGTGTGTGTGTTTGATGATGAGATGACAATGGATGCTAACGGTGGAACGATGATAAAAACAGAATTACGTGGGATCAACCGTGTGTGCAACCGGGTATACGTGCACTGTCCTTAATCCGTACTACTATCAGTGCTTGTAGTTAGTTGTTGGATAGTGGCTCTCGTTTCTTTTTGGTTTGGCTTTTGATTTTGGTTTTGGTTTTGGTTCGGTTTCGGCTCTTACGTTCTTGTATACTTATCTTGGTTATATATCGAATCCTTCTTTGCATGCCCTTGTTGTGTTTGTGTGTGCAAACAACTGTTGGATACATGTGTCATGGGTTGCAAAAGATTCCACGCCCCACCACAATTCTCAAGAAAGTTGAATCCTCCCTCCTAAGCACATGTCAATGACCACAAACACATCTTTTCAGAAACCCTGACCCTGTCGCCCAACTCGAAAAGTAAAATAAGCGAGCAACACCACCGAAGGATGAATTTCGCAGCCCAGAACCACTCAAGAACACACAAGAACGAACGAGTGCTGGTGTTGGAGAGGTTGAGAAAAATGTAAAGACAAGCTCTGAGACCGATTTGAACGATCGACCCTGCGATCTGCAATCGCATGCTCTAACCCCTGAGCTACCAGAGCTGCTTGCTTTATCCGGGTAATTTGCGCGGTCAAGAAGTTCACAACTAATTTAGCGCTACGGCAGTGGAGTTTACCCGGCCGGCTGAATGTCTGCCGAGTGATGGGTTGTGCTTAATTATTTACTTTTCTGGCTACATTTCTAAAAGATCACTCAATTGTCTTTAATAATCTATATAAACCGGCATATCTACAAACAAAACTCCACTCACAGCTTCGCCCCCCCACTCCCACTCGCACCCCCACTCCCCGCCACCTCCCTCCCCGCAACCCTACAACACACCTCCGCCAGCCTCCTCACGGCCTCCACCTGCCCCTCCGTCGCCCCATTCGTCACGGCGCCCTTGACATGGCCCCTCAGCTGCGGGTCCACATCCTGCGGCACCAGGCCCGCCACAACAAGCAGGCTCGTGTCGCGCGCACCGAGCACCGCCGTGTTGCTGAGCACGTGCGCGTACAGCAGCTCGGCGACGACGCCGAGGTCGTCGTAGGCGTGCACCATGTTGCCCATCACGCGGGAGGTGACCTTGCCGTAGAGCGTGCTGAAGAAGGTGTTTCCGCGGGCGAGGAGCGGGGAGGGGGGCGTGGTGAGGGTGCTGCGGCGGCCGGTGGGGGAGGGGGGAGCAGGTGGGGGGGCGTGGCGGTGGTGAGGGCGGTGAGGGCGTTGATGGTCTGGTGGTGGGAGGGGTTAGTAGGTGTGGTTGTGGTTGTGGTTGTGGTTGTGGTTGTGGTGGGGTGGGGTGGGGTTGGTCCGCGGCCGCACCACTCCGCGGAGCAGCTAGCTGGCTAGTGCGGGATATGACGGGGAAGAGAGAGAAAAAACGTACCACCGGCAACCCGCAAATGACCACACTCTTCAACAGCGCCTCTCTAATCTTTCGATGTATCACGAGCGCACTCTCCCTTCCCTCCTCCTGCTCCGCCATCCTCCCCGCCAGCTCCCTCTTCACATACTCCTCCTCGGCGCTGCCCGGGATGGCGACGTTCTCGAGCGCGTAGCGCCAGATGCGCGGTATCTCGTCGGGCCGGTTGAGCGCCGAGAAGGCGACCGAGGCGAGGAAGTAGAATGTGTGCTTTGGCAGCGCGGGGTTGTGGTGGAAGCTGCTGAGGAGCTTGTGGGTTGCGAGGGCGGCTGGGCGGGGCATTGCTGCTGTGTGTGGCGGGGGTGCGGGTGCGGGTGCGGGTGCGGGTGCGGGTGGTGGTATGGTGAGGTTACTATAGCTATAGCGCGGGGGGGGGGGGGGGGGCGGGTATCTACAGTGGTGGTGGTATATAGTAAGGAAGGCGGTATAGCTAGCTAGCTGTAGGTGTACTGTGGGATTGTGGTGGTGCTGCTGCTGGGCGTTAAGGTGCGGATGTGATATGGAGGACTGCAGCTTGCGAGAAGGTTTGTTGTTGCAGGCAGGCAAGTGTAGAACCTCGGCCCGACCCGCGCGCACCCCATCACATCCCCATCCCCATCCCATCTCCATCGATATCAATAATATATCAAACTATGATCTATCTATATCTGCCTGTGCCTGTCTGTGCCTGTGCCTGAGTTCCAAGTTCCCCAGTGTAACAAACTGCACTGCACACCACCCACCACCCACCACCCCTCCTTCTTCACTCATCATCACCCCACCACCCACCACCACCCGCCACCACCCACTACTGCTCCCCATCTATATATGTATCTACAAATAACCCAAGATCTATCAATGGTAATATTTAGTGACGGAAATAGCCGGGTAACTAATAAGCAATTATCTGCTACATAGCTAGTTTAACCCCCCATTCCAACCCCTGAGTTGGAATGGGATGGATGGATGATGGATTGGAAAACGATGCGTCAGATCACTTGCAGTCACTCGCATCGTCGGATACTCACATACATGTATCTGAGTTAACCCTTTTTTTTTTTTTCTCTTTTTTTCTTTCATAACCCTCACTCACTTAATTCCTCCCACCGAGTTACCGACTCGTAAGCTCATCGTGGTACATGTCGTCATGCATCCCTCCCTCCCTCCCTCCCTCCCTCCCTCCCTCCCTCCCTCCCTTTCTCACTTAATTACTAGCTGTCAGTACCTACAGTGCTGTTTCTCATATTTTCTCATAGATGTGGCAAAAAACATAATATTTATATTGCACTGCACCAACGGGACGTTTTCAATGCGTTGAACCCCCCAAAAAAAATAAAAAATAAAGGCTTGGTGTGGCCCCCTTTAATTCATCTAGATAGTCCGTCCCCATTGTCTCTTTCTCCAGTTTTCTCTCTCTCTCTCTCTCTCTCTCCCTACTCAAGGAAAAAAGAAAAAAAACATAGAAAAAACATAGAAAAAAGCAAAGATACTAGTAAACCCAAAATCCTCAAAAGCGCCCCTTCCATATGCCAAAATGTGTGTGTGTGTGTGTGTGTGTGTGTGTGTGTGTTTCTTTTTCTTTTTTTTTTTGGCTTTCTTGCGAAAAAGAAAGAAAAAAAACGGTGAATTCATATCCACACCACTACCACTACCACCACCACATGCTCCCTCCTCCCGGATATCCCAATCATTCCCCAAAACAGCTCAGCTGAGGTAAACATAAGAAACCCAAAAGAAAAAAACAGAAAAAAGGTACACCGTCCCGTTGAAAAAAAAAAAAAGATCCCAATCATGCTAAATCGTAAAGGAAATAAGTTATTTTTGTTTTGCTTTGGGGTGGGATCGCAAAAAAAACAACCAGAAAAAAAAAAAGACCCGCTTCCCAGCCATCATATCATCGCTATCGTGAGATCAGAAAGAGAAAAAAAAACATAACACCGTGAAAGAAAAATGCAACGCCAAAATGAACAAACAAAAAATAAAGGAAATAAAAAAGGGTTAATACAAAAATAATAGACATAGAAGGAAATGAGATAAAAGAAGAACAAAAAGAAGAAACGTCAAAAGATTGAAACTAATATTATCTCGCTTCTCCCACAATCCCACTTGATGTGGACTGCGCAGTCTTGCTGGGCGCCGCGTCCAAAAAGGCCTCGGCGCGCCTCATAGTCCAGAAGTCAAGGTCGGAGACATACGAGTCTCCGCCGAGGGGCGCTCTGACTTCCCACTCGGTGCTCATCATCATCTCATCACGGCACAACAGCTTTGGTCCGTCGAAAACCATCAAACATCTTCGCTTCGTCACCATCTGTTCTGGCTGGCTTCCCCACCCGGCTGGAAAGTTCTTTCTCTTTCTTGGGCGCGGGCGAGAGGCCGGCTTTTGAATGGAGCCACCCCCGATCACTCGGGAGTGAGTTGATTGTCACCTCGGACGTGAGCCACCGCTTCCGTTCCCGGAAGCGGGCTTCTTTGCTCCCCCGCGAGTGGCTCGCTTGGATCCATTGCGTCCAAGCTTGCCGGTGGACTTGCGGCCGGGTGGGGTAAAGGTTTCATCCTTTCCGTCATCGGCACCGTCTTCACCCTCCTCGGCAAGGTCGTCCTCTTCCTCGACATCTTCCTCGTCCTCCTCCTCCTCATCTTTGTTGAATCGCTTTCCCTTCTCTGAAGCCTCTTCCATGTCTTCTAGCTTGACCGAGTCAAGATTCATTTCGTTGAATGCTGCAGCTGGCTCCTCTTGGACAACCTTGAGCTGCACGCACTCATCCAAATGCTCGTAGAACTGCTGAGCAGTGGCGAAGGTGACCGCGCAAATACTGCACTTTCCGGTGATGTATGCGCCAGAAAAGCGGTCTTCCTCCGTAGGAGACGCAGTGAAAGAACCTTGCTTTGATCCAATCTTCTTGCGGCCGTTTGGAGGCGTCTGCTCGACATTGTGTACAGACATCAAGTGGCGCTTAAACACGTCTGCACGGTTGAACGACTTCTCCACTGCCGACCCGGATCCAGGACAGAACCCGCACACCATTGTTCCCTTGTAGTGTGTCAGGGTGTGTCTTTGGCAGTCATATTTTCTAGCAAATCCCTTTTTCGAGTATTCACATGTTGCGATCGGACACTTCACTGGTCGCTCCAACTGATGGGTGAGTTGATGTGCCCTGAGATCCCTAAAACTCTTGTTGCACTCCGGGCAGACTGTATCCTTTCCTGATGATCCAACACCACTATGGCTGCTTGGGACGCTGGCAGAGCTGCTTGGTGCCCTGACCCCCCTTGATCGGTGGGACTCGGCACTTGCAGCCCTTTGCAATTGCTGTCCTGCAAAGATTTCACCACTCTGGACCCCACTGGGATCTTCAAACCATTCCAAATTTCCAGCTCCAATTGGTGATCCATGGGATCTGCGGGAGCCCTGGGACGATACTGATGGCCTCCGGGTTGGGTAAGGAGCTGGGCGCTCGCGTGCTGGGTAAGGTGACAGACGACCAACGGATCCACCAGATCTTACTGGCTTGTTAAATACCGGCGACCCAGGGTTAGAAACTGGAGACGGTGCAGATTGCCAACCGGGTGAGCCATGCGACGAAGCCGAGGCCGGGGCATCATCGTTCAGCTGGTTTGGTGAAGGGATGCTGATGAGCGAAGGGTCGACACTTCCTGTTGCTGATGTGTTCGTTAACAACTGCTCCAGAGAGGTAACAGGATGTTGGGTGAAGAACGTACCAGTGGGATACTGAGTAGTGTACAGGCCGTCGTCATTGAGGTAAGGTGAGTTGCTGCCAGCTTCAGATCCAGAGATCGCACTTGTGACTGAGGAGTGGCCATCCCATCCACCGGCCGAGGTGACTGGAGAAGGGAAGGGGCTTTGCCTATAGTCATCCTGAGGAATATTAGACGGATAAGGAAATGTTGGAGGGTGAACCAGGACGCCTGGGGCTGGGGGCATCTCGTCTGCGAAGCTTTCTGAGATCCCGTATCCGGTGTAGGGTGGGTAGTTGTCGAATGATGAGGCCGACGTAGCTGGTGGAAGGTCCATGGGGTAGAATGGCTTGCTAACTCCCTCTTGCTGCTGTTGCCTTGTATGTAAATTATTATCTATACTACTCGGGTTTTCTAACATTGCACTCCAATCTACAACTCCACCCCGTGATGCTGATGATGTAACGTAATTATCTGAGTGGATTGGCGCTGAGTGGAATTGAGGGTTGCTCTGGTGAATAAACTGCCGCGAGTCGAAATATATAGGTTCGTTTTCCTCGAATAATACAAAGTCTGTCAAGGCCTCCGGTTTCATACTAGGGGCTATCGACGAGGTAGGTAATGACTGCGAAGTTGCCATTGTTGTGTAATATGTAGTGTTACTGTTGCTGCGAGGGTAGGGAGATAACTGAGCTGAGGAGAGACAAGCTGAACTATGCTTGTTTTTCTCGCTCACCTAATAACCGTTTTGTGTGGTTAGCTTTAGAGCTTGATAGACAACAAATGTGATAATCGTCCCTCAGCTGCCAGCCAAACGGGCCGACAACCGAGGCTTGCGATAATGGAAGCGAAACTCGAAACCAGCTGAAAAAGTTGTGACATTTCAAGAGAGACATGACGCTAGATGACCCGAGAGTTTGGAAAAGTAGGAAACAAGATCTGTGATTCCCCCAAACGTACCTTAACGATCTCACGAAATTTGCCGCTCGATTGTGTCCTGGGGTTCTTCTAGAAGGATGGAAGGCAGACACGAGAATAGAAAAAAGCTCAGTGTGGGAGGATGATATTATATGAGCGAGGCAGATTCTCGAATCTTTAAGTATAAAAAGGAGGATGGTTGAATGCCTTGTGATATGCCTTGCTGTCGAAGATGGCGGGTTATCTACCTATGTATATGAGTCTGAACCGGGAAGTCTGTAGGGCTGGGGTGAGGAAGATTGAATGGAGATCTTCGTGTCTTTTTGTAAGACGGCTTTCGGGCAAAGACGAGTGAGTGAGAGCAGATGCTGCGGCTTCTTAAATATGGGATGGGGCTATGAGTGTGGATGGGACCGGCCCTCGTTTTCTGTGCACATCCCGGCCAGAGGGTGATTGGCTCGCTGCATGACATAAACGAACGAGATTGGCTTTTTTTTTTTAATTATTTTCCTTTCCCTCCCCCTCGCCATACATAGTGGGAGTGCAAGCTGTCTGACTTCCCCCCCCCCCCCCCCCCCCCCGCGCAGCATGCCTGTATTGTGTCTGTGTGTTAGTACATACATGTATCTATCGTGGGTGGTGGTGGGCAGTGTGAGACATGGAGGGAAGGGTGCTCAGGGTGAACGGTGTGGTAGTGTTGCTGCTGCTAAGGAAGACTCTCTTAGTGCGTGGGTCCAGGACTTGCTGTTGGCAGGGCTGATGACTAGGCACCAGCCCCCCTGCAACTGGTTGCAGGTCCACCATGAGGAAGTTCGAAGTGGTTTGTCCACATCTCTCCTTTCTCAAAACTGATTTCATAGTAGGTTTCTCAATTAATCCCTTGCAATTAATTTATCCCCCCAATCAACTCAATCCCCATCAGTCACAACTCATCATCTACAATCATCTTCATCATCATCATCATCATCACCATCATATCACCAACAATACCCTCCTCTACCCCCCCATCATCATCATCACCACCACCGAATCGACACCTATCATCAATCCATCGTCTCGTCAGAGTATTATGTACCCTAATGTATACTTTCCAATCCCATGAAACACGAATCTGTAGTCCAAAAAGGAATGAAGGAAGCCCCAACCTGTCCCAATCCAACATATCTTGCATCCTGCAATCCTGCGGTCCTACCAGCTATTCCTCTTTCTCCCTGTGAATCGGTGACCCCCGCATCGCTGGACCTGGACAGGGTTGTTCGCCTAGATGGGACAAATCCCAATCCACAACATTTAGCACCGAGGCTTTGCTCACCAGCCTCGCTTGGTGAGGCGCATGCCCTACCTACGGTGTGTGAATGAACAAAGCCAACCAGCTCGGCGGGTATGGGCAAAAGGAAAGAAGAAATCACACTTTACATCACTGTGCGTATCTTCCATGCTGCACAGCTAAATTCCCATCCCGAACTCGAAAGTCGCATGCGATTACTGAGCCTGTGCAGCAGCAGTGTTCTACTACATATGCTAAACTAGGTACGCTCACAAAACCTAGGCAATTAACTCTTACCGATTCAAACATGTAGCACTCTCAAGGAGGTGAAGAGTGTTCGAAATGATGTCCATGACGTTCGGGTGAACTTTGGCACCAATTCCTAATCCGTAATAATTAGACGAGTCCTTGGAAGCACACGCTCTAAAGTAAGTGCCTTTCCTTCCTTCCCGCTCTACCCTGACTCCCGACCCTCCGATATCTACCATCCCCATTCCCAAAGCGTCATGTACCATTATTTGATCTGCGAAAGAGGCAATTCACACACCCACTAGATGTAGGTACAGTCGGAACCGATCCTCGAATCAACCACCTTCACCCCACTTAACAAAAAATATTTCCAGATGGATCTGCCATATATTTGATTCGCAGAAGTGTTTCTGCTACGAAATAGTAACTTCCTGCCAAGAGCAACACCAATTAGGCACCGTATTATATATCGTTTCCTAATTATCCCGATTAGGGAGAGCGTGATCCTAATTAGGACTAGCGGCCGGCTTTTAGTTGTCCGACGCTGTATTTGTTTTCCCCAGTCAGGGTTATCCCGCTCATCGCCTATCACTTGCACTTGGTGTTTTGCTCGGGACAATCACGGAAATTGACAAATATATGATGTATTGGCTTGAGAACGGAATAACATTCCATCCAGATTCTCTAGTCACCAGAAACTGGCTCCATTGACATAAAGTATGATCCTGTTCGAATCGGCAAATACGCGCGACACGTCGGAAAAAGTTCCATTTCCCTCTGTTTGATATGCTCTAATACTTGCCCAATATCAAACCTTGATTGGTTAATATACAAAAGGAGATAGACCCTTTACTATTTTTAAATAAAAGAGCTTAGCACACCAAGCACAGACAATTGGGTGTGTGTGGGGGGATTCTCGAATCAAAATCCCGCTATTTGGAGTGGTGTAACGAAGCACAGACGAACTCCGTTCCTTCTGATTCTGCATGTCACAGAAGCAAGTCAGGCCTGGCGCCAATAAGCATCGTGTGGTAGTCGTAAAGAGGCTTCAATCACGGGAACAAGTGACAGGAGACGATAATTCACGTTGAGTTAGTATGCCCACTAGAACCAGGTATTAAAAGTGTCGAGCGCCACTTGATAGACGGGAACAGCTACTCTAATATGGCGGGGAAGGAAAGGAAAGGACCAACCTTGAGGTCTGGATTAACGCCCCAAACCCCAGAAAGCAAATTCCGTCGATTGCTTCTTATCCAGAACGCATGCGGGACCTTGTTCGCGGGACCAAATTTGCCTCCTTCAATAATAGGCGTTTTCTTATTACAATCGGTTTCCTTTCAGTTGGGCACCGGGAGCGCTCGTGGCTTGATAGCGTGAGGCTCAATAAAATATCTTATGATACATGTGTCTACACAGAATTAGGTACACTATTGTAGTTAGAAATGGCGACCTAATTAATTATTAATTCTGCCTCAACTCCTCCTCCTTCCCCTTGGCTGTCTCTATAAGCGAGAGGACACCGACGTGGAGAGTCAAATTGTAAAGGCACAGCAAGGGTATTGGCTTGGTCTGTGCTACAACTGGTATGACTGTGTGCTACTAGCAGCTACAACCGGAAAAACTCGTAGGTGTCACAGCCAAGGGAGATACATGTAAGTACCTACATGTGGTGATACTCAGTCGTCCAACGCAGCCGTTAGCCTCCACCAGGTGAAGAAAAAAAAAAGGGCCCCCAAGTGGGATAAAGGAGCCTCCACCACCGTGTATGTATGTGGAGGACCTACCTGTCTGTGCCAGCGACCATATTCCCCTCTGCCTCCTCCAAATACGTGTGATTTCTAAATAGGCGACCTAAACGTGTTAATGCCCGCTTGCCATAAAGGAATCAAGCCTTACACTGCCTCCCCCGCAAAGGTTATACTTAGCCTCGCCAGGTAAAATATAGTAATGTACATGAGTTGTGGAGATCACATGTGTCCCTCGCTTGATTTAAGTTATCGTTTGCGAGCCGAACGATGTGTGGAAGTGTGTTGCCCTATCAGATGCAAGCCACAATTTCTTACAGTTGACAAAAAGGGCCTGTACCTAAACTCCTGCTCTAGATCCCCAGACAAGCTTTCAATGGTCTTTGCCCACGGTAGCTAAAGATAACTATCGATACTGACACATCCTAAAGCTTCTTTCCATTGATCTCCAAGACGTTGACCAGTAGGTACATACATGTGGGGTAGATAACTATAGGTGCACAGGTAAATGGTGGACTGATCCTAACGTATCCTTAGCGGGGAGTTCCAAAACGTTACGGTTCTTATTTTTTCTATCCCTTAATTCATGAAATAAAAATATAACTCTTCTCGTGAAATCTTGGCCTTGACTGTCACCGAAATATATACTCATATAGGTGCGTTTAAGCGTTACTCATCTACTATTTCGCGATATTCAAAGTCTTCGTCGATCCTGGCGACTATTGTCACTTGGATCTATCTATCACATTACCTACCATAGGGAAGGAAATAAAAATAAAAAAAAGGGCGTCTTCTGTCGGCTTGAAATGGTAAGTCCCGTTTGATAGAGGACCGAGCAGGGGGCCCGCGGCCGCGTTTGCTGCGCCTTCAGCGCCTGCATAAGATATTTTTTGCTTTTTTGCTCCATGTCCCGTGGTGCTGGGACTGAGCATCTGTTTCCTGGACCCGACGTTTCTTTGTTGCGCGAGAAGAGCGAATCGATATCCGTCATGGCGTGACTGGCAAGGTTTCAGAAGCATAGCCAGGACCGCGAGAGAGAGCAACTGGAAACTCAATGTCAACAACACAACATCAATATGCTGACAGACGGCAGGCGAGACACCCTGAATTCAGGGGTACGTTTTGCGGAGCTTGTTTTCATGCCCGCTGTTCATCGGCTTTCGTGGGCGATCTAGCGTACAATACGTGCGGAGAGGAGTAGGTGCTGCTGCTACGGTATGTAGAAATTAACGTTGTCTACCCCTTTTCGGATTAATAGTCTCTTTCCTTATTCCACCGTTTTTTGTCTTCGACCAACTACCATTGGCTACAAGGTGATGAGCCCAAAGATTAATTGTGGAAAGCCACTTCAGTTGGCTGGTTTTTTTCTCTCTACGTCCTGGGGAATCGTGAGTCGTTACTGTTACGATATTAGATCTTTATTTTACAATTCGCTATTCATGTCGTCTTGTCTAATCCCAT